TTTTCTTTCTCATTTTTTTGCTCTTATGTGGTACTGCTCATGTAGTGAGAGCCCCGATAGATTCAAGTGTTGCGTAGATATTCACTTCATCCTCAGGCAACGATAAATATTTACATAGAGTGCTGCTAATCTTTAAAGATACTTATTCTATGATATCATCAGCGTATAGTATAGATTATACTAAGCCTTTAAAAGATATTATAATAAAAAATCTAGAGATTATTTTTAAGAATATTAGAGAAAGTTTATATTAAGATACTAATATTATACTTAATATAGCTAATTTTTTCTTAGATTACCTAAATATCTTATATAATAATTAAGAAACTAGGATTTTCTTTAGTTAATTAGCTAATATGAACCTCTAAGAAGAATTTATTCTAAAGTTTTTTTAATTATTTTCTTTAATAAATTTAATTTAAATATTATAATAAATTCTAGTCAATCTTTAATAATTTATTAGAGTTAGATAGTTATATATTTTATATTAAATTTTAATAAAATATATAATATTATCATTAAAGATTTTAATAATATCTTTAAGAAGGTAATTAATCTTTATTAATCTAGTTTAATAATAATTTAGTTAAATAGTTTTATTTTATTATACTTATCTAAATTATATTAAAAGTAAATTTAATATTAATAATTATTATAATTATGATTATTATTATATTTTAAAATTATAAAGTTAAATAGATTTTATTTATCCTAAAGAGTATTTATGGAGTTTCTTAACATAAGCGAGGACGTCAACTGGATGACAAAGGTGCGTGGGCGCGAGTGCCAGTCGCTGCTGGGCCTCTTTGAGGGCCTTGACGCCTGTCGTGGCGCAACGCACAGCCTGCAGTGGTCGTTTGATCTGTGCCAGGGCCTGTCGGTGCAGGACGGGCCGCACGCCGTCTCGGCTTTTGCGGTGACGGCGTCGCTCGCCTACGTGGAGGCGCTGCGGAGAATGGTTCGTGCTATCGCGGACCACGTTGGGGAGTATGGGCGGAATGCTACGCGCTGGCCACTGCCGGAGATTGGGGACGGCTAGGGAGCTCCTTTGATGAATAAAAAGCAGCATGTGAAACACGAGGATTAGGGTGCTGTGTCGTAACACCACAACAGGCAAGCAGTGTGCAAAAACAGGCGATTCGCGTCGTACACCACCACCATGCCGCGCCGATTTTGGCGAATATTAACTAATATGCCGCAGCACCGTCCGATATCATACAAATAGTGCGGTTCCGTTCCCTTCAGCCCGCACGCAATGCCCTGCCAATGGATCTAGCCGGGATAATTTAAGCACCTCGTATTACAATGCGGAGGCGTCCGATTGCCGCCCGTACCGCCCCACGTCTCATGCACAAAAGGACTGGGCCTAGCTCTTTGCGGATCATCGGCGCGACCTGATGTTCATGGGATTGATTCTGGGGTTGGCATGCGGATTGTAAACTTGGCAATGACTGTGGGCAGATATTGGTGTTGCGACTACGTAACGTGTGTCAGCGAGGATCGGCCGAGCCCGCAAATGGGCGGCTAACTAGGCCTCATACTGCAGCCTAAGTTATAGTGCAGGACGGCGCAGGATCCGTAGCATGGGGGCATCTATTTTTATACACGGTTATAATCATATATTCTACATAAGTAGTTATCGGAATTAGGCTCCATGCTTGCAGACTCGGCCACATGAAGGTTAATTTCAGACGATAAATATCAAGTTATATTTCCCATGACCGATAGACAGGCAACTGTACTGTAAGACACAGCAGATGCTTAAATTCAAAAGCAACATGTCTTAGTTAAATGTTATATGAGTGAATCAGCCTGCCGTCTCTAGCGTCGACTATCAGATAACGGCCGTAAATTACTTAGGTAATCAAAAGACATAGTAATCTGGTGGCGCCATTGCCGGCTATTCCATGCGTTTCCCATAAAGTAGTGCCGCGTTATGGCAGAATCCCGCAAGTAACTAGTCCATCTGACAAGATATAGAAAAGGAACCAGGAATAGAGGGAAAAAAAATCTCCACAAGTTATTCCCTAAAATGCCCCGCCAGCTCGTCGACCCCTTTTGCTTAATTGCCCCTCTGCATAAGGCTGCTCAATTTCTCATCTCTGACAGTGTCCAATTACCATTATTTCTGCCACGACTTTTCCATCCTACCTGTCTCTACTAGCTAGCTGCAGCCTGCAGTCGTGCTGTTTAGGCCCCGGTACTTTGTGAGATGATGAGGAGCAACGTACACCATTCCTTCTTCTCCCAACGCGACGCGCCCCGAGCACGCCCGACCTAACGGACTTGTGCGGCAAACACACGACGTGTCTCCTTCTCTACAATATCTCGCTCACCTACATGACATACTGCATCGCTCGAGACTACCGACGCGCCGAGGCTGAGCCTATTCGCCATCGACGGCTGGTCCGTCCGCCCAACACCTCCTGCCCCAATCACCATGGAGGCCTCCCCACACGACGCCGCGCCTCCATCAGTACCTACCGACACATCAGCGGCCAGCAGCGCGAGCCTACACGAGCTACCGCCCCCTCCTATACCGTCTTCTGACCCGAGTCTCGTTGTCGATGCTGCTGCGTCCACGAGCGGGAGCGTCGGCCTCGGCGTCGGCCGCGACTCCCCAATCACCTCCAAAACAGCGCCGCCGCCGCTGCAGGACCTATTCAAGCTTCCGGCCGTCGAGGCGCTGCGGCTGCTCAGCACGAGCGTCGAGCTTCTCGTGCGCATGACGGGCGACATCCCGCCGACGCCGCCGCCGCGCACGCCCACCGACCCGCAGATGAGCGGCCTCCAGGCCGAAAAGGAGAACATTGTGCGGTCGCACTCGGACAAGAACCTCAACAACATGGCACGACTACGCCCGCCACCATCATCATCATCATCCTCGTCGACGCCGCCCGTCACGGGCAAGCGGCCCTACGACGAGGCGCACGCGGGCGGCAAGGCCAAGCTCCAGGCCTACAGCGCAGCCATCTCAGCACGACTGGCCAGCCAAGCCGGCGCGGCGCCCGACGCCGCCGCCGCCATCACCGACACGGCCGAGATTGACGGCGTGACACTCAAGCCGGCCGCTGCCTCCCTGCGGTCCTCCTCGCCACCTCCCTACATCATCATCGGATCCGACTCGCAGCCCGTCAACGTGCAGCACGGCGCCATCACGCGCAAGTTTTACAGCAAAAACGAGCCCCCCATCAGCATACACCACTACCTGCAGCGTCTGCACCAGTTCTGCCCCATGAGCGCCGCCGTCTACCTCGCCGCCTCGCTCTACATCCACCGCCTCGCCGTCGACGAGCGCGCCATCCCCGTAACGCGCCGCAACGCCCACCGCCTCGTGCTGGCCGGCCTGCGCGTCGCCATGAAGGCCCTCGAGGACCTGTCGTATCCGCACGGCAAGTTTGCGCGCGTCGGTGGTGTGAGTGAGACGGAGCTCGCGCGTCTGGAGATTTCGTTTTGCTTTCTCGCTGGCTTTGAGCTGGTGGTCCGCGAGGAGGCGCTGCGCGCGCACTGGACCGCCCTGCGGGAGGGCAAGGCGGCGCAGGCGCTGCAAGGGATCGAGGTGAAGACGCTGCGGCTGGATAGGAAGCCGCGCGAGGTGACGATGTGATGGTGTGGTTTTGGAGTTGATTAAAGGGTGGTTGCGATTGGATTTGGTGAATGATGGGGATTGCTTTTTTAGTTGTAGGATATTGGTTACTATTTTATATATGTTGAGATGAGCGTGCATTCACAGCAGTGGGCTGCTCGAGGCGATTCTATACCCAGGGACATTTCAATACTATAAATTACCATGCTGATCGGGGCACTTCCAGCGATAAGTCGACTTGATCTGTGCTTGGGCCAGATTATTTCTGCATTACTGCTGTAGATTATGCTATCATTCAAAGCGTAACATCTGCTAATGGCCGGCCGAGCTTAAACTCTACCTGGTAGAGAACTCCATACAACGACCAAGAACAGCTTGATCACCAGCTAGCACTATCAGACCACTCCTGCAATAGCTCCAATGGGATGCTCTGGACTACCGATATGAATCTTGACTTTTGCGAGTGTATACGCTTCCGCAGTGCTGCCGTTACTACCGTGTGCAGCAAAGTGTCTTTAAACCTCTAACGCAGCAACCGCCAGGCCCTCCGCACCGAGTTCTGCCGACCACTATGTAGCCTGGTCTGCAGGTGCCTGTGCAGTCAGGAGGAGTACCGACCCAGTAGCATGATAACATTGCACTGTAGTCTTCATCGTTATCGGTGTCGTCATCAGGAGTGTCGTCATCAGGAGTGTCGTCATCAGGAGTTTCCTCATCAGGAGTTTCATCGTCGAAAGGAGCTTCATCATCAAAAAGAATGCCATCATCGGTAGTTGTGCCATTAACGGTAGTTGTGCCATTAACGGTAGTTGTGCCATTAACGGTAGTTGTGCTATTAACGGTAGTAGTCGTATTCAGGCTCCTCGGGGGGGCCATGTCAGATCCTACCCGCTCGCCTGAAAACTTCATTAGCCTCTTGGTCGATGGCGAACGGATGGGAACACCTGTAACTCACCTGTGGCCGCGGCCATGGCCATAGCAGCAAGTCCAAGGGCAATGTAGAAGCGCATTGTCATATATGATTGAGGAGGTAGTAGTTGAAGAATGTGTAGCTTGCTGATGGAATTCGTCAACACCAAAGTGGTGAGGGGCGGAGTCTTTTATAGACGGCGCAGCCGTATGTGTCGTCTCGAGGTTCTCCAAATTCACTGTCTACTAGGTTGCAGTCTCGGTCGAGTGCCAATAGAGAAGCACCACGTAGTTTGCTCTGCGGGAAGAGAGATGTCTCTGATGCGCGAGAACGAAACTTTAGAGGCCATCGTTTCTCGCAGTGATATGGAATCTTCATGATATGGACCTCTACGATCACCCGAGACACGACTACTTGACGAAGCTGAATCATTCTTCCGACAAAATTTCAGAGCATACATGATCAGCTTAGCCACAGCTGAGCAAATATTATGCATTATGAATGCTTGAAAAATGTAAAATTGCTTCTTCTGATTCTAGAGCGGCTTCCGATGGGCCGCATGGTCGCGGAGTGTCGGTGTATGGGCGACTGCATGTGCCATCATTCGCGATACCGCCATGTAGATACCACACAAGTGGTATTGTAACCTGATTCGATGCAAGGGATGCCGTTGCAGAGTTGCAGTTTCTAAAACATGATTTCACGGGTACGACTAGCTGCAGTGCGCAAAACGCGTGCGACTCATGTCATTTGGTATCCAGCCACTACGGTAACAAAACAGACTGACGGAGCTTCTCTACACGGCCTCGTCACAGGCGCATTCTCATGCCTTGACAACTGAATAAAGTTGAATCATAAATAAAGTAGGCCCTTTCAGTCTATCTCCAGTATGAAAACTAGTGTTTAATGTATTGATAGATCTTGGGAGTATCTATGACTAGGAAAAGTGAAACTTACTCGCTGTCGATTTTTGTACTTTCCCCTCACCCTATTACCCCGCGTCACGAACGGCACGCAGTGTGTGGTATCCCGCACCGACTGGAACATGCAGCAGCTGAAGAATGGTTCTAGGAGAACAACGACATTATGGAGAATGAGTTTGTCTCAAGAATGTTTACAGTCTTGTTTTAATTGACCGATACTATCTGCACTGGCTCAGACGGTGTATCATCTGATATCGGAACCCAAAACGGCTTCGCTGGTGATTTAGCAGCGAAATTGTCGGTGAGCAGTCCCCGATTTTTGTGGAGTAAAAGGTGAAGTGAGAGCAAAAGGGACTGTGATGACCAGGTGAGAAAGCAATCAACGTTTGGTTTGGTGCATCTATTCTGTGATGAAGGGAATAGATCTAGGTACATACAGCACCCCGCATAGATTTGATCGTGGGCGCCGTTCTTACACTAAAACTCAAACGCGCTAAAAAAGAATATCCAATACTTAATCTCATGATATGTGTGTGGCCTTTTCGGCGGCAATTTCTCTTTCCAGAGATTCCATTTTAAATCAATATTCAAGCTTATCCTTTGCATGTCGTGCCCAACGGAATATGATACTGCGTATATCTGACTCATGCTGGGTCAAAAGATGAGCGATTGACGTTGGGTCGTATGTCTGCGACATCGATCGCTTGTGCTCCTCGATATGAACATAAAATTTATGGAGAAGGCGGGCGTTTTTGAGTCACTTGGATGTCGGCCCAATAGCACGGCGTTTGCCACCTGTATTTGTCACCAGCAACAATGAAATTAAACGATGTGGTAAGCGAAATCCTCATGATGATAGCTCTAGATTATCTTTGAGTAGGTAAAGACGCTATAGATACGGATATGAATACCGGAAATTTGTGAGCACTGCTAGAGAATAGCAGCAATCTTGCTCAATAAAATGTTGTCTTGAGGCAACAGTGGACCTACTCTAATCCGTACTGATGATCTGCCTTTGTAGATTAGGTGGCTGAGGAGCCTAACCTTAGTTTTTAAACTTTTATTTGCCAGCTGCTCCATGTATGATTGAGTCGCCTGACTAGGCACGTTCTACAGTTTCTTGCGACATGATTACAAGAATACCAAATATTCGTAAATCCTTTTTCCTTGAGATTTTATTGGAGATTGCTCTAACAAGAGGCCGAATACAGCATCAACGCTCCACGCACGGAGCCCGGCCCCGGTACCCCGCCAGAATGACTGCTGTTCAGCTTCTTCAAGTCCCCCTTAGAAACTGACGCTCGGCTGAAAGGATGTGCGGGTGTATGAAGCTTGCGCACTACTTTGAGATTCGGGGGGCTCAAGCAGTATTCTTCTCGACAAATTCCGGGCCAAGCTCAACGAAACGGACGACAGCGCACGATCCATCCGGTGCATCCGAGACGTCTATGAATCGATCGTGAACAGGGAACTGCTAAATGCGCAAAGTTGTCGTCGATACTACGCAGTGCCATTTTGGCTGAATTGTGGGACGACTCGTTTTATGGACCTTTCTTTCTACGGGAAGGGGGCGATTTTGTAGGTCGATCTGAATGAAGAACTGAGCAACATGGACGAATGGGCTATGAGAAGGCATTTATTATGAGTGAGGGGCGCGGAAACTTGATTCCGCTCAGATCGTTGCTTTTATGCCTGGTAAACCCCGCCAACTTGCCGTAGCTCGGAACCGGCCAACCCCTCAATGGCGGGGAGCTGGCCGACCACGTCTCGGCCAATAGCTTGAACACGTCTTATAGAAGAGAACCCCCCCGGTGTAAGAAGGCGTCAGTGTCGCGCCGAGTCTCATCGTGCCCTCGAGATTCATCTCTTCTTTTTTTTTCTTTCAATTTAAAATTTTTCAATATAAAATCAGCCATCATGTACACAGCGTCGAGCGCCTTCTTTGACGCCATTTGGGATGCTGGCGTCACCCACTGCTTCGTCAACCTGGGCTCCGACCACCCCAGCTTCATCGACGCCATGATCAGGGGACAGAGAGAAAAAAGAGACAAGTTTCCCCGCATAATAACCTGTCCCAACGAGGCATGTTCACCCCCTCCGCCCCCCTCCCCCCCGGGCCATGCTCTTCTCACAAAACCCCCCGCCTATTTAGATGGTCGCCATGTCCATGGCCGATGGCTACGCCCGCCTCACCAACAAGCCGCAGTGCGTCATTGTACACGTCGACGTTGGCACGCAGGCCCTCGCCGCCGCCGTGCACAACGCCTCGTCGGGCCGCGCGCCCGTCCTCGTCTTTGCCGGCCTCTCGCCGATTACGCTCGACGGCGAGCACCGCGGCAGCCGGACCGAGCACATCCACTGGCTGCAGGACGTGCCGGACCAGAAGCAGATTGTCGCCCAGTACTGCCGCTACGTCGGCGAGGTCAAGACGGGCGCCAACGTCAAGCAGCTCGTCAACCGCGCCCTGCAGTTTGCCGCGTCGGCCCCGCAGGGCCCCGCGTACCTGTGCGGCGCGCGCGAGATTATGGAGGCTGAGATTGCGCCGTACGAGCTGCGCCAGAGCGACTGGTCCCCGGTTCAGGTGGGCGGGCTGCCCAGAGGCGCGTCGCGGGAGATTGCGGAGGCGCTGGCGGGCGCGCAGCGGCCGTTGGTGATTACGGGCTATGGAGGGCGCAATCACGAGTTTCCAGGCACGCTCGTCAGACTGGCGGATGCGGTGCCGGCCTTGCAGGTGCTGGACACGGGAGGTAGCGACATGTGCTTCCCCGCGAACCATCCAGGCTGGACGGGCACGCGCTATGGCGTGGCAGAAGACATTGAAAAGGCCGACGTTATACTGGTCGTCGACTGCGACGTGCCCTGGATCCCAACCCGCTGCAAGCCGAGCGACGACGCCGTCGTCTTTCACGTCGACGTCGATCCGCTGAAGCAGCTGATGCCAATGGCCTACGTCAAGGCCCGCGCGCGGTTCCGTGCCGATGCCGTGCAGGCCCTCGAGCAAATCATCGAGAGCGTCGCGGGCCTCAGAGGCGGCGCCTCGGCCGCGGAGACGACGCTCCGAAACCAGCAGGACACGACGAGCATGCAGACGGCACGAGTCCAGCAAGAGCACGCAGCGCGCCTGGCCAGGATAGAAAAGGCCGCGCAGCCTCTGCCAGACGACACGTTTGGGGCAGGCCACTTGTGCCGCCAGCTCAGGGCTCTGTGCCCGCCAGACACCATCTGGGTCGTCGAGGCAGTCAGCAACGCGCATTGGGTGCTCGACAACATCCAGGCATCGCTGCCGGGCTCGCTGATCAACTGCGGCGCCGGCGGTCTCGGCTGGTCGGGCGGTGCGGCTTTGGGCATCAAGCTAGCGACGGACGCCGAGCACGGCGGCCAGGGCCAGGGCCAGGGCCGGTTTGTCGTGCAGGTGGTGGGAGACGGCACCTACATGTTTTCTGTGCCGAGCAGTGTCTACTGGATCTCCATGCGCTACCGCATTCCCATCCTGACTATTGTGCTCAACAACGGCGGTACGTGTGTTTGCATCATTCTCCCTCTCTAAGTGTTTTTTTTTTTTCTTTTTTTTTTTTGACCGCAGAGGGATGTTAATCGGGGTGGCTAACTTTTGTCAAAATACAAAGGCTGGAACGCGCCGCGCCATTCTTACAATCTGGTGCATCCAGATGGACTGGCGCAGACGGCTACGAATGACGAAATCAACATTGCGTTTAGCCCGACGCCCGACTACGCGGGCATTGCAAAGGCGGCGGCCTGCGGACAAGTCTTTGCCGGGCGCGTGAGCGACGCAAGGGAGCTGCCGGGCTTGCTGCGCGAGGCGATTGACTTTGTCAAGGCAGGCAAGTCGGCGGTGCTGGACTGCGCCGTTGTGCCGGATTGTTAGGTATGTTGGTTGATGCCCTTGGTTTTGTGAAGTAGGCTTGGACAATTCAAGTGTATATAGATTTTTTTTTTTTGCATCAGTAAGCTTGTAAGGTGAGTTTGCTCGTGTCATTAATCACAGGACAGGTTTATCAGATCCCGACTGGCCTCGGAATGGAGTCTCCGAAAGCAAGCACTTGGGATGCAATACGTCAATGACGGGACAGGCACTGTTAATCGATAATTGTATCGGGGCATGGGGCATCTTAACATGATAGAGTGGTACAAGAGGAAAGTGGCAAGGTTTTGTAAAGGAATATTGCCGGATGGTAAGAGTCTTTGAATGCAGGGACTTGATTGCAACACGAAACCTCGACTATATAACTATGTACATTCTTATTGGCAACGTCTCCATGCTATTTACTCTAGTTTACCTACATCGTGTTGCCATTATGCCCCCCCCCCGCGAACCTCTATATCCCGCAAAACCACCTGTCGCCTCTCTCCCGCCCTCACTGCTCCTCCTGCATCTTTTGAAAGAATTCCACCATTGCACTCACCGCGTCTGGCCCCAGCATCACCCCGAGCAGCTGGTCCGTCTCCTCGCCGACTTTGAGCGCCCTCTCCGTCATGTCCCTCTCAAACGCCGCCACCTTACGCGACAAGACGTCCCCAAACCGCTCCCTCCCCTTGCCGTTACTCTGGTTCCACGCCTCCGCCACCGCCTCCGCCAGCAGCGTCGCGTCCAGCATCGCCTGGTTGACGCCCTCGCCGTTGGGCAGCATCACGTGCGCCGCGTCCCCAATGAGCGCCAGCCCGCGCCTGCTCGTCCACCTTGTCCCGTACGGCAGCGCGTACAGCGGCCGGATATCCAGCACGCCGCCCGGGTTGTCGTGCTGCTCCTCGACCAGCGCCGTCGCGACCAGGTCCTTGACCACGGGCCCAAACCCACCCAGGAACTTGTAATTGTTGTTGTTGTTGTTGTTGTTGTTGTCGTCGTCGAAGAGCACAGCTTTGGCTTCCGTCGGCGGCTTGCGACTCATCCCCGTCGTCACGCCGAGCTTCTCGTCCGTCGTCGTCAGCCAGACATGAACGCGCGCGGAATCCATCGGCCCACGCTGCGATATCACAGCGTGCCGGTCGCCGAGCGCGCTAAACGTCCCCGAACCGACCAGCGCCGCCAGCGCCGGATACTTTTGCGTAATGTGGCGGATCGTCGCCGTCACGATTTGCGTATTGCTGTACCGCGGGCGCGCGTGCGTCAGCAGCGTGCGCACGCGCGACCACGCCCCGTCCGCGCCCACAACAAGGTCAAACTCGTGCTGGCCGCTGCCGCCGCCGCCAAAGTCCAGCCTCGTCACACCATTGCCCTCTTGATACTCTGCCGTCTGCAGCTTGTGGCCCCAGCGCACGCTCTCTGGCGGAATGCGCGTCAGAAGCAGCCTCGTGAGGTTGTTGCGTGAAATCTCGGGCCTTGCGCGCTCGTCGTGGCCCTCACCGCCGCCCTCGCCGCCGCCGCCGCCGCCGCCGCTATGCACGTGGACGCGCGCGCCGAGCTTGTCCGCGAGCACAAACTCTTCCGAGCACTCGCCCGTCAGCGGCAGAAACTCGTCGTAGAGCCCGCACGCGCGGATAGCGCGCAGGCCGTCGCCCTCGTGCAGGTCTAGCATGCCCGAGGGCAGCGCCCACGAGGCTGGGGCGGGCTTCGGACGGTACTCGAACAGCGTAAAGGGAATGCGGCGCCGGTGGAGCAGTGCGCCGAGGGTGAGGCCGGCGGGGCCGCCGCCGACAATGGCGATGCGCGGCGGCGGCGGCGATGTGGCTGAGGATATGAGGCGTGAAGTGCAAGGGAGGCTACTTTGTGAGAGACGTGATTGGAGAGGTTTGGATACGCGTAGTGTTTCTTTGGCGAGGCTGTTGAGCGCCATTTTTTCGCCAAATGAGATGCCCGAATGAACGATGATGTATGAATATAGGGAAGAGAATGGAAGAAGAAAGTTGGACAAAATAGTTTTCTTATAGACAAAGAGCTAGCTTTTTTCAATGTCGTTGGTGACGCCAGCACATTCGTCAGCTGCTGGGTGGGTGCAGTGCACGCACGTACCTGGAAAAGCAAAATCTCGGCCCCGGACGACAAAGTCTTGGCAGGGTTCGGGCCCGAGATCAAGGCAGACAAGGGCTCCGTACCCGCACGAGTGTCCACCATGAACCACTAGTAGTAACTCGACGAGGGCTCATTTTAGCTTTACGAGAGAAGCTAGTTTCTTCCAATGCTGACGGGCTATATGGGCAAAAAAAAAAAAAAAAAAAAAAAAAAAAAAAAGAAAAAGAAAAAAGGTCGAACTTTTTCCTATTTCTGTAGAGTGAAAACGGGCCAGAGGTCAAGAGGATCCCGGCCTTGAAGAGTACACCACACAAGGCTTTACTCATATGTTTCAGGGTGACAAGTGTATATAGGTCAATAGTCATTTGTATGTACATGTATTAGTCTCTATACTGAGCATGTGTATTTTAAATACCCTAGGATTTCGTGAGCATCATCTTTCCATCCTAGCCCGCTTCCATTCGAAACAATTACATCCGCGCTGTCCCATGCCAACAGATGCACAACAAGTGCTCATCCATCACTCATGTCCTCGGCAGGATCAATGCTCTGAGGATTGCGAAAGACATTGTTGGGATCGTACTGCTTCTTGATCTGCTGCAGTCGGGGCAGCTTGTCACCCCAGTAAAATTGCTGGGCAACCTTGCGGTCGAGCTCCGGGTTAATGTACCCGGCGTAGGTGGTGCGCGCATTGGGCGCGCCGCTTTGCACAATATCCTGCACGCCGTCGAGAAACTTGATCATCTTATCCGTTACGCCAAGTAGGCCGACCGAGTATGACTGGTACACGATGACTTTGTCGCGGTGGGGGTACGCCGTCGAGTTGTCGGGCACGTCAGCAATGGCGCCGCCCTCGTTGTCAAATATGACAAACCAGAGGGGTGTGTCGGCATTGGTGCTGCCCATGTATTCAAAGAGGTCATCGATAGACTGCTCACTCAGAAGATCCTGTTGGCGGAGCGCGAGAGATCGGCTGGCAAAATGAGTAGGCACGTTGGTGAGGTAGAGGCCCGTCTTCTCGGCAATGTGAGCGAGGCTGCCGAGCGAGTCCATGACGGTCACACTGATCGGCCCGCGGGGCAGCTTGTCGGGGATGCCCGAGGCGTGCCACTCGTACATGGTTCCGTAAAAGGTGCCGGTGATGAGGACGCCGAGGGGCTCGGCAATGAAGAGCGAGGTGAAGCGGCGGTCGAGGTTTGGATCGCCGACTAGGGCCTGCCATTGCTTATAGAGGGGCGCCATGTCCGACTGCTTGCCCAAGCTGACGCTGTATGTGTACTCGACGACGCTGCCGGGCTCGGGCTCGGTGCGTACGACAAACTCGGTGATGATGCCGAAGCTTGCGCCAGCACCCTGCAAGGCCCAGAAGAGGTCGGGGTTCTGCGTCTTGGAGGCGCGCTGGATCTTGCCGTCGGCAGTGACGACTTCAACTTGGACGACGTGGTCGAGAGTGGTACCCCAGAGGCGAGACGAGGGGCCGATGCCGCCCTGCTCTGTTAGTAATGATCAATTGGGGTATGAAAGGGAACAGTGACTTACAATGGTGGCATGACCGCCCATGCCGACGCCGGGGCAGGTTCCGTGGGCCATGGCGCGATTGCCATTGGCGTGAAGGTGCTTGTCCAGCTCGCCGAGGAGAAAGCCAGAGCCAAACGTGGCTTCCCAGGTGTTGTTGTCCATGGAAAAATGGTTGAAATTCCGGAGGTCAATCATGAGACCGCCATCACCACCACCAAGTCCAAAATTGCTGCACCTTCCTTGTTAGTGTCAGCACCATGTCGCGGCGTATTATACGGGGACTTGCGCATAGGAGTGGCCGCCAGACTTGGCCTGAACCTGGACATTTTTGGACGCAGCGCACTGAATGGCCCTGGCGACCTCATCCGCCGTTCTGGGACGCATGACTGCGGCCGGGGTGACGGGCATGTCGAGGTTGTAGGGCTTGACCCATTGGGCCTGGTACAACCAGTCACCGCGATGGGCAACGCAGTCCATTCGGCCGACGCAGATGCGGTCGAGGCAGCTTGCGATGCTGCTCGGACTGCCGCCCATGTTGAGGATTCGAATGTAGGGAATCAAGATGTGAGGGGGGGAGGGGGGGGGGGGGGGGGGAATGGCGAGGATGTTGCTGTGCCGGCTTGAAGAAGGGGACTGGGTCATGGACGAGGCTGCGCCGCGGGTCGGGTCGCACTTTCATTTTATTTGGATGAGATGTATAAGTAAGGCGAGACTAGCGCCTTGCTTATATTCAGGGACTCGTCTGGTCGCATAATAAAGATACGAATATGCATTCATGGCTGGCCGACACATCTTTGAGGCGGCGGGGGGGGAGTGGTGCTTGCTGATGGGCTCACCGGGCTGTCTTGATGGGGAAGAGTGATGGAGAGATGCGAGATGGCATGAAGTACGCGATATGGCGGGCGTGTGGGAGGTGTGTGGGAGGTGTGTGGGTGGCAGGGAAGGGAGTGGAATGACAAAGGAATGACAATGGAATTGATTCCTAGGTAGTTTAATAAATTATAATGGCTTAAAGGCAGGAGGGTGTGGCTGGGCCTGTTGCATGCAACCTTGTTTGCTAACTAGTTCAAGTTACTCTGAGAAGACGAGTTCATTGTGTTGGTTAAATTGATAAACGAATAATAAGAGGCCTGGCTGACGGAGAGTGGTCATTGGCTCGCGGCAGGGCTCTGCATAAAACCGCAGCCATCGAATCAGGGAGTCAGTCATACGGCCGTTATTGCAGGCATGTTGCTATCAAGACATGCATATCATAGACGGATGGTGATTAATAGCAACAGCGCTACTTTCCTAGTCGGTGCATTACACTGGAAAACATTTAATTAATTATGCTCGGCGTCCGCTGGAATGGTCTCTCTAGAACTCGGCTGCAAATCCAGGCCCAGCCAGGCACAGAAACAGTCTCAGTTAGCCGTGAACTAGTTTCAAGGCAACGTTGTGTAGAGGATTTACATTCGTTCTTGTCTTTTTTTTTTTTTAAAAAAAAAAAAAAAAAAAAAGCAGATTCATTTCTTTCAAATCAGTCTCATATATCCATGCTGCTGCACCAATAGGGGCAATGAGGCCAATCACCCGAGCGAATAACAGGGGTCTTCCATTGACATGTACAGTATCTGTACAACTGTCTAACTACAGTGGGGTGTAGGTATCTATGCAGTCATCACCGTTACCTTGGGTACCTAATAATGCCCCAAGTGCCCACATCTCCAACAAGCAAATACTCTCGTCCCGTCTCGTTCATCTCCATCTAGAATTTTCCATTAGGATTGTCCTTAATCAACGACTTTTTCCCTCGAATCTTGAAAACTGCATCCGCATCCGCATCGCCTGATGCCATGACACTACTAAATAGCGCACGCCACCGAAACGCAGTGCACACACCATCTCCTCGGCGAACCAGGACCAAAAGTGGCAGCTCTGATGTTCGTATTCGTCTAGCTCTCGCCATCTTCTTCACGAACCCCCCTTCACATGGTCGACGAGAACAAAGACTTGTGCAACCGTCTTTGTTCCATGACGAGGGCATCAACAGCGAAGCTACCCCCCCGCACACCTTTCCCTACACATTATCAAGCCATACTGATGAGGAGTTGCCCGAAACGACTAGTTAGGTACAGTTGGTGTCGCTTCCAGCCCAAAACTTGCTGTGAAATGAGCTCTTATTAGACGGACAATTCGAACCAAGACACGCTCAATGCCCGCAGAGCCTCAACCTACGCAAACCACCACTCCACCATCTTTGACGGCACTCTTCTCAGAATATCCAGATCCAATCCTGCCGGACGCGTCGCCGCCACAATGTAGTCAAAATTTAGTTCCAAAAATGTCACTGACCAATATGCCTCCTCAAGCCGCTGTATTTGTGGCACTGCTTCCTGTGCCACCAACGTATCTGCCCACACCACGTCGACTTTGCCCGAGAGCACCAGGCTTCTTGCGAGCTCGAGGCCCGGCGAGTTGGCCAGGTGCGCCTGTCCCGGCTTGAAGCCGATCCCGATGACCAGGATCTTCAGACGCGCGCCGCCAACGTACTGCCCGGCCAACTTTTCCACGATGCGCTGCGCCAACACGCCCGGTCGCGCGCGCATCGTCTCTGTCGCGCGCTGCAGCAGCGGAAAGTCGTTGTTGGACAAGAGGTAAAAGGGATTGACCGGAATGCAATGCCCGCCGACGCCGAGTCCCGGCGTACAGGGTAAATAGCCAAAGGGCTTGGTCGCCGCGGCACGGCACACCTCAAACGGGTCGATGCCATGGCCGGCGCAGGCGTCGGCCATTTCGTTGGCGTAGGCGATGCACACCATGCGCTGGCAGTTTTCGTAGAGCTTCATCATCTCGGCGACTTCGGGCCGGGAGACGCGCACCACCTCATCAAAGGCCCGCGCGTACAGCCGCGCAACCGCGTCGCTCGAGCCCGCCACCACGTCGTCCAAGCCCGAGACGACCTTGGGAATGGCGCGCGTCGGCGGCACCGTGCGGCCCGGATCGACGCGCTCGGGGGACATGCCAGCAAACAGGCTCTTGGCGGCGGCGACGGGCCCGAGGAGAGCCCGCGTCATGCCCACGGCGACGGAGCTCTCGATGACGACGGTGCTGCCGGGGCGGGCATGCCGCGCGACAATGGCAACGGCCTGGCGCAGGTACGACGAGTCGACCTGCTGGTCTGGCAGGAGCAGAGTCGGCACGGCAATCAAGAAATGCGTAGCGGGCGCAATGTCGCTGGCTTTGCTGGTGAAGCGGGCGGCGGCGCTACGATGATCAAGTTGGAGTTTGTGTATGCGCGACGCCGAGACGTCGAAGCCAATGACGGGGCAATGGCCGGCAAAGGCGTTGACGAGGTGCTCACCCACATAGCCGACGCCAATCACGGCAACGGTTGGCTCCTGGTTGGGCCGTATTGGTTCCAGATTCTGCGCCTCGTCCTCTGAGTCGACCTCGCCAGGCGGTGTCTGGTCGTAGTAGTCGCGTGTTAGGACAATTCCCGAGCTTGTCTTCTCTACGACATGGTTGGTTATCGGTGGACCTTCCATACTGTCAAGGAGTTGTAGATGATTTTTGCTAGTTTAATCTTGATTCACCATGTCAAGAGACCAAAAGAGACTCGAGGTTTCGGAGTCGGTCTCTTGGCATGGCAATACCAGTCTAGGCGGACAAGATATTTGAAGCATGATTGCATGGGTGGACCACTAGAATACAAGTAGATTTTCCATCAGCACATATCCGGCTGTGAAGCATCGCCCACGTCGAGACGATGCCGTGTATATGTAGTACTTGCATGGACTTGCTCGTCCCTCGCCGAGATGACTCGTTATACGAGAGATTGCGCGAGCACTGCTGTGCTACCTCGGGCAACCAGTCACAGCCGGTAATAACAATTATGCACTCAAGTGTGTTTCGGATACCAGCATACTCGCACAAGGCCAGTTTCAATCTACATCGCGTATAGCCCCCTTCAATATTGCTTGTGGCTAAGGTGGTGGTGATGAAGGATGCAGACAACACACTGCATCCATGCTTTTCACATCGCCGGGTAAGATGTAATGTCTTGCCTCAGTGCATATGTAATGATTGACTGTGCAGAATATTGAGACTCAAGTGAGGCGCTAGGATTTGCGATTGGAACCAATTGTCAGAACCAATGCATGTAGGTCTGCGCCCACGATGTAGCCTCACTATCATTTAACGACCTGTATTGCCACTGGCAGCCCTCGCCTTGAACATTGTCAACCTGTCAATTCCAAGACTTTGATTATCATTATGAAGCATACACTTGCCATTGTTTCAGCACTGAGCGTTTTGGTAGTCGCGCACACATCGCTGGCCAGCTTCACCGGCCCTACTACCCTAATAAACAAAGGCCAGCAGTGCGGTGCGGGCGTGGGATTATTCTGCGCGCCAGGATTGTGTTGTTCAGAAGGAGGATGGTGCGGAACAAGCCATGCACACTGTGGTGGCTCTCAGTGCCAACTGGATTACTGCGACTCCTGCGATACATTGTAAGAGAGCCTTTTTGACGGCACTCGACTTTTCCGGCTGACGGCGTGTAGCAAAGGGCCGTCCGGGCCATCGACTGGCGATATTCGCCGCGAGAAAATTGGCGCCGTTCCATACGGTAAGTAAAGACAGTTTCAGTATTTTAGATTGATCCTGATTTTGGAAAGGCACAATCATCACGAGTTGCAAAACCCCCGGCACAATGGCTCTCACGTTTGACGACGGCCCGGACGTGTACACCTCCCAGCTTCTCGACATTTTGAAATCATACAACGTCACGGCCACCTTCTTCATTGCCGGAAACAACCGGGACAAGGGCCCAATGGACGACCCGGCGCGCCCGTGGGCCGGTGTGCTTCGACGCATGCACAATGAAGGCCACCAGCTGGCGAGCCACACTTGGACGCACCGCAACTTGAACAAGGTCAACAGGACCATCCAGTACTCTGAAATCGTGTACAATGAAATGGCCTTTTGCAACATCTTTGGCTGGTTCCCCACTTACATGAGACCGCCGTATCTAGAGTGCAACGCGGAGAGTGGCTGCAGGGACACCCTCCGGACGCTGGGCTACCATATTGTCAACAGCAACATGGACACCAAGGATTACCTCCATAACTCGCCTGAGAATATCCGTCTCTCCAAGGAACGCTTCGAAAAGGCTGTATCTCGGGATGCTTCCCGCAACAGCTACATCACGCTGGCCCACGACGTGCACCACCAGACGGTCGTGACGCTCACCGGCTACATGATTGAGCTTTCGCGAGAGCGCGGCTACAAGCTCACCACCGTGGGCGAGTGTCTGGACGATACCCGCAGAAACTGGTACCGAACCACGCCCAACGCCCCCCCCGAGACAGCGGCAGTTTGCCTGGGCACTGTGGCGCCCGGATGTCAAAGGAAACTTTGGTCGCTGTAATTAGTTGGGGCCAACGATGCGAGCAGCATGAATGGATTATGAATGCCATGCCATGATTGGATGATGTAGGGCGGGCGGGCATGGCAGCAGCCGGGCATTGGTTTGTAAGTGAATACAAAGTTTTCAGGTTCAAATCTCGTATACGGCGGCGCTCAAAGTGCCACGAACAAGCTCAGACCACCGGGAAAGAGTATGGAAATAGGGCAGTCTAATCAAACTAACAATCTACGTCCAGCGTTACAGGCAACACCACTTTGTCGTCATGCCAGGGTCAGGGCCAGCGACCGGGTTGCACCGCGGATGCGAGCCGCGTGCCGCGTTACACAGCGGACACGGCATCCTACAAATGCAAGTGGTGTGGCCAATGAAGAATAATTCAAATAATTCACGTGTCAAGATGAAACGTGGCAGATGAAGAGGGCGTTATGCCGCTCGCCCAGAATAGCAACCATGGTACTTTTGCAGAGGCATCTGCATCCCCATCACTTTAGTCTCTCACTTTAGGCTAAAAGAAACTGCACCATTGCTTCTCATGAAACATGCTTGTCAGGTGAGAATTTCCCGACGTGTCAGTCTATTCCAGCTTGTTCTTCTCTGGAGAAAAACACATCACTGACCACTATACGAGGTGGCACGCCGAAGCAGTCACCTCCAAAGTGCAATACAGCAGCATGGGGAAGCTGTCATCCCTGACCGAGTCGGCTTGTTCACGCTGCGAATCATGATAGATCTTTGTGCTACCGATTTGCCACGAGAGCTTCTGGCAGATGATGCACAGTGTCATTGGTGAATAATCCAGTTTATTTATGGCATTACGGTAGGGTGGGAGACAAGCTCAAGGGCTGACACGCAGGGTGACTCGCTTCGAGCAGTCTCTTGGCAGCCTAAATACGGAGAAGGGCAAGTTCGGGACAGTTAATATATGTTTTACTTGCGGTTATTCGCTTAGAACGATGTTTGCCGTGCAGAAATGTAGCAAACCTTAACGGCCTCCATAAAACCAGCCTCTGCCCGTACTCCGAGTTCGTCGTCGAATGACCCAAGCTGCTGTGTCTTGCCTGCCGCCGTTTTGTCCACAAATCGGGACTACTCTTTAACAAATATGCGAGACTCCAAAGAGGCGCAGCCGTCACTGGAGGAGATTCGGATTATTCAAGAACTCTGCCCACCTCAGCAAGCCGTGCTGGCTGCGGAGCCCGGGTCTCGAGCTTCGGTATGTGGCCAAGAGTATCAAAGCAACAATGATACTAACAATGTAGTCGATAAATCGCCAAATAAATGGCATTCTACCACACGGAATTCAAACTCCGCAAACGGATGCTTCATGGAACTCGCACGGCGCCGACTCTGACATTTCCTTTAGCTCCGCTGTACAACAAGAAGAAGCCAAGCTTCGATGGGATGCCGACGCGGAGCTTAAACGCCTGTCCAAAACACTACTTCGAATGCAAAAATGGGGTCTGATTAGTGGACTCGTCATTATCAACGGCACGCTAATCTACTCGGCTTTGAAGTTCTGGCAAGTCTACTACCTCTTTATCGTCCTGCTAAGCTCCAACACGGTCCTCCAAGTGCTGATGATTGTCTGCATCATTGGCACCTGGACCTGGAAACACATTCTCTGCGGCTGGCGAAAGCCAAAAAAAGAGACTACTGTGCCGGACGAGCCAGAGAAGCTGGTGCTCCTGCTGCCGTGCTACAACGAGACGCCGGAGGAGCTGTCGCGATCGCTCGACTCGCTGGTCGAGCAGGAGAACCTGGACAGCCACCCCAGGCTCATCTTGATCGTCGTCGACGGCAACGTGCGCGGGCCGGGCATGACCAAGACGACGCAGCGCTACCTGCTCGAGGACATTCTGGAGCCCGGCCCGCGCCGCGTCTTCGCCAACGGGTACCGCGCGCGCGACGGCCTCTTGATGCCGGTCAGGGTGCAGACGGGCACATACCGCGGGATCCCCTACATCCTCGTTGGAAAAAAGTACAACCAGGGCAAGCGTGACAGCCTGTGCTTTGCGCGGTCGCTCCTCTACCACTACCACTACCACGACCGGCTGCGGACGACCGCCGACAACGCCGTCACCACCATGTTCCACAACGACCTCTTTGCGCACCTGGGCACGGCGCTGCTGCAGCGCGGCCTCTGCACCATCGACTACCTCGTGGGCATGGACGCCGACACCGTGTTTGACCGGCGCTGCGTGTGGGAGATGCTGCGGGCCATGCGCGCGGCGGACCCGAGCGTGGTGGTGGGCGTGTGCGGCCACGTGTGCGTCGACTTTGGAGCGCGCCGATTTCGTCTCTGGTCGCTGTACCAGTCGGTCGAGTACGCGCAGACGCAGGGCCTGCGGCGCATGTTCCAGTCGCGCGTCACGGGCAAGGTCAGCTGCCTGCCGGGCTGCTGCCAGCTGCTCCGCGTCGACGAGGCGACGTTTGGCGACGTCGTGCTGCGGCGGCGCTTCGGCTACTGCCCCAAGCCAAACGACGTCATGACGCGCCACATCATGGGCAGCTACTCCGAGGACAGCATCCACGCGAGCATTATTTTTAGCCTGTTTCCGGACAGGCAGACGGCGCAGGCGCTGCGCGCCAAGGCGTACACGACGGTGCCGCAGGGCTGGCGCGTGTTTCTGTCGCAGCGCAAGCGGTGGGCGCTCGGCAGCATATCAAACGAGTTTGTTATGATCTTTCGGCCGTGCATCCTGTGGGTGGAGCGGCTGCAGAGCGTCGTGGCGGTGCTGACGTGGGCGATTACGCCGTTCATCGTTGCGGCGCTCGCAGAGATGATCATGCTGTTGGTGAAGCATGGAAGGGAAGTAATTCAGGATCCAGTATTCATCTCGCTGCTGTCATTGCTCTGGGTTCGCTATGTAAGTTGCTTCCCCCGAAAAAAGACTGATTGGCAAAGACTGATTGTGGTCGCGCTGACATTTTTTGGAATGGACATAGTTGTACTCGTTCTGCATCGGTTTCTGGCTTCCGCAAAGTAATCTCGAACGGATTCAGTATTTTGTCGGCTTCTTTCTACATTTTTTCACGTCGCCGTTTATGAACATCATCATCCTCGTGTACTCACTGATGCACTCGGACGACTTTCAATGGGGCAAGACGCGCGAGGTGATTCAAGAGGACGGCGAGTCGAATGCGGATGGGCAAGGCGGAAGAGGGAATCATTGACCATCATGCGGACTGGAGAAGAATGAATAATTGACAGTTGCTTGTGGAATATGATACTGCGCGCGATGAAAGGCGCCCTAGAATAAATATACTGCCTAATTATCACAATTTGCTTGGCTGAGGAGGCTGGAACGACCGGTGCACGGCATCTAGTAACGATATGTCATGTAGTGCAATTTTCTCTTTTATTTGCGAATCGTAGCAACAGATCTTTAGACTAGACGCCGCCGTGACCTTCCGTCTTCCCAGAACAGCTTACCCGAAAGGCGTTTTCATCACTGATGGCCTGCTGGCCGTTGCTCTTCTTGTTACTTCCAGCCTCGTAGATCTTTTCAATATCTGGATGTTCTCGACATATGCATGCCATTTAGAGTCTGCTAGACGCTTTTGGCCTCCAAGTTTCATTTGATCTCATACATGGCACTAATAATGTGGAATTTTTAGACGGGTTTATGGATAGGACTAGGCAAGTTGGCAAGCTAGTCTAGTGTCCTGGGCACCAGCTATGTAAGTATAGAGAGAGCATGTACTGTGGAAAACGTCAGAGAATTTTTTTTCGCGTCACTTGCATACCATAATAATACTCTGATAGTAGACCTGTTAAATCCCTTGGTATCTGTTGCAAGAGGGAGCGAATAGGGAGATGACGGCCTACACGAAATGAAAGATGAAGATTCTGGTAGAAACTCATTGCAAGATCAAGCGTAGTATATCAGTTCAAGACTGTAAACATGTCAGTGATAATTCTGTTGCTCCAAAATCACGACTTACACAGCGAGAATGACATGGGCCACAAGCGGGTACCGCCGGCGTTGGGGCCGCGGCGAGGCGCTGCATGGTGGGGCAGGAAAAAAAGCTGCGGCGGCGGTGGCGGGGTGTTTTGAACGTCTTTTTAGACACGCCACTTTTCCAAACAACCATCGTCAACTTTCTTTTTCCTTGTTTCTACACTTTTCTCCTTTTTTTCTCGATAAATACCGTCACCATGGCTGATTCACCCAGCATCCCCCATGTCGGCCGCAAACCCGCCACGGTCCTTTCCGCCACCGAGCTCATCGGCAACACCCCGCTGGTTCGACTCAACAAGGTGCCACAGTCCCTCGGCGTCGAATGCGAAGTCTACGTCAAGGCCGAGCTATTCAACGCCGGCGGCAGCGTCAAGGACCGTATCGCCCTGCGCATGGTCGAGGAAGCCGAGAAGAGCGGCCGCATCAAGCCCGGCGATACGCTGATTGAGCCCACCTCGGGCAACACGTACGTTTCCGGCCGCGTTCTCACGGCCAACCCTGAGGGCCGATGAGACAAAGCATGCTAACAATTTTTCCCTTTTTTACTCCAGCGGCATTGGTCTAGCCCTTGTCGGTGCCATTAAAGGCTACAAAACCATCATAACCATGCCCGAGAAGATGTCAGCCGAAAAGGTCTCGGTCCTGCGCGCGCTCGGCGCCACCATCATCCGCACCCCGACCCAGGCCGCATGGGACGCCCCCGAGTCGCACATTGGTGTCGCCCGTCGTCTTGAAAAGGAGATTCCCAACGCTCACATCCTCGACCAGTACGGCAACCTCGACAACCCGCTCGCCCACGAGCACGGCACCGCCGAGGAGATTTGGGAGCAGACGGGCGGCAAGATTGACGCCATTGTCGCCGGCGCCGGCACCGGTGGCACCATTAGTGGCCTTGCCCGCGGCCTCCGCAAGCACAACAAAGACATCAAGGTCATTGCGGCTGACCCCCACGGCAGCATCCTCGCCGTCCCCGAGTCGCTCAACGAAGAGCACGCCAACCAGCCGTACAAGGTCGAGGGCATCGGCTACGACTTCATCCCCGAGGTGCTCGACCGCGAGCTCGTCGACAAGTGGTACAAGACGGGCGATCACGAGTCATTCTACCTCGCTCGTCGCCTGATTTCGGAAGAGGGTCTCCTCGTGGGCGGCAGCTCCGGCTCGGCCATGGCCGCCATGCTCAAGGCCGTCAAGGATTACGGTTTCAAAAAGGGTCATGTGGTCGTCGTCGTGCTGCCCGACAGCATCCGTAGCTACCTGTCCAAGTTTGCCGACGACGACTGGCTGGCGGCCAACAACCTGTTCCCCATCAACGGCATCGAGAGCGCGTCGGTCACGAGCCCCCACGGCAAGGCGACAACCAAGACCGATCCCTACGCCGGCGCCACCATTGCCTCGCTGCGCCTCAAGCCCGTCACTTCGGTCGCTGCCACAGCCGAGTGCGCCGAGGCCGTCGAGACGATGCGCGACAAGGGCTTTGACCAGCTGCCCGTGCTCGCCGCCTCGGGCCGCCTCGTCGGCGTCGTCACCCTCGGCAATCTGCTGAGCTACATCTCGAGCGGCCGCGCCACCGGCCAGACCCAGGTCAAGGACGTCATGTTTGACTTTGGCCGCATGGACGAGATTGTCACGGACCCTCGCCAGACGGCCGCCTCGGGCAAGGACGTCAAGCGCAAGTTTGTCGAGATTACCCTCGACACGTCTCTCAACTACCTGAGCAAGTTTTTCGAGTGGAACAGCGCCGCCGTCGTCACGGAAAAGAGCGCCGACAGCAAGACGCTAGCCAAGCCGGTGGCGGTTGTCACAAAGGTCGACCTGCTTACTTGGATGGTGAACCAAAAGCTATGAGCGGATCGGCAAAGGTGGAATTGCCAAAGTTTTCTACTCTTTTGATACATGTCGTACCAGTTTTGGCGTTTGTGATTTTGGACTCAACTTTTCATGGGAGACTGTTGTCAATAAATAGACTAGACACCAGGACGAGCCTTGTAGACTCAACATCTACGGTTCTTGATATGATCAGACGATGAATAAAACGAACAAGTTAATGACGAGAAGCCGGCCCGAGCATGTACATGACGTTGAAATCCAGGCACAGATTGCTTGAGAACAAGAAAATTATTGATACAGTACACTTGGCTATGATACAGGAGTTTTCGAACTAGTGATATAGTACATTTCGTTATGAATTAGAAAGGTTTGTTTTTTTGTACTGGCTGCTGCGTACAAGTCACAGCCACAGCGAACAAGTCTATATTCTCTGCGCAATCCACCACCACCACTTGTCCGCGTCAGGCTCCTCCGCCACGACAGTCCCGGGCAAAACATCCACATCAATGCCAAACTCCTGCATCTGGGCAAACGAAAACTTGTCGGCGCCATACTCGCCCAGCCAGCCGTCCTGCTCCTCGGCACCGAGCTCATCAGCGCCGACGCCCGAGTCGAGCAGGCCCTTGCTGCGCGACGCGCGGATGCGCGAAATCTCCGCCTCGAGGTTCGCGCGCACCATGGCTGCGGGCAGCGCCGTAAACAGGTCCATCTTGTTGGCGGCCACGAGCACTGGCACGGCGGCGCCGCGCCTGTCCTTGGACCCCCTTGTCGTCATCGTCGTCGCCTTCTTCTGCAGCACCAGCAGCGCATCGTACAGATACTGCGCCGTAGCGGCCAACACGTCGTGCTCGCCGAGCGCCGCGGCGTCGACGACAAAGACCACGGCGCGGAGCTTGTCGGCGCGGCGCAGCTTGCCGAGTGCCGTGTTGCGCAGCTTGCCGTGGCCGGGGGTATCCACGAGCAAGAATTTGGTATACGTGCCGTCCGACTCGTCGCGGTTGCGGTACGTCGTCTTGTTGGCCGCGTCGGTGGACGCGTGGAGCTCGACCGACTGCGACGACTGCGAGGTGCGCGTGGCGGCGGCGGGCGCGCTGCCGCCGCGCTCGTACAGCGTCTGGAGAGCCGTCTTGCCGCCGCCGGAAGGGCCGAGGAGGAGCACGACGGGCGGCACAATGTAGGTGACGCTGCGGGAGAGGACGACGTGCAGCAGCACCGGAGCGCCGAGGACGACGAGCAAGCCGAGGAGCACGACGGGCCACGACGGCGTCATGAGGAAGGCGACAATTTGCTCAAAGGTAGGCATCGTGGCGGGCTGCGTCGGGTCGGGGGAGCGAATGTGAGTCGGAGAGGGGGGGAGGTGGGAAATGGAATATGGGAGATTGGGCGCCGGGCTGCCCGTGTTCGTCTCTCCTGAAGTTGGTTGTCGAAATGTTGGCGTTTGAGTCGTTGGTGGCTACTCGGGCCAGATTGGTTTTGGTGGGGTCTTGAATTTCGGGCCGCAAGTCCTGCGCCTCTGCCAACTTTTGGTCGCCACTTGTGGCTGTAGTTCTTGCAGATGGTGTAAATCAAGGCGCTCGAATTTAATATACGTGCTATCAGGGCAAAGAAATCGACAATGCAATTCTGTATACTGTGACTTTTTTTCTGCGGATAATAAGATGAGAAATACTCTTTGGCTTAGAGCGCGAGACGCGCAGTGCAGTCTGGACATGACCCATGTCTAAGCCCACCAAAGTCATGCCATCCCAAGCTCAGAACGGGCTAAAACAGCAGAAGCAATATCGTTGTCTTTGCATATAAACAAAGCACAAATCTAGTAAGAATGTACAATCTATGATGGCTGAAACGGAAGGCAGGTCTTGAGCCACGATTGCCATTACAATCTGGATACACGGGGCTTGTACAACTTGAGTGTACTCTCCGCCCAGGCTGCCTTGACTAGAAACCCAGGGCGCGCTTGGAAGGGACTCGCATCGTCGCCATGGAAATTGACTTGGCAGCAGCAGACCTTTTCATCAAGAACTTGCTCTCGACGGCTCCCGCAAGCCTGTGTGCCATCGAGCTTGGTAAAGTTCACAAGACGGCAGCAGCACCATCACCCGTTCGCGGCCACGCGGCCGGCCGCGACCGATGTGTTGGACACGTAAAACCAGACGTGACGAACATGCGAGGCCTGGTGAACACGCTAGAAGCGCCAAATGGGCCCTTGTGGTCAAAGGCCGGTTGACGAGTGGCTCATTCGAGCTGCTCGATTCTCGGTCTTTCGGGAAACTGTGATAATGATAGTTCAGAAAGAATAAAGGCGGCCCTTTTGGCATCTTCAGATCCCACTCGTCGAACCATTCTCCCTCCTCTCATCATCATGCAAGTGCATATATCCGAAAGCTTACATCGACGAGCACGTTGTTAGCAAGATGGTGAGCTCCCGCAGTGCAAAAGCGCCAGCTTTGTGTGTTGCTGTCTGTGACCTGCTTCGTCTAGAAGACTAAACGACTTATATGACAGCAACTTCGAACGGCCGATGCCGCGCCGCTACGTGGCTACTCTGGACATGGTTCGGGGTTCGTCCCTCGACACGTTCCGCTCTTTAGGGTGAAGTATGACCCCGTTGCTAAGGGCGGCGAGACGTACAGCTAGGGCGACATCATGAATCTCTGCACGTCGACGGTCGAATGGTGTGCGATGGCGGCATGCCGACTCACAAACTGAAGGTTGAGAGGAGAAAGTCTTGGTCATCGTTTGACCTGTGTCGCAACGGACTTTGGTTGGTTGTGAGATTCACCAGCCACAGGCAGTCTCCCCTTTGATGCGTTTGCGCTAGTCTCAATAAGGAAAGCCCAGTCGAAGCTCAGCCACGCTGTGAACATCATCAAATCTCCTAGCCGGCAATGAAAATTGTCAGCCGGTTTTCTTCATTCTTTTCCTGTCGAGATTTTTGGCCTACGGCTTCATTTAGTACAGCATCCAGCATTGCGCCACCAACATTCTTCGTCTTCATCCATAACTAGCATGAGTGCGCCCTAGGCTCAACGAAAGCCGTGTCTCACATCTGTCCGAAGCCCGGCACCAACGGCCATTTAATTTCGCCCTTATTTCTCAGACCATTCGTGACCGACCCCGATAACCCCCTGCCGGCAACGGTCTCTCTGCCGAGCACGTATGGCCAGCCCGGCACGACCAAGCAGCATATCTGCTGCGTCGTCTACCCATATGCAACCATTGACCAAGGCCTCTGCCGCGGCACCCAAGCTTGACAGCAACATGGAGATGGGGAGCATACAGAACGAGAGCGCGGGAGCGGCAACTGCTGCGGCTGCTCCGCCTGCGCCCGAGGACGACATTATGCAGTATGCTCGTACCGGCGACGTGCCTGCGATGGAAAGACTTTTCGAGTCGGGAGAGTCTGACGCTACCTATGCCGACGACGAAGGAATCACACCTTTGCACGTATGTGTTTGGGCGCTGTATCGACTGCCATGATGATCAAGCTAACAGCACCAGTGGGCAGCAATTAACAACCAGTACGCAATGTGCAAATTCCTCATCGATCACGGCGCCGAAATTAACAGAAAGGGCGGCGAATCCGTCGCAACGCCCCTGCAATGGGCCGCCCAGCGATGCCACTACTACACCGTCAACCTACTCCTCCAGCACGGCGCCGATCCTCTCATCACCGACTCCCAGGGCTACAATACTCTTCACATCTCTACGTTTAACGGTAATGTGCTGCTCCTCATCCTCCTGCTGCACCAGGGCATCCCCGTCGACGTCGTGGACAGCTACGGCCACACCTCGCTCATGTGGGCGGCCTACAAGGGCTTCCCACAGTGCGTCGACGTCTTCCTGCGCTGGGGCGCCAGTGTGCACGCGACCGATGAGCAAGGATTCACGGCACTGCACTGGGCTCTCGTCAAGGGGCACCCAGCGTGCATCCTTAAAGTCGTCGAGTACGGCGCCGACCGCTTCGCCAAGACGGATACCGGCAAGACGCCGGCGGTTACCGCCAGCGAGCTGCACACGGAGAAGGCATGGCATCGAGCGCTGAAGGAATGTGGCTTTGACGAGGATGGAAACCCTTCGATGCCGCCGTGGCCCGGCGCGTCCTACTTTCTAAAAGATAAGCGCACATTCTTGACGAGGTTTCTTTTCCTCTGGCCGTTTTTGCTGGTATGGTCGGGTTTGATGACGTTGTCGCATACGCCTGTATATTTCGGCATTCCGTCTGCGGTTCTTATTGGGTATGGGATCACGTTTTGCGCGCAGCAAGTGCTGGAATATGCGCCGTCGGACATGCGCCACTTTCATAAGACACCGTGGATGGCTGGCATCTTTGCCGGCTCGCTGTTCCTTGTCGCTGTCAACTGGTTCTTCACCGTACTGCCGTATACCATGTTCAGGGCCGAGACGACGCACCCTCTGTTGAACGTCATCTTTGGCGTGTGCATATCGCTCACCACCTTTTTTTACGCTGCCTGTATGCGTTACGACCCCGGATATGTCCCCAAGATGAACGGCATTGCCGAGCAACGTGCTGTCATCGACGACCTGCTCAAGACGTGGAAGTACGACGAAACCAACTTTTGTGTTACGTGCATGATTCGTACGCCTCTGCGTAGCAAGCATTGTCGTCGATGTCAGCGCTGCGTGGCCAAGCACGACCACCACTGTCCCTGGGTCTACAACTGTGTCGGTGTCAATACCCACCGCCACTTTTTCTTCTATCTCGTTTCCCTCAGCATCGGCATCCTTTTCTATAACTGGCTGCTCTGGAACTACTTTAGCAGCATCTCTGCCAACGCATCGGATCAATGCAACGTCTTGAGCCCCAGCCTCTGCAAGATGGTGAACGCCGACGCCTACACGCTACTACTCGGAGCCTGGATCACGCTGCAGCTGACGTGGGTGTCCATGCTCGTCGCCACACAGCTCATCCAAGTGTCGCGCGCCATGACAACCTATGAGAACATGATGGGCATCAGCACTGGCCAGAACGCTTCCACGGCATTCACCTCGACCGGCGCGCCGCTCGACCCCAACCACCCGGCCATCTCCGCCAGTCCTGCCAGTGCACCGGCCGCCGCCAAACGTCAGGGCGGCAAGTTGCGGTCGTGGTGCCGTCTTCTGGGCGTCGACCCTTTCATCGAGACCATTGCCGGCCGTGGCGCTGCGACCGGCAAGAACCGCCGCAAGAAGAAGAATCCCTACAGCCGCGGCTGTCTCCTCAACTGCAAGGACTTTTGGTTCGACCCCGCGCCTATTTTTGGCCAGCGCGACAATGGCACGGCGCTGCTTGGCGGCGACAAGGTCGACTACACGGAAATGTACGAGAGCCCGACCCTGATGCAGCTCACGGGTATGCGAGCTAGAGGCGGCTATGAGGCTGTGGCCGGAGAGGATGAAGTCTAGGGAAACGATTTCTTCTTTGAACCATGATTGATTATGGGTATAGAGCTTTTCGGCGCAGCATGGCTCGAGAGCATTATAATTCTTTTCCCTTTTTTTTCTTTTTTTGTGTATAACCTAACTGAGTTGGCCGGGGGCCGGGGGGGGCTTTTTCTTGGAATTCTGTGTGTGAGGAGTAGAAGAGGGCTGTTTGCGTGCATTCAAACGCCGATACGGAATGATTCATGACCATTAGGTAAATACATACTACCATTGTAATACGTACAACAAGACATGTTTTTCAGTGTTCAGCAAGCCTCAGAATATGGGCTCTACGCCAGCATCATCCGCTCACTATCCCCCCCCTCGTATTAACGAATTAGATGATTCTACGAATGCTGCGAGGAACGGCTACACGGCCCAGTCGAACCAGTCATCGACGGCGATGCCTTGTTGCAGCGCGTCCACGTCAGCGGCCGCTTCTTCGTGCCCCGTCCGTCCTCTGTTGAGAAACAAGTGACGAACGCGACACTTTGCGCAGTCTACCTGACGATCCAAGGAACTGAGAATCATTGGTCGAAGTGAAAAAAAAAAAAAAAAAAAAAAAAAAAAAATAACTCTCCCGTGCAGACGGACAACAAGGGAGAACAAAGGCGGGCGGCGTTTCGCCCGCGTTGGGTGTGTAGCTGCGGATGCGATTCTCACGGTTAGAAGGCAAGGTGCACACGGTCGCGAATTATCAGGTGGGAAATTTTGTGGGCAAAGAGACAAGAAGTCTTGTTAGTATGGGACTGGATGTTGGTTCGAGTTACAGCCGAGCAACCGGAATTCTTGCAAAGAACGAGTGTTGCTCCAAACGGTTCCCCGTAGCTTGGTGGAGCGTGATACCTTGCCGTGATACATGACACTGAACGCCTGGCTGAAAGTCAACCGGGCTTGGATGTAGTACATTGAGCCGTCTGACGCGACGCATAAAGCCTTTCCAACGGCAAAAGTTGGTAGTCGAGGAAAGTGCTCATCAGGATGCACAAGTCTAGGGAAAAAGGAGGTGGGCATTCATCTGTTTTGTCTGCATTCGGCAACCACGCGCACGTTGGCCGATTCGCACACCAACTTGGCGGTGTAGAGTCTGATTAGATGATGAACTGTATTTTTTTTTTTTCAGTCTTGCTAACATGAAGTACTTCTACTATAGTGTAAAATGAGTAGCATCTGGATGCATTGCGAGTCATGATTCTAATTGAGCAAGTCCGTGTAAGCGAGTACCCGCGAGCGCGCGAGTATCCAAATCCGAAGAATTGTTCAAACATGAAGTCATAGAAATGTAGCATGAACCACGCCGAACCGAGCTGCCGCGCGTCAAATCTAAGGGTAGTTATTACTGCCTGGCCGGCAAACTGGCTACACAAGTTCTCGCGTTATCCGTGCCTTTCAACACTTGGTACCACGCGGTAAAAACCAACCAACAGTGGAGACTTGTCTACGGCATAACCAACACGGGCATCCTCTCTTTGTAGATGATAAAAATGAAGTCTCCATTATAATTGATTACAACATTACTCTCTATTTTCTGTCATTCTGCCCGATCGCAAGTTCCACCCCCCACGCACCCCCTCCACCGTCCTTCTCGTCTTCGCAGGCGGCACGGGCGGCTGGTCCGGCGCCGGCAGCACCCGCTGACTCTCGGACCATTGCCAGAGCTCGTCCGCAAAGAGCCTGGCCAGGTGCGCAACATCAGCCTCTGCCGGCGTCTCGGCCCCCGCAACGCGCAGCATCTCCGCCCGCCGCGAGTTACCCCCGTCGCCAAAGTGAAACACCCACGCGTGCTCCCCGCTGACGAGCACGCTGTCCAAGTCGACGCTCTCCCACGCGATGCCGTGCGCGTGCAGCTGCGCCAGCGTCTTGACCAGGGCGCGCTTCCACGCGCGCTTGGTGGCGTCGTCCGAGCAGGCGTCGCCCGACTGCAGGGCCTCGCGCAGCGGCACGCCGCGGTCGACGTACGTCTGGACGAGGCCGAGAGCGCGCTGCTCGTCGTCGACGACGAGGTAAAACGTGCGCGGGACGTTGAGCGGGTCAAACGTGGTGGGCGGAAAGGCAAACTCGTGAAAGATGTCGGCGTCGATGGCTTCGTACTTGGCAATGAGGCGGGCGACGCCGGCCGCGTCGTCGAGGCCTTCAAAGGACTTGAGGTAGAATCGGTGGCCGGACATCCAGACCTCGCGTGGCTGGTCGCCGAGGATGGTCCGGGGCTCGGCGTGCCAGACATTAACGCCGGCCCACGGAACAATCGTGATTCCTCGGAGCCGTCCGACGTCTTGCAGGTGAGGCAGGGGCAGGTCGGTCCAGGTAGACATGTTGGGGGATGCCTCCGTCGTGCAGTACTCGATGCGCATGCGTCCTTGCTCAGCCGAGACCTGAAACACTCTCCATGGCTTCTGCCAAAACTCCTTCAGGGTGCATTCTCTGTGTCTCTCGCTCGGATCAAATAGCTCCCCGCGGTCGCGGAGCGTGGTGTACATGGTTGGCATGATCCATGCTAGGCAGTCGTCGGGGAGAGGGTCCGAATTTTGCTCGTTGCTGCGAGTGTGAGCTTCCAGGACCGCATAGTGTTGGTCAAAGCCAGCCAGAAGGCGCGGGCAGTCCAAAAAGTCAGCTCGGTTCGCTTTGAAGATGAATCTTCCCAAAGCAGTTCCCACGCGCAGCTTGAACCATCGCACTTTTTCGTCGCCCGAGTCTGGGTCTTTCCGGCCGCACTCGGCTGTCCAGAGACGGGCAAAGTCGTTGGCGTGTTCGGCTTCGGTAGACATTGTAGAAGAAATGGGTTAAAGGCTTGGTAGTTGATTTAGGTGAGACCGATGAGAGTAGTTGGGACAACTATTTATGTAGTCATGACTTATACTGCGCTCTGGAAAATGTTAGGTATCACGAATGTTTGGCTTCTCATCCACGAGGCACAAAGCGCGTAGCCATTGCTAGAATTCTTCTGTTCCGAGTTACAAAACCATAATGTGCCGGCACACCCGTATGCTACACCAGGAACTTCCAACAATGAAAAACTCTTACACAGACACACAAGTCTCCCGCGACAAAAGAAGAGATATGATGCAAGGTGAGCACAAGACAACAGAGAATGAGAGCAGAGCTGCGATACGAGGAGTATGCGACAAAGACAATGCTGTAACAAAAAGATGAATGCTGTCGAGACTAGAAGCTTCGGCCCTGATCAAGCTTATGGTAGCCATCCGTTTTGAGCACTCGCTTCTCCAGCTCGGTAAAGTTGTTGGGCAGGTCGAAGCCGACGCCAAAGAGCACAAAGAGCGCCCACTTCCAGCGAAACGGGTTGATGGAGACGCAAAAGACAAACCACCAGACGAGCTCCAGGTAGGTGAAGAAGTCAAAGGCCGGGGTGGGCGAGTACGACTTGAGGAAGCGAGTGAGGCCGATCCAGCGACGCATCCAAAACGGCGAGGGCCGCGCGAGGGGGTCGGTGATGAACATAAGCATGATGCGGGTGTAGATGCCAATGTGCCAGTTGCCGACGGTGCCAATGGCGGCGACGTAGGTGCAGTTAATGGCCGACAAGCTGGGGTGCGGCGGCGGAAACGTCTGCAGGTACCAGTTGGGCGGGCAGTAGGGATCCTCGAAGCAGTCCTGGGGCAGAAAGGAGAGGCTCGGGCGCTTGAAGCCCGTCGCGAGCACGACAATATCGGCGTCGACGACCTTGTCCTTGCCGGGCCCGCCCTTGGGGACGCCCTGCGCGCGTTGGTTGACGTGGACGCCGTGCTCGGTGAAGCCCTCAATGTCGCCGCGAATCCACTGGGCCTTGCCGTCGCGCAGCTGCTGCATAATGTCCGAGTTGACCATGGGCGTATCGGTGAAGAGCCCGACATCAGACGGCGCAATGTCGGCCATGTCCCGGTAAAAGAGCCGCCGCAGCAGCGTTTCGGGGATCCACGACAGGCTCGTCTCGTGCCCGAAAATGTTCATGCTGAGGAGCGCGTCGACAAAGATGTTGCGCGGAATGATCCATTTGTCGGAGCGCGAGAGAATGGAGATTTGCGAAGCACCCTTGGCAATGCCGAACTCGAGGGCCTCGATGGCGGAGGCGCCGCCGCCGATGATGGCCAGCTTCTTGCCCTTGGCGTCGACACTGAAGCATGTTAGCTACACTGTTGAAGTACATGTGAATTTTTTATTAAAGGGATACTGACTTGTCAAGTTTGCTCGAGTGGACAATCTCGCCTTGAAAATTCTCTGCATTGTCAATCTTGGCCATCTTGGGTGGGCCGCAGGTACCGATGGCGGCAATTAGGCCTGCGAAGCGGCCGTTGGAGGGGTCGTTGATGATCCAGCGGCCCTGGTTGTCCTGGTACACCTTTTCGACCTTGTAGTTGAATTTTGTGTGCCTGTCCAGCTTGTAGAGCTTCCAGATATGGCGGATCTGTTGGACGATTTGCTCCTTATTGGGGTAGCCCTTTTGCCAATTGACGGCCGGGTGGAAGCGGTACATGAGAGAGTGAATCTGGAGGCCAGATGTGCTATTTACACGCTATAGAATATTGTGTCAGCTGGATTGACCTCGTGCATTGCCATTTGAGCCCGGGGATATTTTTTCATATCACTTACAGTCCAGATGCCGCCAACAGCCTCCTCATCTTCGGCCTCAAAGATTTGCACGTCAAAGCCATGGCCGGCGCAGTGTGCAGCAGCCGTGACACCAGTCAAGCCGGCACCGATAATGGCAATACGAGGCCGATTGGAAGAAACTCCGTCCTTGGGCGGCTTCGGCGCGAGGGCCAAGCTTATCAGCCACTGCAGAATCTGGTAAAGGAAGAGCAGCGGATGCAGCAGCGGATTTTCGACGCCTGATTTGGACGACATGACGCTCAATTGAGAAATGCTTCAAAATGCCAAAAGAACAATGAACAATGAACAAGATGAATTGAATGAATCGGCGAGTGCAAAATCGATTTCAAGGCGGAGCTACCAGCCGGGTTTTGTGCATGGCATTGTTGCCAGTGTCGCATGTGAAGAAGAGTCCTGACGTCAACATTCACATGCGAGAGATATAATCAGCTCACTGGACGTGCCAGGAACCACACATCGACGCAACGTGGTCCACGAGGCTATGCACCAAATATAATTGGCATAGGTCATTGTGACATACTTTACGAGTTTTGGTGTTTTTTTTTTTGATTGCAGCTCCCTGTCTTATCGTGCAGCATAAAGCCTCAACTCTTCCGTCTGCTCCGGCCGAGTTTCTGCTGTGTACATCACAGCTCCACACAAGCTCATCATGGACAATCCAGGTATGCAGCGGCCACACAGTCAATCTTGCCCACGGCGGCCAAGATGCTGATACAGACTGCAGCAAGCGATATCGAGGGAATCATCAAGACGCTCTGCATGGGTAGCGCCCACGAGCAAGATGCGGCGCTGAATAAGTACTTTTTGCCAGATGCCGAGTTTATCCATCCGCTCTGCTGGGTGCCGAGATTTCGCAACGTTGCGGTTCCTTTTTTCGGGAGCATTGACTCGCTGTGGCTGGTTCAGTGCATCTATCGCTGGTACATTACCTTTGCGCCGAGACTCGACATTGTCGTGGACTCGGCAGGTACGTTAAGCCGGGCCTCCTATCGTGTACCATGTGCTGACCTCATTCCAGCATTCGACGAGAAAAATAACCTTCTCTACACGACGGCGCGACAGAGCCTCACAGTTTGGTTCTTCCCCATCTACTCGGTGACGGTCAAGCTCGTGACGGTGCTCAAGCTGGAGCAGCAGTCATCGCGTCTCGTACGCGACGCGCGCACGAGCCCAGAACTCGAGGTCGATGGCGACACCACCAACGGCGCGGCGATACTCAAGTACTACATTGCCAGCCAGGAGGACCTGTATCAGATGAACTACTGCCTCGAATTCTTGGCGCCGCACGTGGCGGCCCGGCTGTGGACGCTCGTGCAGCTCTTCACGACGGGCGTCTGCATGGTCATGTCGGTGCTGACGTTGCCGCTTCACTTTTACCTGAATCCCGATACCAAGAGGCAAAAGGTTAAGCAGTAGCTGAGTGTTTCAAGACAAGACTTGCGAGATTTCTCCGTGTCTTTGATCATCGCTCACGACGCGTGGCTGGCTGGAACAGTTGGCGTGCGGCGATGGTGAAGATTGTCTGTGAATATCGAAGATCGCTGGGATGAGAATGCAAATGGGGGGCCTGTTTGAGTGATGGCTCAGGAGGGCGAGCTAGTCATCCAGGCGAAACAGTACCAGTCCATACAGGCAGGACACTGCGAGGACAATTTGCGAAACTTGTGCCAGTTTTTGTTTGTAATAATGAGGTAGCGACAATGCAAAGTGAAGAAAGCAATGCCGTTCAGTCTACCCCACTCCAACACAGCGTTATGCAGGCACAATTGCGGCGTAGTAACCTTTGACGGCTTGTGCCAACACGGACGCCGAGCCTTTGGACAAAGAATCCGATTTCCACAGCATTAGACCTTTTTGGCATGAAGAGGATCATGTTGGAAATAATTGGGCAGAGAGAGGCATGATCAAGTTGTGAAATGTTGATGGTGCGTCTTGGCAAACGAGTGAAGAGTTCAAGCACGGTCGCCTGCTTGTCACCCTTGGCAGAAGACGGCTGCGCTGCCAGCTGTCAACGCCTGAAAACACCCCTCTCGTGCCACACTTTTATCCACGCGATTCCTCCGCCTTCATCAGCATCACGACTCAGCAACACGAGTATATATTCAGTACAAAACGTAACTCATTTGGGCCCGATTTGGAGAAAAGGGTCTGAATTTCTTCCAAAAGGTTTTCGATAGTAGTTGTCGAAGCCCGCCACCACGATGCGAGAGAACGCCAGCTAAAAGCCCGCGGACAACAACAGAGCCACCACACCACAGACGGCATAGCTGGGGTGTCGCGTGGGATGGCACGGCGTTTTCTCCCCCCCCCTCCCCCTTTTTTTGTCCTTTATTAGTAAATCACGCCAAGCCAACGGGGCTGAACCCTCTGCCAAGTCGGCGCGCCGCCCGTGCCGTGATGTGCTGCCAAGACAAGATTCCCGACTGCTTGTTCCCGAGAGAAGAAATGATGCAGACGCGCCAAGCCATGCGCTGAGCCAGCGATTTAATAGCCATGTTCGTTCTTCTCATCATTACCCAGACCTTTCAGCTGAGGCGCCTGCCGCAGTCCAAGGTCAGCGCTCTAGGCGCAATTTCGGGTGAACAAAAAAAAAAAATACGAGAATGATACCCAATCAACCAATTCCGGTGACGAAACTTGGCTGGAACTAAGACTTTTGCAGCGCCACGGTGGAGGCCAAGGAAGCCCTCGGGCCGCCAACGCTGGTTCCGTCGGTAGTTGCTTATCAGTATCGAAGAGCGCCTGCTTGTACAAAATGTCTGGTGCAAAGCAATGCCTAGCCAACTCATTATATGCCAGCCTCGTCAGTCACGTTGAAGCTAGTTCCGACCAATCTCACTATCTGTATAGTCCTGTGGCTTGACGCCACCACTACAATGGGGGGGCTTCTGTGGTTATAAACGAACTTGTTGTCAGCTCCGCGCGCTCAATATCCAATCAAGCCTATTCGTCAGGCTGTGGCTGCATCCGCCAGGAACTTTTGCCTGCGCTCAGGCTTGCCTATCCAGTTGCCAGTCAACCAGTCAACGAATGGCCATTGACAACAGGTAATCAAATTCCAAGATTTGCATTGGCAGATCAAGTCACCTACCCGTCAGTCGTCCTTTGCCAGACTTGTACAGTCAGAGATCTTGCCAGCCAAGTGTCAACAATGTCCTCTGTACACATGCCAACAAGCTGTTTCGCCAGTCACTACGAACCACGGCGCCCCGGCGCCATATCTAGCCTTCTGGAAGCAGTCGAAAAGGCCATGCTTCTTTTAATAGGATGCTGCTGGAAGCCTTGTCTGCCGCCGGAATTACGGCACCAACCATATGCGCCATCGGTCTTATAGTCATTGTTCGACTAAACTTGGCTGCACATGGCTCCCTTGCTCCCCTATACACCAACCAATCTTACGAGCACACGCCTCATCACCCAAAATGGCCAACATTCCGGAACTTTTGCATTGCGAGCTAGTATGGCTTGGTCGCTGGTCGCTTACTGGGTCTGACCTGTTTCCGGCTTCGCTAGCGTTGGGGCTATCAGGTATCTACATATCTTTTGGCTTCAACTGACTGCAAGTTGGAGTGGCGATTCTTCGGCGAGATAGCTAGAACCCAAACAGGGCTCGTTCCGCTTGCAACACAACGCGTCCAGCCGCCGCCATTATTAGTTTCCCATCAGATGCGGGTCAACCAATTGTACATTTCTGGAGATGCATGGCGACATGTTGACCTCTTTTGTCAGCTGAACGTTGTTTTCTGCGTCGCCTGTCGGACGGTTGTTTTTTTTTTTCGCAGTGATTCAGTCTGACCGAGTTCAGCGTCGCCCAATGATTCATCTCGCCTGCTCTTCATTAATAGTAGCCCCAAAGAGTCGTAGCTTGCTGGTACCACGCAGCGCAAAGCCCCCAACGAGGCTTTTGGAACCCACTGATGGCCCGGGTGGAGGGAGAGGCAGAGTCCACCGAGGCGCACACTATCTCGAAAATTAGCGTCACTGACTAGAAGCGGAAGGTCACTCTGGACTTCGATATTCTTAGGGGATGCGGGGGAGGCGGCAAGGGTTCGCAATGGGTCCTGATAGGGGACATGCGCCTGTCCACGACGTCTGATCAACTAAGTGAACTAGCCCGTGCCTAGCAGCACCATGGACGTGCTTCTACGACTGCCAATGGTATTGTTGTAAGCTCGCCTTATCAGTGCTACAAAACAGCCCAGATCCCCCTCTCCTCATTTGACCCGAGTTCTCTTTGAGTTTTGTTGCACTCGACTGTGTTCTCGCCGTCCCTAAGCTTACACAGTCATCATGTGTGAGTGTACCACAAAGACAATGCACCGGCTTTATGCATGCATGACTGACCCGTCGCGCAGCGGAATCTGAGAAGCAAATCGTCGCCGAGCAGTACGGTAACAATGTCGCTGTTCAGGATAACAAGCACACCCAGCTTGCCGACTCGGACCAACCACAGAAGGACTACGGCATTGAGCAACACCACCATGATGTCGAGATTCTCAACAAAGATTACGACGGCAAGCCTACCGATGAGGAGCTCGAGACACTTCGTCGCGTTCCTGGAGCCCTCCCAACCACTGCATACCTTCTCTGCGCAGTAGAGTTCTGTGAGAGAGCCTCCTACTACGGCTGTGCCCAAATCTGGACAAATTACATCAATCGTCCCCTCCCGATTGGCGGTAATGGCTACGGTGCCGTCCCACGTGGTAGCCAAGCTACACAAGGTGCCCTGGGCCTCGGTGAACAGGTCGCCAACGCCACGGGCCAGTCCTTCAACCTCCTCGCCTACTGCTTGCCTCTTGTCGTCGGATATCTGGCCGATACTAGATATGGTCGCTATCCCATGATTTTCTGGGGCATCATGCTCTGCGGTCTTGGCCACGTTCTCATCATTGCTGGTGGTGCCAAGGCCCTCCTCGAGGATGGTACAGCCAAGATTCCTTTCTTTATCGGTGTCTACATTCTCGCAATAGGCGCTGGTAAGTCGACAGGTCGCTACCCTCTAATTTTCCAAAAGTCTAACGCTTTGTTTCAGCCATGTTCAAGCCCAACGTCACTCCTCTACTTCTCGACCAGATGAGAAACCACGTTCCCAAAGTCATCACCCTCAAGAGCGGTGAGCGTGTCATTGAAGATCCCGAGCACACAACTGAACGCGCCATGCTCTGGTTCTATCTCCTCATCAACGTCGGTGCATTCATGTCCACAGCCACATCATACTCGGCCAGATATGTCGGCTGGTGGTTGGCCTTTACACTACCTCTGATTCTCTATATCCCTCTTCCCTTGCTCCTCCTGTGGCTCAAGCCCCGTCTTGTTATGCACAAGCCTGGTGGATCTGATCTCATCAACGTCTTTCGCGTTGTTGGTCACTGCATGGCCAACGGTGGCATTTTCCGCATCGGCAAGACTGGATGGTGGAATGCTGCCAAGCCCTCGGTTATTGCAGCCCGTGGTAGCTCCGAGACTCGCTACAATGACGCCTTTGTTGAGGATGTCAAGCGTACCATGCAGGCCACCGGCATGTTCTGCTTTTTTCCCGTTCAGTTCTGGAACGACAATGGTCTCGGTAACGCTGCCAACTACCTCGGTACCATGCTCCGTGGCAACGGTGTTCCCAATGATGTCATTGGCAACTTCAACACCCTCAGCATCATTGTGCTTGGTCCCATTCTCAACGTGAGGATTTTCTGTAGTGCTATGACACATGAGAATATGAGCTGACCAATGTCGCAGTATGGTCTATACCCTCTTCTTCGCGCTCGTCGCGTTCACTACGGCCCGATTGCCCGTATCACAACTGGTTTCCTCATCAGTACTCTTGCCGGTGTTGGCTATGCGCTGCTGTGCTGGAAGGCCTACGAAACTAACCCTTGCGGTTACTACGGCTCGTCGGACCCGCGTTGCGTTGAGGGCGGTCTCGTATCTCCCATCTCTCTTTGGTGGGAGGCTATCCCGTACGCTCTCGGTGGTTTCTCCGAGCTTTTCATCAACGTCCCCGCCTACGGCATTGCCTACTCGCGCGCTCCCATCAACATGCGTGGTCTCGTGTCCTCGATCAACCTGTTCAACACTGGCTTTGCCTACATCATCAACCTGGCCACTTCGGCTGCCATTGCTGACCCCCACCTGATCTGGGTCTTTGCCGGTCCTGCCATACTCGGCGGAATCGTCACGGTCGCCTTCTGGTTCATCTTTAAGCACATTGACAAGGAGGAGTACGTCTTATCTACCAACCAGGTTAGCGAGGCTACAGGCACCCGCGACTACTTTGATGAGAATGACATCAACGAAAGCGGCAACCGCCCACCTTCTATTACTGCCAATGAGCAGACTGGAATTTCACAAAAGATTTAACAAGTGCGACCTTCATCTTTCTGTTTCTTTCGCCATACCTATTCCATCGATTTCGCCGCGCTCCAGGAAGGGGAAGGCACTTTGTGTGTTGCTAGTAGAGGAATATGAGGAAGAATATATATATCAATTTAAATATATTGTAAATGACACCCAAAACCTTCCTGTAACAGGAAAACCGTTGTCCAGAGGAGCGACTTCTATGTCTGACCGACACCACCAGCAACGACGGCGTACGAGCAACTTTGATGTGCTAACAGGTGTTGAGAAAGAGATACTTAGGCAGAGAACTTGCGAGCAACGTTACGCTTGACGCCGTTGCCGCCATTACCACCATTCTGGTTACACTGGCCGCCGCTGCCACCATCTTGGCCGTTGTTGCCGTTGTTGCCGTTGTTGCCTTTCTTGCCACCGGCACCGCCGGCACCGCCGGCACCGGCGCTGCCGAAGCCGCAGCCTTGCTTGCCCTGGTCAAAGGCGACGTCGGGAGAGGAGCATACAGCGCCGTCCTTGAGGCCGGCGCAGCACCCCGAACGGCAGTCGGCGTCGGAGAGGCAGCCTCCGGTGATGAACTGCTTGCCCTGGCCGTTGCCGACGTCGGCGGCACCGGCGGGGTCACCGACGGCGTAGACGGAGAGGGCGACTGCAGGGAAAGAGTCCGGGTTAGTATCAATAACATGGAGAGGGGGGGGGTGTCGTTGGTTGAAGAAGTAGCAGAGGGAGAGGGTAACTGACAGGTGAGGATAGCGGCGACGGTAAGGCGGACCATTTTTGCGGTTATTGTGGTTTATTGTGAGAAAGGTTGATGTGGAAAAGGGAGAAAGGCGACTACCAGGTCAATTGATAAATTTGTGAGAATGAAACGAAAGACACCAGGTCGTAGAGGGCAAAGTTGATTTGTAAAAGTGAAAGTGTTGATCTGTGTGTGATGATGAGAACGTATTTGCTGAGGCCGGGACGAGCAGATTACTTATACATCTCGAGCACGTAAATAGCTCAACAAGGTTGGAACAACTCTTCTCGGTTTGGTTCCCTTCTCATTTCCAACCCATGTTACCTCATGCAGGTATGCAGCAAAGCTCGAGTTGGCCATGTGCAGACGGACAGACGGACACCTGCCTGGCGACGACCCTTCCGACACTGCGGAGTGATGACAAGGCGCACAGCCCCATGCGTCGATTACTTGATGCATTGACGTAGGATAAAGCCCCGGAGGATCAGGCCATGATCCGCCTGAACTGGTAGGCATATACTTGCTCGAGGGTGCAACATGGCGAACGGGAGGGCGGCCATCTGAAGGCTAGGCGTCGCATAACTGTCGCAAATATGTCCCGACATTATGCGACGGAGGTGGCGTTTAAATAACTTCCGAAAAGGGTATATGGGTCCCTGTCAACTTTTCGATTTATTGAAACACTGGCTAGGTGCTGTGTTAAGGCTGTCGGAAGCGAGTCGTTGAGCTTGGCGGCGTCTGAGTAATGTCTGTGTAGGGCTTTCGACCAACACTGCGACTCACTCACATGCACACCAGAATCTCTTAATCGATGCAGACTTTGAATTGTTTCTTTTCAATTCATCGACACTCATAAACTGGTTTGCATTACTATTCTTGAATAATCGCCGCACCGTACGCTCATTGTAGCATAACGTCATCATTGCCAATGGGGCCGAGACTGACCTGCGACGACAAAGCGGTCCGCCAATCTAAGACGAGGCCTCTCGCGTTTCGAGACCACGACAAGCACGCTTACCATCCTGGTCATGCAGGCTTAACGATGGCTTATACATAGTTGCAGGCTGCTGTGAGAAAGATGAGCAAGAATAGAAACTATACGAATAGGGAGATGCGCGGCACTGCGGCTTCATTAGTGGATGATGCGCTATAGGCAGGCCATACCAATGTGGCAATATTGAAGGCTATTGAAACGACGGGGCGGAGGAGGCGAACGACTCGCAATGAGCTAGCTGGCTGCCTCATGCTGATGAAAAGAAGAGGGCCGGGTATGTACGAGACAGGATCATGGTAGAAAAAAAAGAAAGAAGCACTCGCGAGGGCGTCGTTGTGCGTTACAGGTGGTCATCTTGACGAGATTAAAGCGCCATGGATAAAAGAACGGCCTGCGGGACGTGGCTTGATGCGGCTGCTGCTGCAGGTACAAGTTCCATACGAACAGGAAATGGGAGGAAGTGAAGAAAAAGCAATTTGCTCGCCGACGAGACTTTTATCAATCTATTACGCGTGGCAGGTTGCTCGTGACGAATGAAACGGCAATAGCCGGGGAATATGAACTCGGGCGCTGTACAATATACAAACCGAAACAAAAAGGGCTGAACAGAAAAAAAATTAAAGTGCTACCGATTTATGAGATGTAACATGTGATGAATTGATTGAGACGGGGGGGAGGAGGACGATGGCTGGTTATGGCGGCTGCAGGACATGGACGCCAAGGTCGTATTGCTGGCGCGGCATTACCCCGCACGTACTTGTCAACTGATACTTGACAGGAGGATAAGACGAAAACTAGCCTTTCTAGGCTCCTCGTCAATGTTTTGTGAGCTGCTTCCATAATAGCCAGAAGAGCTGTCACTTCTCCCTCGAGCATCTTTCACCCCCAAGCCTAGGTAAGGTAGTCCTCTGCTCCCTCTGCTCCCCACGTCAGCCCACCCAGTAGCCAGCAAGATTTCATCGAGTGCGTCTGATTTATTCTTCACCCGCCGCCTCGTCATTCGAGCCTACCCGCTCCTCGGCAACACGTCGAGTTTCAGCCGCTATTTATCCCCCCCCCCCCTTCTCTCCGTATTTACCAGCCCGGCCCTCGAAAACGCGGCGGCGCGGACAAGGCTTACAGAGCGCGACACCGGCGCAGCAAGGCCAACCTCCTTCCGTGCGCGCGCGCCCTATTAAGCCGCCGCTTCACGCCTCGACGACGCTCACATCCGCGGGGAGTAATGCGCTTTCTGCCCTCCGTTCCGAAAAGAGTTCGGCGGTTCTGTAATTCAGACCTAGATTAGCAAATATTGTCCTTGACCCGAGAGAGGATTGCGTTTCAGAGTATGGTTGCATTTTCCATTGTGGTCCGCGTAGCATGTTGGCAGGCACACCCACCATGGGCTGACTCAGCCAGCCGTGGTCGCCATAGCCAACCCCAGATAGGCCCTTTCTTCTGTTAGAATCATCGCATTTGTCCAGGTTCTTTCACTTTGCTGATCGCTCGTATTTTTTGGCCGGCTCGTGATGCCGCCGCCTCTTCGATTCGTCATGGAACTCCAGATGGAAGCTTTGTGTCAGCTAGGCCAAGTAACAATGGCGAGCGTTTGCTGGGCTGTTTGACTCTGCAGAAAGGGCAAGAATCGCGTTTCTGCAGCTACTTGATGCGAGCGAATACCCCATCGCTAACGGAAGTTTCACAGTGCTGGATGTATGCTATTAGCAACGGCTCTTAGTCGCAGTATATTGGCATTCTTCCGTCCTCGGCACCTTTGCAAAATCTTTCAGCAGCCATGCGTCGGCTTACGCTCATGTCGTGGGCGTCCATGTCGCGCTCCATGATGTGGGCTTGGTCGAGAGAGAAGCGCCATACGCCATCGGGCATTTAGTACTTCATAGGTACACAACAAAATGTTCGTGCGAATCAGCTCTACTCATTGGATGAATCAACACATGTGTTTGCGGGCACTGCTTATCGCGCCAGTTGCGAATGCAGAGTAACAAACGCCGGCCAACACTTGCACTGATGAACCTCTAACTCGAGCTGCACACTTGAGGGATTAGTTTAATTCACCTAGTGTTTCTGGATTCTTCTTCTCCCTGAATTGCTCTCCTCGATGCCTTTCCTCTTTCCCTAATCAACCTCACCTCATCCTCTTGCACACTACCTTCTTGCACTCTTCTTCTCCTTCCTCATATAATCAAGCATCTTGCCCCTAAAGCCTGACTCCTCGTGCTGCGTCTGCTTCATCATCCGCTCGGAATCTGCAGCCATGAACGCTGTCGAGGTTGATCGTCCGAATTACAGGGCTTTAATAAAAGATATCTTCTTGCTTCCCGAACTCGCGGACAAAAACCTTATCACACCTTTTACAAATGACTTGCCAAAGTTGCTCATATGTGCTCTCGAATCGTCCGAGAGCCTGTTCCCAGAGGAGTGCAAAGGGCAACTGCGTCAGTGTCGCAATAGCATCAACAACTTTTTGGAAGCAAGGACCGGAACGAACCAAATCAACGAACAAGGTGTTTTCAAATTGCTTCAAAGCAAGTGTGCCGGTACGCCGTCCGTCCTTATTTTCTTGCCAATTGAAGCCGCTAATTACTTCACAGCTGCCATTCCTTTATACCTGCGACATCATAATGCTGGCATTATAGTTCGGTGGAGTCAACGCCAGCGCCGTGTTGAAGCATTCCAGCTATCACCAAAAGTGCAAGCTGTAGAATCAACAGTTGGAAGACTCACACGACAATTCCCTGAAATCAGTGTCGTTATTCAAGAAAACACGGCCGCTGATAAAGATTTTATTCAAGTCTTTGCTGAAGCTATGTCTGAAATAGACAAGGCAGAGGTTTCTGGATTGAAGCCCACCAGGCTCGTCAAGGGCAAAAAGTATGAAGTCCAATTCGACGCGACTCAGCCGGATCATCTTTTTGACGCAATCTTTGGCTTCCTTTTTACTGAGCAGTCCAGTGACAAAGAAGTTCCAGCCCACGCAAAAATCGTGAAGCACACTCGTGACTTCGTGTTGCACGTCGAAAACGAAACTACTGTAATTAGACGATCGCCAATCTGGCTTTTTCTCAAAGTTGTATTGCAGCAAGAACTTCGCCATTCAAAAGCCATGAGTGATTACACCCTATACAAACAGTTCATGGTGCTATTCTTTGCTTTGCTCCTCGACTCTGCATGCGACCGCAACCTCGACAGCCATACTGTCCACTGCATGCGCCGAAAGATCGGCTACCGAATGTGGAAATTAAAAAATGAGGCCGTTGGTCCGTGGATGAAGAATGTTCAGCACGCGTTAGCCAAGGCAAATGGTCTGCTAAATACACGTTGGGAGAAGATTGTGAAGCGTGACCAAAATTTTCAAGCCACCACATTGCCTCAGTTTCTTGCTGATGCCACCGATTGCACCGTCACGCACAGCGAGTTGGATGCCTTCTTGGCAAAAGTAAGCCAAACTCCCCCACAGACAAACAACCATGTGGCCGATCCCAGGTCGGACATCATAAGCTGGGGACCGGGCAAGCTTCCAAACATGAAACAGTTAGGTGATGAAAAACCCCCAACGGATATTTTCAACTTGATCATGGTAGAGACTTGGGTAGAGGACTATCTCTGGGACTTTGTCAGGTCGCAAGAAAAGGATGAATGCACATGCTCAGATATTCAATCTTTCGCCGTGGCATATTTCAAACGCGCACATATTGTCTATCAACATCTTCCCGATCACATGTCAGTCATGTACCTCACTCTGCTAGAGCTCTGGATTGCCAGCGACATGTCAGCTGTGGCGCGCAATCCTTCGCTACGAGAATACACGCCCTTTGGTGTTGAAGACATTTGCTGGGAGGCACTGATCTTGCAAAGAAAGCGGGATGTATTTCGACTGTCACAAGCAGAGGAGTACATCAGATGCCGTTCAGTCGAAAAGATGTGCATGATGGCAAATTATGGCACGGCTGATTGTTTCGCGTCTCGTTTTGCGCAGGCCAGTGCGCCGCATATGGCATTGAGGGCTACCATTGATAGCGACGAAGACAAGATTGCGGAGGAAAAGACCACTGAGCTCGAAAAATCAATAAGGAAGCAAAAGTGGCACCTTGAATCTCATAAAAAGATGCAGTGCGATCCCACCACCTGCTGCATAGGAACCGGGCAACTCCCCTGCGAGCGATGCCACCATCTGGTCCTGGCTCGTGAATTAACAATCACCCCTTACTTCAAGATTCTTCCAGATGATGAAGATGCTGCGAACGCGGTTGTTTTTGAACTGAAGCCCCCTGCTGATATATCTGCGTGGCGTGACTTTTGTCTTTTTCTTCATTTGAACGTCGCTGGCCACAGCAACTCTGGAGGCAATCCAGCTTCTTATAGCTACCTGCATAACTACAGAATGTTTCAGCCATATGCCGAGAAGAACGATTTGAACTCACATCCGAGAATCTGCGCGGCCTCTCTCCCTCCCAAGAAAGGCACCAACGACCCAATTCAGGTTCGACAGGACTTGAAGCTGTCAGAAATATGCGTACCTCACCCTATGAAATGGAGACTATTCGATTCCAACCAAGGCAAGTTCATCAAGAACATTAAGAAAGTACCTTTGATATCCGACACATGCTGTATTCAGCTAGATGAGGGTAACAAGATCCTGCAGGAGCTTTGTTGCTCGTCTGCGTCCGACACCGACGCGCCCTCAACAGCGAATGACTTAATTACGATGAGATTGGAGTATGAGAACACGATCGTGCTCAAACACAATGAGGAGCTTGGGTCACTATACCTTTGCCATTATGTGACATGGCCAAAGATCCTCCGGGAGCTACGCGGGACTTCTATTGACTGGACAGCTCCAGAGACTTTCTCGGTCATTTTGCAAGTCGCACTCGAGGCTGGCCCCAAGCAGGAAAGCGGCGAATCGAGGCAAAGGCATGCCCAGCTCCACGACGGTGCATTCGCAACAGAAGTTTTGGATGAGATCTTGAGAGTTCTAGATATCTACACAGCCAGCTTCTCCGGGCGCACAGCGCTCGCTGTGTTCTGCACTATCTCTATCAAGATTCTCTCTGATGCTCCCGATTCGTGCTATGCCAAAGCATACTATATTCTGAAGATCATTCGCAATACATGTTTTGAGTGGCTGAGAGACCGCAGGATGAACGTACTAGACGTGACGTCTGCTCTTCTTGCGACACAGCTGGACCTGGCCTTAATCTGTGTGTACACATTCAATCTGAGCAATAGGGCTTTGAAACACTTTCTCACGGGCACGGCTGATGACCACGCGGAGCAGTACGTCTTTGCCATCACCATCATCCAAGAAAGCAAAAGCAGACTCACTACTCAATTCCAGAAGTCGCTGTACTCTTCTTGGCTCCGAGTTGCTGTGAATGCAGCTCCCATACTGTGCGGACAAGTCAACAGAGAAGAGGCCGGCTCAATTGCCAATGGTCTTCATTTCAGTCTGGGACGGGCCACGGGGCTGCTACCAGACGAGAACTGCTTCAGTCACGTTTCCGGCCCTTGGATCAGGACTCGCACAGCACCTTACCCAGACATGGTCTCCAAAATCATCCATCTCAACACAATGACGGGTGAAATATTACTTGATGGATTCAGTCCAAGGCACCTCCCTGCGGATTTCCTCGCACACAAAGACTTTTATGCGCTTTTTGGGCGTATGAGCCCTGCTGTCACTCCAAGAAATCATCCGATATACCAATATCAGTTTCATCACGCCTTTAAAGGCTTCGTCATTGAAATTGGGCTAGAAAAGATCACTTCAGTGCAGGAAGCTGATGAAGTCGAATCTCTCTTGCATTTACGAGCGACAAAAGGAGACTTAGTCTATATACTAGTTCCACGTCAGATTCTGTCCAAGCCAAGCTTTCCATTTCCGAAGGAGTATCTGAACGGCTATTTCTATTGGCACCAAGTTACAGACTTTTCGTTCCACGTTGACCTTTATCCTTACCAGAGCCCATGGGACTGCGGCTCAATTGCCATGCAGCTACTGCACCAGCGTTCCGGTGGTTGGCTACTGAAGCAGCACGGGCGAGACCGTGTCGTTATGCCCGCCACGGTCACCCACTACGAGGAGTTGTCCAAGATATTTCAACATTTCAGGACCGAGAACGACTTCAGAGTAATCTTAGACCAGGAAAAGAAAACATTGGAGGTACGCCTAGGCACGCTTGGATTAAACTTCATTGTGGATCATGGATCAGCCGACATCCGCTCTGTCGAGTTTGATAACATGAGTATCGATCATGGATACTCACCACCGACATTGATTGGATTGCTACCAAAGCTCGTCTTATACAACCGGCATGATCATACTCAGCGTGTACTGGTCATTCTCGACGGTGAGGAGACAGTCTTGAAGGGTTCTGAACACGTCGACATTTATATTGGGATCAAAGAGGAAATAACGGTACACGTTTACACGATTGATGACTTTTTGAGACAGCTCAAAGGAAATCAGACGTGGAGAAGTAAAGCCTGGCTTGCATATCTGTCAGCACTAACCTCGCACCCTATGCCTGATCCTTTTACATCGAGAACAGGGCAGGAGACTGCGCTCGAAATTCTGACCTCCAGCGCGATTACGTCATTTGACGCACTCGAGGCCAGAGACCTTGTTTTGTTGAAAAAGATTGGCCAGCTTTCTCCAGGAATACAATTTCGCAAAAGGGGCGGTCTTAATATTCCAACAATTGAATGGAGCCCCAAACTCCACCCATCATCCCACCATGAAAAGTACTGGTTTGCAGTTGAGAAGATTCGAGACCGTGCAGATAGACAAAATATTTTCAGGAAGGACTCTACAAATCAGCAACGGAAAACTCCAGAAGCAGAAACGAGGTATCGGGAGTCACATGCCATACGGCTGGCTTGCCTCCGCACAGGGGAATATGACGGCCACACCACCGCTCACGATGCCGACTATTACTTTCGCATACCAGAAACAGAACCCAAGCGAAAGAAAGGCTCCATGGCGGCTGTTCCCTGGAAGTTTGACTATGGAAGCTCTTCAGGATTTCAGAGAGCATATTGCGCTGCATACGGTGCGAAATATCGCCAGCGCTTCAAGCCTGTTATACCGTCTCCGGGCAGTATCCTGGGACAGATGACAATCGCGGGCGCACTCAAGGGCGTGACAAAACACTATGATGCACAAAACTTTCGATATACACCCAGATGGGCAAGCATCGCAGAGTCAACACTGGTCGAAGACCTTTGTTCTGTTCACAATGCCCTCTCAAGCTCGATTAAGGATCGCAATCCATTCAGACTGCGGTTGTGGCTCAGCACCGTTGCGTCCGGCATGGAAGGGCCTGAAGCTAGCATTATAATGCCGATTCTGAGTGCAATGGTCATTGAGAATAAGTCGATCGGTTTCAAAATCCCGAGGACCAGCAACACCAACAACAGCCGCGGCACCGATTATCGCGCCGACCAAATTATAATGGTACTGAATGAGGAAAGACGCATGTATCAGTGCAAAACATCAATGAATGGAAAAAGTCTGCGAGACAGTGGAAGCCACGATAAAACTCAAGATGAACTCATATCCTCGACTGCAGAAGAGATTGCCAAGAACGGGCGTGTCGACCTCTTTCCCCTCCGCGCCTTTCTGGACGTTGGGCAAGCTGAAAAGTCGATTGGAGAACTGGTGGAGATTTGGAATCTCAACAAACGGTGGTACAAGTATGCCGAGCATCTCTGTGTGCTGGTTTCATCACTGGAAGTGGGCAATACGAAGCCCCCAATTGTGCTCCATGTCCTCCCAAAAGTAGACACGAGCAGTGCAACAAAACGCATGTCCGGGCATGTTACCGTTGAATCAATAATGAGCCAGAAACCGATGAAATTTGCGTCGTCAAATGAATGGAGAACAGAGTCTGTATTTCTATTGAAGTCTCTTGTTCAAAGGAGCGAGTGTATCATACAGCCTGCTCTTTCGTCCATGCCCACGAACCTATACGAGAAGGCTACCAAGCAGCATGAGAAGGTTTACATCAAAGATTTGGATGCCAGCATACAAGCTCTGAAGACCCATGACTCTACTAAGCAGGAAACACCGAAATATGACTCTATATATGCATTAGCAAAGGCATACAAAGGCAAGATCGAGGCAAGGTTACAATCTCGGCTGCAGGAGGCTGAAGCTGTTGTGACAAGGATCACTGGCCCCGATGCATCCCTTTCCAACGCAATGAGACATTCGGATATTCTCCCGCACATCTCCCTGACATGGCTTCTGCGTCGGATCTCGTTCAACAACAGGGCCGCCCTGTCCAGTCGTTGGTCAAGCTTGATCCGGCAGATCGCAGTGTTGTGTCGGGATCGTCAGCACATGCGCAGAATAATGAAGGCGTGCAGCACGAAATCAAATGTACTGGATGAGATGAAAACCATTGATAGATACACATACGATGACTCTTTATTTCCCGATGCAGTTCTTTTGGAAATTGAGCAAGACGTCTGCCTTCGCTCGAATCAGCTGGAAATCGCGCGGCAGATGAGAGATCCTCCCAGAGGGGAAAACGCAGTCATGCAGCTGAATATGGGAGAGGGGAAGTCTTCAGTCATTATTCCAATATTGAGCGCGTCCCTGGCGCAAGGCAAGACGCTCGTCCGGATCTTTGCCGGCAGACACCAGTCCAAGCAAATGCTGGACACCTTGATTACGGCTTTGAGCGGACTCATGGACCGACCTGTATTCTGCATGCCGTTTAACAGAGACTCGAAATTGAGTCCAAAGTCGATCATCAAGGTCAAAGAGTCTCTACTTGATTGCGTGAATAGCGGTGGTGTCCTTTTGCTACAGCCTGAGCATCACCTGTCTCTGCTGCTATCTACCTCTCTAAACGAGGAACCTGCCGCGACAAAGAACTTTGTGAGCCTATTGAAATATATAAAGACTACAAGTCGTGACATCATCGACGAATGCGATGAGCTCTTGTCGCCTACATATGAGCTTCTTTACACCATTGGCACCCCGGGCCCAGTCGACTTTGCGCCCGACAGGTGGCTCTTGATACAGGGCCTTCTTGAGCAAGTCAAGAATTACAGCAACCCTAAAAGCAACATAATTACAACTGGCCAGGTGCTGTACCAAACTAATGCAAAGCATCCCGACGCATTTCCGAGTTTCTGCTTTTTGACGCCCGCAAGTCTTTGCGTTGTGCTCACAGAGGTGGCCCGCAAATTTGTGAGTAAAGGTATTACAGGGTTTCCTGTTATTAGTCGGTATGAGGGCCGTAAGAAGAAGGCTATTTTCGAATACATTACAATGGCTGAGCCTCCCAAAAAGTCTGTCAAGGAAGTCGAAAAGCTCGGCGAGGTAGCCAAATCCGGTCTGGCATTGGTACGAGGATGCATCGCCGGCGACGTCTTGCGCGTCCCCCTTTTGCGAAAACGTTGGCGAGTAGACTTTGGCTGTGACTTTCGACGCACGCCCCCGACGCGCCTCGCTGTTCCTTTTTCTGCAAAAGACGTACCAAAGCCGCGCGCCGAGTTCAGCAACACGGACGTTGTGATTATCTTCACACAATTGTCCTACTACCACAGTGGGTTGCATGAACAGCATGTCCGAGATCTTATCGAGCACATGCTCACATCCGACGACGGCCATGATGTATATGGCCACTGGTTCGAGAAATCGAACTCGAGCATGCCAGTGCAGCTGCAGATACTCAAGGCGGTCAACTTACAAGATGACAAGCAATTCTACGAATCGTTCTACCCCAACATCAAATACTCTATCAAGGCCATTGATCACTTTCTGAGTCGGCTGGTGTTCCCGACGGAGCTTGGTGCTTTCAGCCAACACATGGCTGCCTCGGGGTGGGATCTGGCGGAAGTAAAGGCACATCCTACGACCGGCTTCAGCGGCACAACCGATCAGTGCGAACTGCTACCTTTGGATATGAAGCAGCTTAATCTGCCGACTCAGGCGCACACCAATGCTCTCGTGCTGAACAATATTCTTAGCACGGAGAATACGGTGCTTTCTGTGCATACAGAACTGGAGAAGAGGTCCTTTGACGGCAGCGACCTGATTGACCATGTCATCAAAGACGGTCAGATTCGCGTCATTCTTGATGTTGGCGCGCAAGTCATCAAGCTCAGCAACAGACAAGTGGCTGAAAGGTGGCTTCAGCAAACGCAAGACAGCACCATCAAAGCTGTGCTTTTTTGCGACGATTCGGATGCTCTGTCTGTGATAGACCGCAGCGGAACCGCACTTCCTCTCAAGGTATCTGTCTATGCAAACAAACTCGACGCATGTGCAGTCTTTTTAGACGAGGCACACACGCGAGGCACAGACTTGCGACTTCCGCTAAACTACAAAGCCGCTGTTACTCTCGGTCCCGGTCTTACTAAGGATCGTTTAGCTCAAGGTAAAGCATCCACTACTTTTTCATGTCTCTCTTCCCCGTTTCATTGCCCTTTTTGTGCTGACTTCTGACAGCTTGTATGCGCATGCGAAACCTTGGCAACGGCCAGACTTTGGTTTTCTACGTCAGCTTCGAGGTCGAGAACAGCATTCGAAGTTTGTTGCGCCTATCCGATGAGCAACCCTTGACAATAGACTACATCATTCAGTGGTCCATCTTGCAGACGCAGGCGAGCATCACACGGCAAATTCCGCACTGGGCCAAGCAAGGCCGTCGCCACGGAGAGCAAGCTGAGGCATGGAAGTCTGTATTTTCGATCAAACATCCCACTGCTGCAAAGTTTGAGGGAATACAGGAACTTTTCATTCGAAAGGGGATCAATAGCGTCTAGAAGAGCTACGCACCCCAATCAACGAAAGCTGCCATGCAAGGAGGCGTCCAGAACGTGTCGAACGCCAACTCGGATGCTGAAACAAGCTCGAGATTTGAAAAGGGAAATCCGCACCTTACGGATCGTCTCAAATCTAGGTGTCTGCAGTATGGCATCTCGAAATCATCGAGTGGCGACATTGACGAGACGTGCGAGCGCGAGGTGGCGCCCGAGGTTGAGGACGAAAAGCAATTATCCAAGCCCCCCAACCCGTTAGCTATGAACAGTTCCTACAACAAAGCCTTGGAGAAGTTCATTGAAACGGGTAAAATTGATGATGATCTTCCCAATCTGGAGTGGGCCTTTGATTCGCTCCGCCGCACCACGTTAGAGGACATGCTCAAGAAGCTCAAATTTCCTCGCAACCTGCGCGTGACAAGAGACTTTGCCCAGGCCGTCGTTACATTTGATGCTACGGACGCCTATCAGCATCATGTCGCATATGTATTGCACATCAAGCCTGTGCTCGTGCGGCATGACGGCCCGCCTGCGGTTGTCATCATCACTCAGTCCGATTTAGAGAATTACTGGTCCGCCATTGAGAAATCTAAAATGGTCGACTTGCATCTTTACAATGCCAAGGTCACGCCGGGAGCCGCTCACCGTGTAGGCTACATCTATCCCCTCAACATTGCATGCTCATACACGCATCCAACCACGACTCGGATCGCGCTGGACCTCTTTGCGGGACAGCTCTATTTTGGGTCCTACCACGAGTACATTGAGGTGTCGAGCTTTCTTGGCCTGGCCTACTTTGACGACGCAAAGGACATTGAAGTCGACCCGGACGGCTTCATTCCATCGCATGAGCGCCACAAGATTCCAGCCTGGCACCGCCACGCGAACCAGTACTGGGACACGTTTGACGTCAGCCCCGTGCCATTTCTGAAGCGATTCCTTGGCGTAGTACGCAGCCACGGCGCAGGCATCGAGCACACGCACATGGGCAGGATCCTCGACGGCGAGCGCCTCGGCAGCAAAGAGTTTCCTGATTACAAGGCTCGCGGGCCGGAAGATGTCGAGCCAGGACTCAAGACTGACACAGGAGCACGGATCGAGACCAAGACGCAGCGAGACCGTCGGATGCAGATGCAAGGAAAGCGAAGCAGAGAAGATGGGCAAGAGAGCAAGACAGAGCCAGCGCCCAAGCGGCCGCGATTGGCGGCGAGCAAGGCGGCCGAGGCGGCTATTTCTAGACGACAAGATGAGAATGTGCCCGAGGCTACGGCGGAGATGTCCAGAGTTGCAGCTGCAGAGGGTAAGGAGAGAGAGGAGATGCAGGAGAAAACAAGAGAGGCGGCGCAAAAGAAAATGGACAAGCGCAAGAGAGAAAGCAATGAATGAAGAGGATATCAATGCATGGGGAATTTTGAAATTTGGCTAATTTCTCAGGGGTGATGGTTATATTAATGCAGTTTGCTTGCTTGGGAGCACGGCGGCATCGAAGTTTGCTCAGAACAATCTCAGATATTTTTTTTCAAGATATTTTTTGCAATGAAATTCTCAAAATGACAACTAAAGGCACTCTCAATGCAGAAGCGAAGAGCATAAAATATCTAAACGAGCGGTCAGCAACAAATTTAGTCAGATTTGCCTGGGCCGCCACCAGAACTTGTTGAATCGTTTCATTTATTGCCCAACCAGTTTTCAACGCGGATTAATCACAATGTAGCGCTTGCGTTTCACCGATGCCTCAACCGGTGCTTCGAAATCGTCTAGTGCCTCAAAAATTCTCTGGCGCCTCGATGTCCCCCGGTGGCTCGAAATGCTCCGGGTCTGCAAGAGCAGACGATACGGCGGCTCCAGACAAGGCCGCCATGTGTAGACAGCGCCATTGAAGATTGATAAGCGGTGTCATGTTCATGGCTTCCGAATCATGCAGGTGCAGCTGTGTGGTGATTTGTGTGCCATTTTCGTGTCGATATGTCGTCTTGCCAGATGTAGGCTCACCTAGAACGCTGTTCTCCGCCATCGCGGCAAGGTTTTGCCGATTCAGCTCGAACTTGTCATTTCGGACTCTACTTTCTAATATTGAGAGAATGCAGGTTCAATGTGAGGCGATAATCACTGAGATTATCAGTACCGTCACCAGAAAAGTCGTCCACCTTGACACGCTATTTCAGCCCAAGACCATGCCAACTGGAGATTTTCGCTCACGGCCAGCATGTTCCACGCTTTATCGGGACTTTTCTTTCTGTAAAGAAGTTCATTAAAGTGTTCCACGTCTCCGAGATGGGCATGAAATCCGTTGGTGGATTTCCGCACTTGCAACTTCTTTTTTGCCATCGCTGTGCAAGGAAAATGGAATAATGCGATGAGCGTTCGGCCGTGGCCCCAGACTAGATACATCTCAGGTCTCTGTCAAGACAGACGTGCCTCTCGACTACATCGCGATGGATGTGGGTGGGTAATCGAGAAATGGCTTCGAAGTGCTCAACTCGTCGAAAAAGAAAAGAATGCGATGCAGATGTCTGAGCCGGATTCATCTTCTTCAGCGATGCTTTCGGCGACAACGAGACACTCGCCTTCAAAAACGGGAGACTCTTCTTTGAGAATAAGAGGTTCTTATCAAAGAACAGTAGGCTCTTATCGAAGAACAGGAGACTTTCAACATATCCGTCTCTTTTTGGCGTCGCAGCTTGCCACTCTGGTAAAAAAAAATGACATTGCTCTTCACATCTTGCCAGATCCTCTTCAAGCTGCGCGACCTCTCCATACCATATCTTACGTTTCGTAGGCTTCGTATACCCATCTACAGACAGAAAAGCATCCGGCATTCTCGTCATTTCGTAGCCCCTCTTTAGCATTCATTTTGCCCTGGTCGAAGTGCTGCTGAACAAGCTTCATAAACGCTAGGCGTTCATCGAGCTCGTCGTTGAAGACGATGCCAGCATGGACATCTTTGTTGGGTCGCTTGGGTTGGAAGTGTTATGTATAGGGTATTGTAAATTCAATTTTGGATGGGGGCCATGGCTGGGGTTGTCTACTGTTGAAGACACAATGTTATTTGAGCAATGTTATTTGAACCAAGGACAATGTGGTGAAAAGGGCCGAGGCAGGGCGTAAAAGTAGAGCTAGTCTCGAATATTTTTCTATTTCATTGTCATGAGGAGGAGGCTGGGTTGATGGCTGTCAAGAAGCACGATATCAAAGAAGAGTCCTGAATATTTTCCTTTTCCATTGTGATGATGAGGGAGGCTGAGTTGGTGGCTGTCAAGAAGCACGGCATAAAAGTAGAGATGGTCCTGAATATTCTCCATTTCCAAAGTGATGATGAGGAGGCTGAGTTGGTGGCGCTAAAGGCAAAGTCTAGGCTCTTCGGCAGGCAGAAAAAGGACAACACTTTGACTTGATATACAGTATATGCTGTTAGTATCGTTAACCAACTTCCTTCACCGCGCCCATCGCTCGATAAACTCATCCCGCTTCAAGCTGCCCCATCCCATCTTTTGACTCTCAAACCAGCCCAGCTTGTCCTTTGCCTTGGCCACTTCTTGCGCCAGCACGTCTATCGACTGCTCGATGCCCGGATCCGCCAGCGCCACCGTGCCAAACGCCGTATCGGCGAGGACGCTGTCCCAATGGAGCTGAACGGCGCGCTGGGCGTCGTCAAGGCGTTCCGCCGTCGCAGCTTCAAACTCGTCTTGTGCGCTGCGCGCCGCGACGCTGCTTTTACTGCGACGCTCGCGAACGAGGCGCGAGAGGGCGGTAATTTGTGATGTGGCGCCGCTGGTGTCGCCATAGGCGTCCATGGGCAAGGCAAGAGACTGCATGAGGCTGTCGAGGGCGGTGAGGTGAGGGGTGCCAGAGGAGCGGCGACGATGCGTCATGTCACGCGAATGGCGCTTGGTTCTTGTGGGTGGCTTGATCGGGGAGGGTGCTTCGATGGAGTTTGTTGGCTGAGGGTCCGGGGCAGGAACCTCGGCCGCCATTTCGTCTTTGGCGGTAGCAACGACGCGGTTGACAGCGGCGTGGTGAGCATTATATAGTTCTGTATGCGTATGAAGCGCATTGATGCGACTGAGAAGATAGTCGAAGCATTGGTTCATGTATGTGAGGGAGGAGGCTGTTTTCCGCAGGCTCTGGCCGCTGCGGGAGGCGATGGAGCGGAGTGCGGGCTCTAGATGCTGCTGCTCAACAGACATTTGCGCAACAGGCAGGATCTCCGAGTAGAGAGATTCGAGTTCTACCTGCAGTGCCTCGACCTCGTCGGGGTTGGCGCTGGTGTCTCGTGATTGCTGCGCTGTCGCGAGGGCAGTCAAGTACGTTGTGTCGAGACGTGTCCTGATTGTCTCGACTGTGATTTTGATCAACCTAGAAACCATGAGCAGATTGCTTCGTAAGATGAGAACTGTTTGGCCCACCGTAAACATGTCTCTCGCAACTTGTCTGTGGATTTGGCTTCCTCCGGGTCTGGCTCGCTCAACTCCCAGCCCAGCTTCTGGAGGCTCGTCAACAGGGCATCATCTGACTTGAGAACCACGTCGAGGGCCTGGTGCAACGAGGTCACGTTTGGATCGCTGTCGTGCTTGAGCTCGGCGATGCGAAACTCGAGGCCATGTGCAATCTCAGTAATCTACACCGAAAGCAGCACATGTCAGCGTAGTTTTTTTGAGGAATCAGTCGTCGGTGACACCGAGGCAAACTGTTTTCGTGGGGTATAGGGAGAATATCAGCCCATCATTACCTCTGAAGAAATTCGTACGCGCTCAGAGTCAGACTTGCGCTGCCGGGACGTCTCGAGCTCGCGCCGCTTGGCCACGGCGTCAGCACGATTCGCTACCAGACGCTGCCAGGCGTCCCGCTGGTGACGCAAGGTTTCAGCTTGCTTGTTAATGGACTCGGTTGAGAGCCTGAGGTCATCAATAGCGGCTCTGACGTCGTCTTGGCGCAAGGGGCGCATCTCAGACAGGTCATACAGCTCGGCGAGGCGGTCCACCTGACCGCTCTTATCGAGCGCATCGTAGCTAGAGATTCAGGGCGTCGTACGTTAGCGATTGTGATTTTAGCAGTGAAAAGCGAAGCAAAAAAATTCGTGGACCGCGACTAATATTCTCCGCTTTGGCAGGATCGTTGAATGACGTACAGTGACAGCTCGTCGACCGTAAGCAGGTTATCGGAGGTGAGGTTGGACGCGGCCCAGCGAGCCAGATCGGCGCCGTGGGGGTCATCGTAGAGGGCAGCACGAATCTCGTCAGGGCCGACGCTGAGGTTGTGCGAGGCGGCCACCTCGACCAGTAGCGACTCTGCCTCGAATCGGTCGTCCATTCCTGTTGTCTAGTCCTGACGTCTACAGCTGTTGGACGCGTTGGGCGTCGAATAAAGCGTCAAAGGGGACGTGCTGGTGGTGCACGGCGACTACTAGGGAGCGCCTCTGCTTCTGCTGTTCCTGAAAATAATTTCCGGCGGTTTTTCGGCACTTTGTTTTGCATAGGTAGGTATGCTTCTGTTGCCGCTGTTCCTGCAGATGGTGCGGCGGCGTCTGGCTGTCTCTGTCCTATGTTTGGACAGCAAGGCGCGCTCTCCTGCGCATCGACCCCTGGACTGCTGTTCAACACAGCACAGGTGCTTGGATGCAGGAACCAGGTACAAAGATGAGAGATGGTTTGCGCTGTACCTGTGAAAGTCTAGCGTAACAAGTGGTCGATGGGAGACGAAACATTCTGGCAAAATGCAAGGGGGAAACAGGTGGTAGGTAGTAGGACGAACGGCTTCGTCGTCCTGCTTTGGTGGATGGTGGGGCTTTTGGCCAGCAAGAGCCGGGCGACGGACAGAGGCAGGACGACAAAGATGTGAGAGGGCAATAATGGACATGTTATCAATTTAATCTTGCATTCGCATCCCCATTGATTTTTTCTTATTAAACGATTATGTTCTTCAGCCAACAAAGATGGATCTGCAAGGCATTAGCCCGGGCCAAACTTTTGCAGCGGGTTACCGATGCGGCTGGTAATAGAAGCATTGTTTGCTACCTAATCTACCCGACAACACATGCATGTTAATACCACTCTGAGCAGTCACTTAGTCGCACGAACGGGCCAAGGAATGCTGCATATTCTGTTGTGGAAATACGCATCTTTTCCCTTCCTTCATTCTAGAATCTAATTGACCGAAACTCGTAAGCCCTGTCATTGTGACGTCCCATATTCGACCATATGCCTTCACAGCATTGTGGTGCATCCCAGAAAAAGTATCTCATAAGTCTCGATCAAGTACAGTAGATATCGACGCGGATCGATCTATCCCCTCTACTAGCTTACCACTGAGATCCACAGACTGATACTAGACAAAATCAGCCATGCCGAGAGGTACAACTCGCCAACCCCCGAGAAGCTGGCAAACGTATTCGCAACCAAACAGGCAACAATAGCGATTCTTTGTCTTCCTCTGCCTCTACCCTCGCCGACGGATCCATGGCTCACCGACCTACTTCACTTGTTTCTTGCGACATCAGACCGGTCCGCTCTCGGCCCTTCCCCTCCATCATGGTGAAGAATTTAAATACTGCACGGCTTGATGCCAATTTTTCAGTCATGCTCTCGCCCTCCCTCTTATCTTTGCTCCTCCATCTTACCCTGAAACAAAAAGTACGCTCGTCCTTGCTTCTGCGCAAGTTCTCTACGTATTGACGTGTATGATACATTCATCCGACTGCCTCTCGGGTGTGTCAACGGCTCGTGTGCGACTTGAAACGCTTTCCAGCGGGCAACTGACAATTACTGGCATCGATAGAGTACAAGACAATTCTTTGTTGCCCTCAGTTAAGCCTTTTGCACTTTTCATTGTTCGAATTAGAGTTTGGTGTCTTGCTCAAAAAAAAAAAAAAAACGCCACCATCATGCGTTCCTGCCTACCCTCGCCTCGGCTGTTCGCTCGCCTACGTGAGCAAATCTGGCGAAACCAGCACGACAACTTGACATCTTCTTCTACCGATATGGAAGTTACAAAAAACTTCATAGTCAGAGACAGAAGACTCAAGATGTGGCATGGTTTCTGCGGCATCTTGTTGATTGCAGTCATCTACCTCACCAGTGACTTGCTCATCTGGGGGTTAAGTCGGGCTCTTGCACCAGCAAATGCCGAATTCCTCTCCTCCGTCTTAGGTATGCTACTTGTTTTCGTCGCTATGATGATTCTATACGCCATCATACCCAGCTTGGACGGGTTTTACGAAAAGCATCTCAAAGCCAAGGTATGATTCATCCATTTCTTCCCTTCTAATCGAGTCTAACGCCAGCTTAGGTCGACTTTATCAACCGGCATATGGGTGCAGCTTTTGCAATACCCATGGTAATGGTGGCAGGAGACTCCAAGATGCCCCTCAAGACCATTGCCTTGGTGATCGGGGTTTTCGGTAAGCCCTGCCGTTTTGTTTCTCTCACTTTCAAGCTGACATTGCGCAGTGGCGAATTCGCTCGTGGGATGGACTATCGTCTTTCTGGTAGCCAAATTGACACATTTCATCACCAAGAGGACTGTTCAATTACTTCGTCCGGCTGCCCGAACGGATGCCGGTTTTCGAATGGTTGAAAAGACCTCCAGCCGCAACATAGTCGCGCAGCAGCACTCTGATAGCTTCACGAGCAGCGATTACTGCGAAGCTGCTTCTCTGCGCCAGTCTCTAATTTGGTATTGGATTTGTGAATTATGGCCCGTCGCTCTCTCGCTGCTGGCCGGAATCACCGTTGGCTTGCCCATCGCCGTTGCTGTTGGGGATCCTCGAATTGCTGACGGCTGCGCCCTTTGGTTTTTTTGGATCGGTTCAGTCACTCTACAACGGGTTATGAAGCAACAAGCAAAGAATCACGAAAGAGCACCTAGAACTCTTGGAATTCTGGCCACGCTAGCCAACCCAGTCATGTTTACAATTCTCCTCATGATGGCCTACACCCGCGCAAAGGCATATTCCATGTCGATCAACATCTCCGAGGTCCTCTACAAGCTCAGTAGCGGACTCCAGCTATACACAGTGTGGTCTCTTGGCGCCGAACAGAGCCCTGAATCTGGGCATCATTGGTTTGGTGCCGGCGATGCTGCACTGTCCATGCTTGGCTGCGGCTTCGTCGTCTGGGGCTTCAAGCTCTTTGAGTGCCGCCGCCAGCTTTTCAGCGCTTCCGGCATCGTTACCATCTTTGTGAGCTTGGTTGTTGCCGTTGGTAATGTGTTCTTGGGCACTTACGCAGGATTGCTCATGGGCCTCGATCGACCAGAGGCCCTAGCCTGCGCAGCCCGAATGACGACGTTGGCTTTGGCCATCCCAGCCATGAAGAATGTCGGGGGTAATACAAGCCTCACCGTCGCGCTCATGATAACCAACGGCATCCTCGGCCAGCTTGTTTACCCTCAATCTCTCGACGGCACGAAGGCTGGCCACAACCAGCTGAAGCGCAAGACGTCGACGGATAGCTGCGAGTCCACCGAGACAGTCATGCTGAGCCCCGCCGTCTTGCCGGCAGATGAGGGCGACGACCAAGTGGACAGCACCGACACTGTTGCCGCGGGTATTGCCATTGGCATCAACGGCGCAGCCATGGGCGTGGCGTACCTGTACGAGCACAAGTCCCGCTCCGCCCCGTATGCTGCGCTCGCTATGACCACGTACAGCGTCGCGACAGTTATATTCATCGCGATTCAACCCTTTAAGGATGCGCTGCTGAGGTTGGAGTAACACGGGAGAGATATTCACGTGTGGGGGCCAACATGGAGCATTGGCGTAAAGGGCAGTCGGTGTACATATAATTTGATTTTGACAAAGGGAACATGGAGAAGGGATCCAGACAATGAGGGCCACGCTGCTGGCAAGCCCGACGCGCGAGGATACATGAGTATGCATGAGATTCAAAAGGAAGGAATTTGGATAGATCTGGTAGATGGAGGCATATATTGCAAATGATCAAACATGCACCAGTATTAACGTTGGTCACGGTGCTTGGTCGGGACATGGCTTGGACTGGACCAAAGCGCCACAGTTCATTGTCGTCGCATTCGTGGATTGGAGCTAGTCATTATGTAGGATTACTCGAGTCTGTGCTGGTTAGCCGAATGCCAAACTACCCGTAAACCAAATTACTCGTAAAAGAGCTTAGAATCAGCCTACCTTTCAATCAAGTGCAACCCGCTGGCCGTCTCGACAATAGAGCTCATCTCGCCGGGCTTGAGAGCAAACGAGGCATCCTCAAACTCCTTTTGCATCTCGCCGCGACCGAAGTAGCCGAGATCGCCGCGCTTGCGCGCCGAGGAGCAGTCCGACTCGGTCGGCGCTAGGTCGCCGAGGGTGACTGCGCCAGAACGAATCTTTTGCTCATGAGCTTTAATGATGTCCATGGCCTCGTCTTTGGAGCGGGTAATATCAGCCTGTATTTCGTTAATATACCAACGCGCTCTCTCCCGTGTGGACCGAGAAGGAGCAGAAGAGTGAAAAGACAAAAGAAGGGAAATGTAGCCGCACCTCTCTCCAGCTGCTGGGCCGCCTGCTGTCGCGGTGCTTGACGAGCAGGTGAGCAGCGCGAATCTTACCCTCCGGGACGCCCGGGACGGCGCCGGGCCGCTGACCGGCGCTGTGGTGGGTGGCCATATAGTGCTTGAGCTTGTCGCTGTCGGTGCCGGCGGGGGGCTCCCACCGCGACACCATGTCGGCGGCGTTGAAGTAGTAGGGCAGGCCCTTGGAGTTGGAGTGGCGCACTTCCCAGTTGGGGGGAAGACCGGTGTCAGCCTAGCAGCGCATCATAATTAGCAGGGGTGTCTTTGACCGTTTCTTTCTTGGCCGTTTTTCTCTCTCTTTGCAGAGAGTTTGAAATAAAGAAAGTGAGTGTGAGAGAGAGAGGGACTCGCGGTGGACGCGCGCCATGTCATTGAGGGGTTGGTGCGTACCATGATGAAGGGGTCGTGTGACGAGTGACGGAGACTTGAAAGCTGCAGAAGAAAAAAAATTGAGGCAATGGCAATTCCAATGGTACGTTAATGGATGAAATATAAGATCGAGACGATGAAGCAAAGGAAAAAGCGAGTCGTGACGGTTGAGAATCTGTTGGCGCAGAAGTCGAAGGAAGAGGAAAAGGCTATTTTTTTTCCCTTTGCGCGCGCGAGCTGAAATGACGTCTGTCAGCAACCGCAGTGGAAGAAGCAGAGCAAGGTTTCGCCAGAGGACGAGGGAGGGAAGGATTCAGGTGGTGGTTTACCCCACGTTTCCAGCGGCGGGGATTTGGCAGCTTGCTTTGGCAGACGCTCATTGGGTGGTTTTACGGAAAAAGGGCAGTGTCTTTGCTGGCCCAGCAACAACCTGTGGCAAAAAGGCCAGTGAGCATTCGAATGCGACAGGTTCCCGAGTGACGTAGAATTGTATCCTATAGTTTTTTTTCAGAGTATCGGTTATCCGCATGACGTCTTGCAGATGTAGACGCAACGCTGTTGCGGAACCGGCATTGTGCGTCGTGCATGGACTAATCGGCAGTTGGTGTGGCTAGCTCCTGTGGCTGGTGAACCTTCCCTTGCTCTTGCCAAAGTCGTCAACCCACTCAACCACTGTAGTCGCTCCAAGTCCCCTGATTTTCAGTACCCGCATCAGCGCATGTCCATTGGCTGCAGCTGAGTCACAGCGCTGCCACACTGAATCACCACAGAGTTCAAACGCCTTGTACGCCTTTCAGCCACTACACGTGTACCTAATAAGGTAGAGCAGCCCTCTCATAGGTAAATGGCTTCACATCGAACAACCAGAACCTCGACCCGGGCTTTCTTTTTGACATGAAATCAAGCACTGAATTCCATTTTCAAGAAAGACGCACCATTTTCTTTTCTATTTTCTTGCCATATCTTTCCGCCGCTTTGTTACACTATTTCGTCTAGCTTTTCTGCCCAAGTCTGCACTTGTAGACACAGCCGCTGACTCATTTCTGTGGCAAAACGCGGCGCAAAACCTACCCACCTTTGCGCGACCATTTCTCTACAGCCATTTCACGCTTCGAATATATTAAGCTCGCCATCTGCGAATTTTACCCTCCTGCGCTTTCCACTATTCATCAGCATCAAGGTAGTTTTCTCTCGAAATTCCAGCATATAGTTCCGACACAATGGCTACACCACAGTCCACGACGTCGTACCAAGGCGAGGCCGCCGGCGAGGGCAAGCAACTCGAGCAAATCACGTTTCGCTTCTGCTCCGAGTGCTCCAATATGCTGTACCCCAAGGAGGACGAGGAGGCGCACAAGCTGCAATTTACCTGCCGCACCTGCCAGTACACCGAGGAGGCGCGCTCTACGTGCGTCTTCCGCAACATTCTCAACAACTCGGCCGGCGAGACGGCCGGCGTCACCCAAGACGTCGGCGCAGACCCCACGGTTAGTGACTACAACCTCCAACTCTGTCTTCACTGCGGCGTGGCCATCTGCTGCAGCAGATGCGGCGCCGCGAGCCCCGACGTAAACGAGGTGGTGAAGCGCGCACGCGCTGCCAGCGATGGGGACGCGGATTACATGGAGGTGTTTGCTACGAATTTGGCCTGGACCGAGGCGGATCTTTTTGATGAGTTTGGAGACGAGACCACCATCGATTTTACGCATGGCTTCTGGGCCGACAACAATGTCGATCTGGGGCATGGTTCCCCTGCGGAAGGCACGGACTCGGCATCCGCAGGGAGCGAATTCTCCTCTGAGACGACAACCGGCTGACGCCAACCACCACACACACAAACGCCTTTTGCCGATTTACCTTGTTCGAATGATTTTCTGTTGGAACGTTTTGTCACTTCACTCTCCGGGTACTGCCCTGCTTTTTCTCACTGCACAGTTCACGCAAGCCTTCATTTTTTTTATGGAAATCGGCTGGCTAACTGGATTCAACCACGCTATAGCTTCCTCGCTCCAACAAGACATGCCCTCGTTGCAATCACGAGGAGGCCGTCTTTTTCCAGTCTCAGCAGCGAAGCGCCGAGACTGGCATGGTAAGCGAACGCTCCCCGTCATGGCTTTTGCATCTTGATGGAGATTTCTGGTGTTGACACTGTCGAAAAGAAACTGTTCTACGTCTGCTGCCTTTGCGGCCACATTTACACTTAGCAGTGTCCTTTTGCCTTGATATACGATTCTTTGCGCGAGATACCCAGAAAAGAAGACAGCGGAAAAGGCCGTGGTGAGATGAAAAGTAAGCTTGGGGGTTTGTTATTATGATATTTGACAGTTGTCGGAGTTGTCGGAGTTTTGGTATTTTGGTATTTTGGTATTTTTGGGAAAGAAACTCTGTAGGCAAGATAGTTGCATTGACCGTCGCTTAATCTGGAATCATGATACATGTTATATGAACATAGTACGTTAATTGTTTTATTTTCTCGTGCTTTTGGGCACTCGTCGTAGACACATATCACGTTTGAAGTTGCATTCACACTGTAGAAATAAGAGTAGAGTAAAATCATGATTGCCGAGTCTGGCCAGTCACAGCCAGCCATCTTCTTCTAAACGCCGCGCAGAAATGCTCATGTGTAATTGTACAGTATTTTGATCCCAATGTTCTACAATCGATCATTCATCCCCTTTCCCTCGAGGTGCATCACGCCTGCATCGGGGCCATGGAGAGAATCTTGCTCCACTTCTTGCGCTTGAGCTCTGCGCCGACGACGCCGTTGATGCGGGAGCCGACGGGGTCACCGGCCTTGTTGAGCAGGACGCAGGCGTTATCGGCGAAGCGGACGACGGAGCCGTCGCGGCGCTGGGTCGGGTACTTGGTGCGGACGACAACGGCGTGGCGCATATCGCCGCGCTTGACCTTGGCGGCGTTGGAGACGCCCGACATGCCCGACGAGGCGGCGGCGCGGTGCTCCTGGACGACGACGACGATGCGGTCACCTGTGAGTGTTAGCTGGGGTGTTGTGGCATGGCGAGGTAGTTGTGTTGAATGGGAAGGATTGGCTGGCGAGATTTCGTGCGTACCGATGCGGGCGTGGCGCTTCTGGCCGACAACGAGGGCGCATTCGACGAGGGCGGCGCCCGAGTTGTCGATGCAGTTGAGAATTGTCTGTTGTCGTATCAGAAACTGCCCCTAGGAGGATTGGGGTTTGATTGGACTGTAAGCTTACCTTTAATTGAATCATGCTCGGCTCTGTGTGTCAGTCCGGGAGATCGGTTGAGGCGGTTCCTACGAGCTCCTAATCGAAAGCTCGGTCGCGATTTTTTTTGGCTTAGTTTTTCCGCTGTTCGTTGGCGGAGGATCACGTGCGACGTTCGAATCGTGGGGGAAAAGGGTGATGTGGTCTAACACGGGCGAGGCTGACTTCCTATACCATCATTGTTGGTTTCCTTGACCTCTTTTTTTTCAAAAGGAAAAAAATGAGCATAAGGAAGGTGAAACAAAGGATTTGAAGCTCGCAAGCCATTATCTGTTCTTGTTTTCGTCTGAACTGTTGTACCGTCTTCTTGACGACTTTGCTCGAATGTGCCCGCCTCTGCTGTCGTTATCCATGGACCGCTTTTTTACAGATTAGAGAGATTCATATTATGTCAATGCGACGGGAGACATGCTTTTCTTTTCCTGTACACATTTGCATACGTGATTTTGAGTGACTACTCTTTTTGGTGTAAAGTCTGTCATGTTTGTGATGCATTCGTCTGGTGCCATGCCTTGGTACTACGAGGTGCCCGGCTGTCGCCCAATAAGCTCGACATTGCCATTTTCACTCGCGAATGAGACGTCGAGGATTCAACATTCTACGAAATTCAAGCGATACATAAAAAGTCACACATTGGAAGGGGAAAAAAAGAAAATATGGGAGACATGTGTACCCATTCCCCCAACTGCGCCATTGCTTTGTGCTTGGCTGAATTAATCAAAGTGCACGCCACCACATAGGAAATGAATTCCAATAAAAAAGGACAATTGAGGCGCTTGTGTCGCCTTGAATTTCGATAGCCAAATTCACGGTCACGAAATCTATCCGTACCGACTTTCGCAAAGCGCGTCCAAGCCAAAGAGTTTCCAGCCACTCTATTAATTCGCTGCGCCACCAGCAAACGCCTTCCATGTATAACGACCCCGAATCTGCTTGCTGAAGGTACGGATAAATGGAGTTGAGGTTTTTGAATCAGTGGCAACGGTGCACAATTGTACATGTCGACGTTGTTTAATTAGAGAATCAAGAAAACCACCTACATATTTCGTGATACGATTGTCAGATCTTTCCCCCACGCAATTAACGTGGTCGCTGTGCCAGCGGGTTGACCAGTGCGCGACTGCGGGTCTCATCCAGCTGGTCAATGACACAAACTCACCAGCTTCCCACTTTGACCTCCCTTCCTCCCTGCTGTTGCCTCTGCTCCATGACTCTCGCGGCACCTTCTTTCCTTTTCACTGTCACACCTCGCTACGTCGCACCCGCCAGCGATCCCCTCGTACAACCACACCTTGAATAAAGCGCTTGTATAAATTCCCATTGCAATTTCCTCTTCTGCAGTCTTTTGGTTCCATTGTCTCGACCACAACCAGACGCACCTCTCGCTTCTTGTTTGTAGCCAAAGGATTCTGAACGCTCGAATTGGCCACAATTCACGACACCTGGCTTTTCCATCTTTCTCTTTCCAACCAGCCTCTGCATGCATGCTTGCGACTTTTAACACAAACCGCCCACGCACACTGAGCCTGCCGGCAAGCCGACATTCTCTGAGCGGATATGCCTCCTTTAAAGGTCACCGCCAAACGCCACGTGCTGACCCTGGCGCAACTATCTGCGTACGATGATATCCTAACAGACGCCCTCGTCGACCATGTATGTTGTATTGCCAGCTGACAACCGCAACCACTGACCTTTCAGGTGTTCTACTGGACCACGATTCCCAAGAATCGGCCCTCGTACCACCCTTCGCGCGGCGTCGTAGAAGACGCAATTGCCAGGATTCTACAAGAAGAGGTTGTCTTGAACAAGAACCCCGCCGCCGCAGAGGCAAAGCTCTTGGCCACCGACGGACTGCGCAGATTCTCCGCCGGCCTCAAAACGGACAAGGAGAGGGAGGACTTTCGCCGCCATCTACGACGCTACATCAACATTTACCTCCCCGACTGCCCATGGGAGGTGAATTCCACAAATCGATACACTATTGTCACCCACGAAGCCAGCATTACCGCACGAAGACCCATTCGCCGCAACGAGAGCATCAAGTATCTCTCTGGCATGAAGGTTCACATTACACCCGAGGAAGAAGAGTTGATCTCCAATCGCAAAAAAGACTTCAGTATCGTGGTCAGCTCCCGGAGCAAGTCCACAAGCCTCTTCATGGGTCCCGCGCGATTCGCCAACCACGACTGCGATGCAAACGCCGCCCTCATTACCACGAGTCATACTGGCATTGAAATTGTTGCTGTACGTAATATTGCGGTTGGTGAGGAAATCACAGTCACCTACGGTGATAATTACTTTGGAGAAGATAACTGCGAATGCCTCTGCAAAACATGCGAGGACGGGTTTCGAAACGGCTGGAAGGACGCCGAAGGCAAGCCACAAGTCAAGACGATGGACGAGGAGGTCAAGACGGAAACATATGTGCTTCGCAGACGACGGCGTGATGATAGCATCTGTGTTTCCTCACGCACGCCCTCTGTAACCCCAGTCATGCGCCCAAAGATTCGTAAGACTCGGACTACTTCGAGACTGCGGGTCGACGACGCATTAGCATCGCCAGCACCTTCACCCGCACCGGAGTTGACACCACGGACGGGTAAACGCACTTTTGATGCCATGGCTACGCCTCCCGTCACGCCATCCAAGAAGCCGAAGCAAATTGTTGAGCTCGTCGACGCTGCACGCGATGCCTCGCGCGGTAGCTCGGTTAGCGACAGCATTAACTCAAGCCAGGACGGTCCTCTCGAAACCGACGTCTCATCGCCAGAGCCCACGCCTGAAAATATTAGCTCAGTAGCCGACATCCCTTCGCCAGAACCCTCACAAGGAGCTCCATCTCCGCAAAAGGCGGACCCTGATGATACATGTATCTCTGTCGTTGTCCTACCCAGTGTGGACGATGCTCTAGAAAGCATTACAGTAAGCATTGAGCCTGTGGACGATGCAGACAAGGCAGTCGTGGGAGTCACTTCGAAGCGCAAGTACCAACGCAAGGTGTACCGGGAGCAAACGCCACCTGCAAGAACAAGAACGCCTGGTGACTATGTGCTCACACCACTTTTGCTTTCGGAGCCTGCAATGGCCTGGGTTCAATGCGGCATGTGTAGCACACCATTTGTGCAGCAAAACGCCTATTTCACGCGCGCATCTTGCCCACGTTGCGAGAGACACTCCAAAGTGTATGGCTACATGTGGCCAAAGACGGACAAGGAGGGCTCTTGGGACAAGGAAGAGCGCGTGCTAGACCATCGGACAGTTCACCGATTCCTGGATTCGTATGAGGAGAAGCGAGCCCGCGGGCGCAAAGCCGGACCCCCGCCACAGGAGGTGGAAGAAGAGGTGGAGTCGCGCGGCCGTAGTCTGAAGCGCAAGTCGGTGACCAAGCCGGCGGTAAAGGCCAAGACTGGGTCGAGAGCAGACAGTGGTATTCGGCGAAGTGGCCGCGCTCGGACAGTGAGCAGGAAGCTAGTTGGCGAATGCTAAAAGGAAGCTAGCTGGTGACTGGTAGGCTAACGGGGTGAGCAGACGGCAGGCAAATCGGAGCGAGGCACGACGAGGAGGATAAAGAGTAAAGGTGACGAGTTTTGGTTCTAATATGTACAGCGAGCGGATGAAGTTGAGCTTAGCAATGGCTACCATGTAAATATAGCATTTGAGTACTGTAAGGTGAATGAAGTTGTGAAATGACAAATGTCTTATGATGTGTGAATATTTGCCGCCTGTGAATGCTAACCATGTTTGCATGTCATGGGTGCGAATGAAGTATACGAACACGAGTTGGCTAGATTACAAATACAGAGCTGTCGAAGGGCGAGGTCACTTGTAATTTGGCGATTTTGAATTGATTTTAACTCACCACGACGCAGATGTCTGCGGAAGATGTGTATCCGGATCGGCCCACCATCTCGACGCTGACCCTACGTCGATCATGGCTATTGTTGGTGCGTGTATATATCTACAATGTATCTTGCAAGATGTAGATGAGTCGATTTGTCCATGTTTTTTCTTCTTGCTTTTTTGCTTTCTTGTCTGCCTCCCCCGTGTTGATTCTGGCACGTATCTTGCAATGGGTATCGTCCGACACTGACAAGCACGCATCTGCACACCCATCTCTACGCCAGCCATCAACCCCAACCCCAACTACGACGACGACGATGACGACGAATACCCCGACGACGGCGGCACCACAGCATGGATCGTCGTCCTGGGTGCCTGGTGCGCGCGCCATGCTGCCCTTCCATGGGCCTCCTCCTCAACACGCTCACGGCGGTCGAGGCTCATCTCGCCTCATCTCTCGAGCTGCGTGGCGGCGTGCCGCGTACCCGGTCAGCGTCGATATTCAGCTGCTACGCCTTTTTTTGTTTTCTGTACTTTTTGCGGCGCGCAGGTTGGGCCAGTCTTTGAACGCGCATGACGTGCGAGTGCTGCTTGTGACGGGCGCGGTGGGCATGGTGGCGGCGCTGGTTGGTCTGAGCTTTTCCACGGACGAGTCCTTTTTTTCGTTTTTTTTCTTTTCTGGCTGTGTCGACCAAAGGTCAATATTGAAAAGAGTTACGAAGAGAATGATGACGGTGGTGTCTCTCTTGGCGTGCTGGGCGGAGCATCGGCATCGTTGCTGTTTAATCCGAGCGTCGCGGTAACAGGACACTGGCTTGACAAGCGCGGCGCGCTGGCAACGGGCGTGGCCTGCACGGCGGGCGGCATTGGCGACGTCGTATTCCCGGTTCTTCCTCTACCTCTCGCCGACGCTGGGGCTCGCCTGGTCGATCCGCGTTACTGCGCTGCGGTGAGCGGTGGTGCTGGCGGTGGCGTGCGTGACGCTGCGGAAACAGCGGCAACCAGGCATCAAGACCTCCGGCAGCAGCGGCGGCGTGGGTGGTGGTGGGGGCAGATAGATGTGCAGGAGGTTTTGATAAGATGAGGATGAAGTGGTGATGGGAGAGATGTGAGATGAAGGGATACATGTGGGAATGGAGGTAGCAAAGCAGATAGACGCCAAATTAGGCCAGATTCAGACATGGTTCAGCGTATAAACCGGACCGGGTTTCCCTCAGGTCCTGCGCAGACTCGCATATGGAATAGATCATACTTTATCAAGCTGCTCCAGTTTCCCTAATGTCTTGCAAAATCCCACTTGCTAACTTGTAATGTCTTTTCCAACATTTTCCAGTAATCAATGCACAGGCATGCCTGTCATTCGGGAATACACCGCTCGCAAATTTGGACTTCACCTTGTCATCCCACCCTTCTCATCCCGCGATAATATCTGAAAAGGCCTCCTCCTGCTGGACAATTAAGTGGATTGTTGAGCCCAGGGCAAATAGATCAGTCTCCCAATTCGCCTCAAATTCGTGTTCCCGCGGGGGCAAGAAGCATCTGCACGGCTTACCGACTAGAGTGGGCCAGTAGAACCTCGCCGTTCTCCGCAGGATGACAGCCTTGAAAGTCGGCCAGCTTGGCGTCGGGGTTTTCGTCGAGCATAATGTTGGTAGGGTTGATGTTGCAGTGAATCACCCTCTTGGAATGGACGTGCACAACTGCTTTCGGCTACCTCTCTGCACCAGGTTATCCGCTGCTGGAGCAACAGTGGCATGCTTTGATTCAAGCAACAAGTCCAAGATTGGCCCATTTGTCGCATATTCGAGATACAGGCCACCATCAGTAAGGCCTTGTTGCGCAATGCTCCGATCATGGCGGCCAACTTCCGTCGAGTCGTCGACTTGACCGATGTAAGAGCTACTTCCAGAAGCTAAAACGTGGCGGATGCCATACCGAAGGTAATGGTGGTACTCAACCACCTCAAGCTCTGGCCTGGTAGAAGACATATTTGTAGTCGCCTTGGGCAGTTGGGAAAGTGTCATGGCCGTATGATGCTGTCGATGAGAGCGCATCAATCATTTCCCGAATAATCCGTACTTGGGATTTCTTCAAGCCCTGCGTAGAGTCGAATCTGGAATTACCATATCTGGGTTCCCATTTACTCGCACTTGTGCCAGTTGGGTAGGTGCATGCATATTCGTGTGGCTCCAAATAAGCTCTTTAGACGGCACTGCATGCTATAGATCAGGATGCCAGGCGACCAGCGACCCTCGTCCCAGAAACCAAACGTTGACCAGCTCCATTGATAAATTGACAGAGAAAGATGAGGGATGAGGAATCTGAACAATGTATCAAGAGGCTCAAGTTCTGGAACTGAATCTCATTGCTGAAATTTAGCAGATAATCTAAACTTCGCAAAGCGTCAGACCGCATGGCAATTGGGATGCGCTGTTGGCTTGATCCAGCTGAAGCTTCTTCTTAGATAGAGCAGCAATGTTCGCCATCTGAAGAGTAACGATGCGCCTTGTGAAGAAGCACACGCCAAATTTGCTAATCTCCTCCACTGACGCGTCACTTCACAGACATAAGAACGGCGTCCTATACTATAGCAAACTACCTATGGTTTCGTATCGGGACAGACACTCAAATCCGCATGGGTCGAGTTGGACGTCGAGTGCAGACCGCGTTTTGCCAGGATACCTTCTTTTATCTATGTCAACTATATAATATATATAGTAGAGGTTGAATTCGACCGATATAATATAATAAGTTATTTTATCTTCCAATATTTATAATAAATTATGATTTTTAACTAGTAGTTAACGTTAGAGCTTTAGCAAATTACAGTAACATAATATAGTAAAATTATATCCTGCTGATAATCGGCCGAGCTTAAACTCTAGTAGAGAACTCCATACAACGACTATCGCCACTATTCCATCTATATCTCACTGATTATTTACTGAAAGCATCTCTATCTGCCTAATACTGCTTATCGAGACATGAATAGATATCTTTGCTTATCCTATTACAATAATCAGACATATCATGTGCTGATTGTTATACGAGTAGTCTTGTCGAGTTGAAAATAGAGTCATCCATTATATGAGTGTAGCTAACTCAAGATTCAGCCCCTCGAATCCAGACAGACCTAGACCGACAGACCAAACGGGCCGATCCAGGTCTGTAGACTAATCGGTCTATTAGCCACACTAACCCGACCCCTCTACCTTAGCTAAATATTTCCAACGCGAAAATGGTTTCATTGATAAGAGAGATACTCGAAATATAGCATGACTCTATAACCCTGATAGCTAGCGCGTTTGATCGGTGAAGAATAGTATGGCCTGATGATTTCAGATTATTCTTTATGCGATAATCACCTGCATAAGCACAGCTCATCTAATTCAATGCGGGCAGTACTGCATAGTATAATGTGTAGGGATCGTTCATAATGTTCATAGCGATACGCTGCTTATTCTTACTCTTGGCCCGGGAAGGCTCCAACCCGTCCGGCGTATTATAGGCCTGATTCGTGGCCTGGAAGCACTGGCTTCCATTTCTAACTCATTCAAGGCTATAGATTCAATAAATAGTGCCTTGCCTATAAGTACCTAGTCAGTGCTTTTAGCCACCTTTTGATCTTTAATGTGAGTTTAGATTTTAGTTGGATATGCTGGTTTTTGTTTGATAATTACGCCCAACAGGCTGGCTATACATTCCGAGTCATCTTGCCAAACTATATCAGTGTAGCAGTTGGTATAACTATGTCTTTCATCCTTTGAAACGTCACGCAACAATAGAACCCGTGTAACCGGAACAGTATTCTCTTGAGTGGATACAAAAAAACCCAAGATGGCATTCGCCTTCTGTTTTACGATCCTTGGACAGTAAAACGCTCATCTATAGATTGACATGGCGTGTCTTGAACTCTATGGTCTCGTTAAAGGCCAGAGCATTATAATAGTATACATTCATATTAGCATTACCCCTTTATTCAACCTTCTCAAGTCATTCAGTAGACCACGTTATATTGAATGGCCTCGCCAGGCAATGCGGATAAATCCACAGTCCCGCAATCAGATCATTTTTAATCTAGGGCACATGTGCCGCACTGGTTATTAGATTGGTGGAACTCTATCGTAGCCACACATCATATTGCCATAGTTTGAGCGTGTAAAGTCAGTCTGTGCGATTTGTGGCTTTCTTTGGAGCTCGCAGGGTTAACTAACGCGCTGGCTGAGACCCTCGAGAGCGCGCGGAGCGCCGCCGCCGATAAGTGGACAGCGTAAATTTTTTCGTTTTTTTTTTTTTTTGACCTTGGTGCTTGCTTCCCCGACTCAGATGGAGGGCCTCTCAGGGACGCAGGTGCCGATGCAGCCCTCGTAGTAGACGCCTTGGAAGTATCGCTCGCAGTTGGGCGGCGCGGTACATGTGAAAAGTGCCGGGCATTCTTGAGTATTAGATCCTGTACCGCAGCGCATGGTACTGGGATCCTGATCGACGTGCGAATGAGGATGTTTGTTAAGAGGAAATTGCTTCGGCGCGCCCTGGGCCGCTATGTAGAGGGCGTAGAGCACCATGAAAGTTTTCACGAGCATCTTAACAAGTGTAGAAGAAAGTAACAATAAAAAAGCGACGAGTGAAAAGATACGATTTGTAGAGAAATCCTCTAGCCACATGTCTCTACTTATGTTGTTGTCAGCGAGCGGCTTGCGTGGTCTTAACCAGACTTTCTACTAATACGCGTATGATTTAGTCAACTCAAATTATAATTTTATAATAAGCATATATATATATTACAAGGCCATCGGTATACAGTTATGCCGGAGGCAAAATAGATGGGAGGCTGCTAGAATCGGATATTTGGTTGCTGAAACTGGTACTGGGCAAAATCGGCTGAGTACGTTGCCGACCTCAACCGGGGTAGATTAGACCGAAAGTCCTAGCCAGGCGGTTACACCCCCTTCTGGCGGTTACACCCCCTTGACCCCTAAGGTATGGCGGCGTTCAAGGGCGCGCAATACAGATTTATGAGAAGCTCACCACCATGTTAAAAGGGTAGAGGTAGAGTGCTTATTCTACATCAACCCTATGACTCGCAGATGTTTGATTGGCTAGCCGCCTTATCCTCTCTACTCGCTGGCACCTTCTGTGGAGTATCGCGGTATCCCAGCGTTTCGTGTCCCAGATCTATGTCAATGCCGAGTGGGTTCGGATGTACAAGCCGTGTGATCGAACATGCTCATATATTGCCTCAAATGCCGCTTCAGGTCTTGTAGTGGTCTTCGTATGCTTTGGCTACTCAATGCGTACCGGAGAAAACTTGGGAAGGTTAGTCTAGGCAGAGCCTCCTACTTGCATAAATAGTGTGTCCTTTCTGAAGTTATTAGATCTAAATAGTAAGCTGTCCGATAAGAATAGGGAGGCGAAGTATACTTACACAAATAAAGAATTCATGATGACAACGGAGACTAAGTCGAACCAGGCCATGCTGTTTACTGCGTTGAGCGACAGTCGAATCTTTAGGTCGACTCTTCTTGAACAATCCGGACCCTTATCTGAGACAAAGGGCTCTGCGGTCCGTGTAGTTGCTAGTAGCGACTAGGAGCGCGGACATCTCCTAGCGCTTGGTTTGCCTTGTAGCTACTAACCCTTGTCGTAACTAAAGTCCTTAACCATTGATCCTAACTATCTCTATGTTCCTAGTGGTAGCTATTTTGTTCCCTGACTACCCACGACAAGGAGCCAAGCCAATCGTAATCGTGAACCAACACCTCGCCACGAGGCTCGACCATCAGTCTCTGCGCGGCTCCTCTCTGCAACCTCTTTTGCGACCTGAATAGCGGTGCACCTATTCCCCCCGGCGGTATCGTAAAGCTAGTTTCGTTTGCCGGAAGCAATGAGAGCACGCAAAATGGGGACAAGGCTGAGTGAAAGAGAGATGCAGTAACTCGCCCACCGGTTGGCTGCTTCGCGGAAACACCGTTGTAACTGCTGCACCACTTTTCCTCTACACGACTATATAACCAAAAAAAAAAAAGGGTGAAAAGAAATTAAATGCACGTCTAAAAGCAGATAACCTGATAAGCGTCGACCCTTTTCCCATGTTTCCTATTAGTTGGCTGAGTCTGATATAACTTGCCGACAAGTACACGTTCCATTTTAACGGAGACGCCTGATTCACTCCCTTGTCTGCTATTGACTGTTCATTTTCTATTGTATTTTTTTCCTTTCTATTCATTCCTTTCATTAAATCTTTGTCTAGTGTATGAAAAGAATCGTTTCTCCTCCATTCGTTACTTCTATATGCTCAACTTGCGATTCTCCTGATAGCCTCAACTTGGCTCGACAATAACAATACGCACACGTCCACGCACATATTTAACTCGCATATTCTTCCTCGCCATTTAATCCACAATGCGGCTAAGCAATACCGTGCTGGTGCAAGTGCTGTCTTCTTGTCTGAGCACGGGTCTGTTCTTATGGCTCTGCCTCAGCCTCGGCTACGACTACGTGCCCTACGCACGCATGCCCTCGACTAAGGCCGTCGAAAACCAAGAAGTCGTCGAAAACCAAGAAGCCGTCCACAACCAACAGCAGCCTATTATCAACACAACGCCCGAACACAACCCCAACACAACGCCCGAGCACATCCCCAACACAGCCCACTACGTCTATATCCTCGCCAACGTGTCAGCCGACTTCTCCTTTGCCTTCTCTGAGGTGCTCTCTATCTACGCCGCCTCGCGTTACTGGCAGCCCGACGTCATCTACCTGCACACTAACGCACCGGCCGAGGCCCTTGAGCGCGCGCGAAGCGGCGCCGCCGGCAAGTGGACGTGGCTGTTATTCCAGGTGCCGCGCCTGCATATCGTCGCCGTCACAGTCCCGACTCACGCGGCCAACGGCAAGGAAATTAGCCTGATAGAGCATAAGTCAGACTTTGTGCGCGTGCAGGCCTTACGCGACTATGGTGGCGTTTACCTTGACTTTGACGTGCATCCGCTGCGTGATATCCGTGTCCTCCGCGAGAGCGGCTTCCACGCCGTCGCCGGACGCCAGCAGGGCGAGAATGGCGAGGTCAACTCAGGCGTCTTCATGAACAAGCCGCACAGTAGCATGATTGAGCTGTGGAGCGAGGGTATGCACAGCGCCTTCACCGGCGATTGGTCTACCCATAGCAACGGCGCCCTGACCGTCGTCTGCGAGCGCCTCGTCGCCTCGCCTCCTGACGTGCTCATTATGGAGCGTAACGCCTTTGCCCCCGGCAGCTGGATGCGCGACGACACGATCCGCCTGCTTGAGGTCCACGACGACGAGACGTCCAGCCTTGATATGTTGACGCCCGACGGCCACCTGCCCGAGTTTAACGAGGAGCGCACCCGATGGTCCGCCCCTGAGAAGAAGCCGGAGTGGGCGGACGACTGGTCCAGGACGTATATGCTACACGCCTTTAACCACAACCAGGGCGACTTTGAGATTCCCGGCTTTAGCCATATCACGCCTCGCTACATCCTCGAGCGCCGCAGCAACATGGCCCGCGCTGTGTATCCGGTGGCCAGGGACCTATTCGAGCAGGGCCTGATAAATATTGACGATCCTTATAAATTCTAGGTCGAGACCATGTAAAATAGAGGAATAAAGTCTTATGAACGGAATGTATTATTAGATGAACTTATAGAATATAGAAGTCGGTTTATTAGCTAGAGTAGTCTTAAAAGTATCATTTTTAATATCTCCTAGTATTTATTCTATTTATCAATATATAAGAATATCTAGATACTAAGGTAAGAAACGTGTTTGTACCAGAGAAGACGATCCTGGGGTAGTAATACGCGTATTAGTCGGCTTAGCCACCTTCTCCACAGGCGGCTGTTTATACGCGTGTCTGTTACGCATCGCTCCCAAGAATACTTTTCTGGTTCTTTAGACGACATGAAGTAGCAAACACAATTACGGAGTCAATCTCCTGATTTTCGATTATTCTATCTTGCGGCCAAGTCAGTACTCACATATGCAAGTAAATCGCAAAAATGTCTTGTTAGCATCACCACCCACTACGCCATGTATCCTGCTGCCCTTGGTCAAAATACGATGGGCGTTTAGTACGTAGCAGGTCTGGGATTAGTGCTCTTAAGCATTCAGCCTTGATTTTGTTCGTCAATCAGGCAATATGATTCGCTCATCATTGTAGCCCCTTGTGATTATTGAAGCTGGCATGTTTTACCAAATCTCACGATGCGATGCGAGGCTTACGACAGACTCGAGATAATCAACACATAAAGCGCTACCAAATGAATTTGACGGGGGTATCCTTGCTATATCGAACGCCATGCAACAAGTAGTCTCCCAACAATGCCCAGCAGGAACAAGCACATACTCTAGATGATATTTCTCCGCATGTCCTCTCTTGTCTTACGAACGCGCCGGCAATCAAGCACACTCCACACCACATACACAAGTCTCACACCCCTATCAAGCACCGTTAGCTTTAGTCTCGTTATTGATGGGAGGCGCCGTGCTTACGCCGTCGCCCAGGTCAGACCCGCTGTTACCACCATGACGTGCCGCCATGGCGCCGGGTCCAACTCGTAGCCCTGGTCCGAGAGCTCGACGAAAAAGCCCGCCGTCAGCGCGGCCGCCAGCATGACGCCGTCGAGCCCGCCAATGGCGTACGGCGAGACGCGTGGTAGGTTGGTGTTGATGAGGTCGACGAGCATGAATGCGTCGATGATGATGGCCACGGCGTTCTGTTTTAGTTTGAGTCAGTGAGTGTCTTCGAAAGGGAAATATCTGAGACTAAGGAGAAGAAACAAAGAAGAACCAAGTAGAGCAAGAAAGAGACAGAGCTTAAAAGACAGACAGAGGACCACTTACCGCACCAATAGATACTCCCGCCACCGCGCGCTTCACGTGCCACCGCGCAGCGAGATACAGCGCCGATCCGAGCCCTGCGATCGCCAGACTCAGCGTTACGCTCCGCGCAATGGCCTGCGTCAGGCCATACCGGTGCGACGCCCGCGGAAGTGCCCTCTCCAGGACAAGATCGTCAGAGAGCGGCTGCCGCAGCGACCTGCGCGGCGGCGGCGGCGTTTGCGCTGGCGCTTCTGGCGGAGGTGCGTCCTCGCGCCACACGGCCGGCGTCATCATGGGCTGCATCTCATACTGAGTCGGTGGGACAGAAGAGGAGGGTCCGGCGACGACGTAGGAGGAAGAGGCGGCGGCTTCGGGGGCGCGTGGTGGTCGCGGACTGTGGTAGCTCTGGAAGACGGCCCCCGCCATTTAGGTCGCGCCCGGTGGAGGGGACGGGCCGGTCCTCCTGGTGGATGCCTCCTGATGGATGGGTGTCCGTTGGTTGAGATACATGAACTAGTGTTTGAGGTATTTGATCAAGGCATTTTATGCGAGGTTTGGTGGTGGAATGAGGTGACGTTGGGGAGTTCTTGTGTGGCTGCGACGTTTGTAGAGGCGTCGTCATGTCTTTTTTTTTTTCTGGGCGCTGCGGGGGGGCTGCGATGAGGCTGGAGAAGAGGACCAGCGATGGGCGCCACAATTAGGAGCGCCACGGGGGCAGGCTGGCGCGACGTGTGTGGAGGAGTGTTGCAAGAGGCAGATTCCACGGGCGGGATTATTCTTTGTTGCTCGTGGTCGTGAAAAGGGAAATGTTGACATGGTTGGCGTGGTTGGTGGGTGGTGTGAGGTTGAATTGTATTGGGATTGATATGTGTAGACATGCGACTTTGGGCCATTTCTTTGCCATTGATCAGCAAAAAAAGAAAGAGAACATGAAGGAGTAAAGTCAAGAGAGGAAGTAGATGTGATGAGGATTTCTCAAAGTCTACTCTTTCAAGCCAAGTTTCTTCACGGTAAGTCGTCTCTTGTTGGCTGCATGACCAGACAAAGGCGGCGCCACTTACCCTGCATAATTTTTTGAACCCTCTCGCATCACTATGTCTTGCTGAAAAACGTCACGCTCGAATTGCCCATCATCAAGACCCATCTCAGACGCACACTCTCCGTACGCCGCCATCTGCTCCTCGATCTTGTCTCCGTGCGCCGCCGAAATGTCGTCCTTCTCGCTTGGATGCACACTGAAATCGTACAGCTGCCACCGACCCGGACCATGACGGTGTTCTGGCCCATCTCGGTCGATTCAAAAGCCCGAGAGGCTCGTCTTCGAGATCAACTTGGAAGCACAAGATCAAACAATTGAACTCGAGATAAAAGAACACATGAAGTACTAGAGTATTGATCACTATCTGATTCAATGTACTCGGGATCATCATTATCCGAGATACTAAACATGGCAGCTGATGGATGGCATGAAACATCCAGAGACACTCGTGATCCACTATGGCGGCGCCATTCCGCCTCGCTCTGACGCAAAAGTTAAAACTATCTCCCTCGGGAGGGACCGTTTCAAGCTAATCTTGCCATCTTTGTTTCTTCCAGCACTTATCATCTCTCTCCACATCACATTTGCCTTGTCCAGCACAAACAAAATGCCTGGCATCGGTCGCATCGCCATCGCGGCCACGGCTCTTGCCGCTACCGTCCTCGGCGTCGCGCCGCCAGCCCAGAATCCGCTCAGCAAGGCGTCCAAAACGCACCTGGTCGACTCGCAGAAGCTGCAGGATCTCGTCAGCATCGACAAGCTCTCCAAGCGCGCCAAAGAGCTGTACAATATTGCCAAGCTCTCTGAGCCCGACTTTAACCGTCCGACGCGCGTTATCGGAAGCAAGGGTCGGCTCTCCCCAATATCTCTCCATGCTCTCCCTCACTGGACCAGCTAACCAGAACGCAGGCCACGAGGGCACCCTCAAGTACATTACCGACACTCTCCACTCGCTCGGCAAATACTACACCGTCACGACGCAGACCTTTCCCCTCACGACCAGCACCGTCTTTGAATCGCATCTTGTCGTTGGCGATGCCGTCTACGCAGACGCTAAGCCCTTTAGCGGCACGCCCCCAACCAAGGACAAGGAGCCCGTCCACGCGCCGCTCGTGCTCGTCAGCCGCACCGGCTGCAAGGCTTCAGACTACCCGGCCGCGGCCAAGGACGGCATCGTGATTGTGCAGCGCGGCGAGTGCGCCTTTGGCCTCAAGTCGGAGCTCGCGGGCAAAGCCGGCGCCAAGGCGGCCATTATCTACAACACCGACGACGAGGACATTAGCGGCACGCTCGGCGACCCGAAGCCGGACCAGGTCGCGACATTTGGCATCAGCCTGAGCCGCGGCGCGGCCCTCGTGGCCCGACTGGCCGCCGGCGAGCACATTGACGCGATTGCCTACATTGACGCGGCCATTCAGACGATCCACACGAAAAACGTCATCGCGCAGACGACGGCCGGCGACCAGGACCAGTGCGTCGTGCTCGGCGGCCACAGCGACAGCGTCGAGGCCGGGCCGGGCATCAACGACGATGGCTCCGGCTCCCTGTCGCTGCTCGAGATTGCAGTGCAGCTCGCCGCGTTTGACGTGCACAACTGCGTGCGCTTCGCGTGGTGGTCGGCCGAGGAGGAAGGCCTGGTCGGCTCGACGTTTTACGCAAACTCGCTGTCGGCCGAGGAGAACCAAAAGGTGCGCGTGTTTGTGGACCTGGACATGATGGCGAGTCCAAATTACGCATACCAGGTGTATAATTCGACTAATGCGGCTAACCCGGAGGGCTCGGAGGAGCTGCGCGACTTGGCGACGGACTGGTACACGAGCCAGGGGCTTAACTACACCTTTAACGAGTTTGATGGACGTAGCGACTACGTGGGGTTTATTCAGCATGGTATCCCGGCTGGTGGCTGGAGCACGGGTGCAGAGGGTGTCAAGACCGAGGCCGAGGTTGCGCTGTTTGGCGGCGTGGCGGGCGAATGGTACGATAAGAACTATCATCAGATTGGTGATGATGTGAGCAACCTGAATTTGGAAGCTTGGGAAACCAACACAAAAGTGAGAAATCTTTTACGTTTGAATGAAAGGGGGTTACTGACCTGTTGCAGCTGATTGCGCACACTGTTGCCACGTATGCACGTTCCTTCAAGGGCTTCCCGGAGCGCAAAAAGCCTGCGTCTGTTGCGGCGGCTGGAAAGGGGTCTGCATCGCAGTTTAAATACCGTGGACCGTATGCCATCATTTAACTAATATCTTGGTCTTGGCTAGTCTTTGGTGGTTCTATTTGGGGCTGTCTAAATTTTACAGAAATACACATCAATAATGATCCCTACATTGACTTTCCTGCGCGTGTTGTGAATCTGTTTCCTGTCCATCATCTTTCCATATCAGTCGTCAATGTTTCCTGGCCAAGATGCTCATAGGCGACTGCAAAAGTGCATTGTCTGCCATTGCCATTGCGTTCCCGACTTGCCCCATGGCACTCCGGGCTTTCAGAACAGTTGCCTCGGCCTCCCTCATTACAGCCAATCTGTCCTCCAGATCCTTTCTTGCATGTTGGATCGCCTCGAGCTTGCGGTCGACATCAGTTATGCCAATACTGAGCGCCATCTCAAGGTTGGTGTCGCCTCCTTCAATCGGGGCACTCTCTGTGCCCAAGTCTTTCGCGTCGTCATTCGTTTCAGGCATTTGAGCCTTGGTGACGAAATGCGGGGGAATATGCCAGAGATAGAGCCAATTCAGCGCTGCGAGCAGACTGACAATGTTCGAGTTGCTTCTTTCCTTTTGTGAGGCGAAGCGCAGGGCCAGGACTTGCGCATGAGAAGGCAAATCCTTTTGGGGGGGAAGCTTGATGTTCTCATACTCGGCTCTGTCTGATAGATCTTTGTACCTCTGGAGACTTTTACGAATGCTGGATCGTCGACACGCTACTCTGTTTGCAGCGACGGCTTTACTTTCACATTGGAAGAATTTTTCTAGCAGCGTTCGCGTGTCGAGAAAGAGCTCATGAAGTGGATGATTGTTGTCAGGAGTTGGCCCAAGGATCGATTTGTGTCCTGCGTTGGCAAGTTCGACCTTCATTCGAGCTTTGGCCTCGTTGAACAATTCAGAAGGCATGGCAGCTCCTGGTCGCCGAGAATTTAGCACTAAAAGAGACGTTGTTTTGCAGTCCTTCCAAACCGCCCAGGAGAGAAAGCAGCCAGAGAGCTGATTCGCTTGACGTACCTTTTGATGAGCGCCTAGCTAATTTCGTCGACATACTTGAGGAACGTCCGTATTTCTCTACTCCTCAAAAGCAAGTGGCAAAACTAGGTGAGACCTGCAAAGTATGTGTTTGAGTACATGTGAAAGAAAGAGTACAGAAGGGGAAAGAGAAATTGGATGCTCGAATGTAAGCTTCCTCCGTTTTTTACTGCGCCAGCTTTTCACGAGCCATGCCCGTTTGCACCCTGTCGCACAGAGAGCAGCGAATCTAGAAGCTCGCAGCGTGTTCCTTTTCTGGCTCTATTCACCAAACGAAAAAGTGGGCAATGAATCTCTATTCAAACAGATGTTGACAATTTTAAATAGCCTACCGTTCTTGATTTGGAATGGTCTGCCTTGTTCATCTGATCTGGCCCGAAGTAGCTTTGAGCCGGCCGTCAATTCGAGGATCATGGTCCCCCTTTAGAGGGGACTCATGTATTGCTTGAGGGTCTCCAGAGGTTCTTCAATTGCTGCCATAGTACCATGTTTGTTATTTCTATGCTTTGTGGTTTCTGATCTCCGGAATGACTGGTACAATCGCACGACGAACAGAGCGCGAAGAGTGGAAGTGGACGGCGCATGACAAGAACAACCGAGTAGACATAATCGGATACAATAGCACGCGATTCATGAGGACAAAGCGGGGTATGATATCTTAGTCTGACAGGAGTTGTCAGCCAGGGTGACTGCGACTTTTCTCAAGTCGCCCCGAGACTGACTGTTGGTGTGACATCCGGGCACACTCATTACGAACAGAGAACTAGGGTGAGTCTACTCTATCATGTCATCTTTAACATTTTCCAACTCGTCACAAGCATCATCCTCTTCGTTTTCATTCTGCTCCTCGCTTTCCCCCGGTGAGTTTGTGAGCTGCCAGTCGATCGACTCTGAGCTTTCCTGCTCCTCCTTCGCCTCCCACCATCTCCTTTGTGCTTCTTCGAGCCTCTCTTGGCAGATTTGCATCAATTCCAACGTTTCCTTGATCTTATTCTCCACCCTGCACCGCGCGAGAAGCTCCTCACTCGTCTGCTCCGACCCGGTGGTGGACGTCTTTGTCTTGAGCTTGTTGAGGCACAACTCAATGTCCTCCTTATTCTTCGCCCAAACCGCTAGATTCTGATCAATGACTTGACCCAGCTCCCGATTTGCCTCGAAAACTCTCGCAAAGTCACTTTCATCTTCCCAACTTTCGGCGCCTTGGCTTGCCTCTGCCCGCGCGCGCCAATCTTGGTCTCCGACCTGGAAGAGATGGAGCGCATGGCACGCAGCGAGCATATTCAGTGCATATGTAACGTGTCCGTTGGCTTGGTGCGGTGGAAGCGCAAAGCGTAGAGACAGGACCTCGCCCCTGGTCGGCAGGTGCGCTTTGTAGTCGCCTCGCGCATAGTACACGCTGGCGGCCTCGTGGCAACGCGCCCATATGTACAAATACACCTCCTTCATCCTTTTCATATCAAGCGTTCTGCCCGCGTCATTGTCGGACTGGCGAAACAGCTGGTCAAGATTTCTATGCGCCTCCTCCCACAGGGCATGCAGCGGGTGAGACTCGTCCACGTCGTCGCTTGTAAGCGTGATGTGGCCATTCCAGTGAAACTCGGACAACATTCGATGTTTTGCACGCTCAAAAGTCCACTTTGAGGTGATTGGCACATTCTGTCTTCGCACCTCTTTGCGGGCAGATTCGTAATTGTACATTCTGCTTTCGGCGCTGTCGCGAGATTGGCTGTCAACATTTGTCTGCAGGAGGGGAAAACAGTCAAACACATACTTTGTAATGATGAGACTTTCTTCTCGCAAAATCTGCAGGGCCGCTTCTAGTCAAGATGTTCAAGGTCGACTCGAACCTTGGCAGAGTGTGAGTACTTGATGATGCAACCAAAAGCAGCCAGTGAAAACGGTGAGCAAGCGAGAATAAAGTTGAAGAATTTGCATCTCGATTGAGTGTGTTGAGAATTTTTCTTTAAATGTGGTTGTGGTGTTACCTTGACTGGCTCTGCATTCAACTCACTGTTGCTGGGAACACGCGTTCTTGTTCTACCATGAATATACGACATCCGCGTCCCCTTGCACAGGTGTAACATGTTATTAGTTTCTGCACGTAGTATATCAAGATCTGTTAATCGCTAAATTCTTCATTTAATTGAGCGTCAATCTCCATAGATTTTAAAGGTATATTTAAGCGTAAAATGTGGGTTTATTTTAGCCTTTTTGCGCGATACTATAGTTGATAAGTTTCGCCCGTGATATCTCTCGCAATTGAACACTGGGTCACGAAAGTCAAGCGTAGTCACTGCAAGCAATCAACAGTAAATCTGCAACAATGCGAGAAGCGCAGGCAGTTGTGTGATCCGGAGAGCTTCCCCAACTCACCTTTTGCAGACATGGTGGGAGCTGAAACCAGCTCGCCACGGTAAGCGGGAAAGAGCACATGATGCCATATTGAACGCTATTAAACCGCTAAAAATGAAGCCTCATTGAGAATACAGAAGCATCGAAACGAGGGCTTGAAGCAATGACGTATGAATGATGGACAAAATAGTAATACCGCCATTTTAGACGTGCTGGCAGTAGATAGGCAAGTTGGAGAAAAAGGCGCGCTCAGGAACCAATCGGGGGTAGAAATGGGCTTTTTGTCCCTGAATGAAACAAGATGCATCGCCTTGAATGCAAGGTGTTTAAGCCAGCCACTGGACCTCAGCCAGCCATTATGCCACCCCGGGTCCGGCTAGCCCGCAAACTCCTCAGTGACAGCACAGGCGCTCTCATACTTGAGGATATAGCTGGAGATTGTCACGCCTATGTAGTTTGCGGGGATCTCCGAGCGGAGATGGCGATCAAACAAGGACATTTAAATTGTGTATTATAGCGCTACCACATTAGCTTGGAAAGATGATTGGTTGATGCCAGGAAGGGGTGCCTTTAGAGTGCAAGGGTCCAATATCAGCTCGCTCTCTACAGTCCATGACTTCGCCCGGGTTCTTTGGCCACATATCGATGACATGACTTGGGTTTTGCTTGATTGAGTAATATAGTCTTCTGAGATATAGCTAAAGGCCGACATGGGAATTTCGATAAAACGATAACTCCAAACAAGCGCAGTTTAGGTACCAGCAGAAACGATGATATCGAAGCTTACGTGCAGCTGTACCTTTGAGAAACGTGTGGGTAGCCGACGCAATGCTCCATCTGGCGGCAGCGATTGCCTCAACTCAGGCGCTCGCTGACTCGCTATCAAGAGGTGCCATGCAGGCAGGGCTTGATCATGCATGAGAAGCCTTCGATCGTCACAGTAAAAAAGACGAGCAAAAGTCCACTAGTAATGCTGATATAGTGCATGAACCAGCAGTAGCTCTGTCACTAATCTATCGGGCTTATTTAATACCCATGCAGCCGCGACCGAGCTATAATACCCACACTGCTGCTTCCTCAGCATCGTACTGTTCAACTTTACCGACCGAAAGAGTTTATTCGTCAAGAGCCATGTCCTCGAACGCGGAGCCAGTCGGGGAAACTGGTCAACGTGATTTTACTTTTCCCTTTCTCCAATATCCGCCGGACTTGAGTCCTATTTTCGACTCGCTGCGAAATTTCCTGGTTAGCAATCACATCGTGCTTACCGGGGCGCATACAATAAAACTTCGTGCACCGGATGAAGAAGCCATTCTAGCTGGTACCTTTGTCGTTGAGATTGAAGTGCTGCCCATGAGGTGAGTATCCACTCGTTGTATTGCCTTTTAAAAACCGTTGCTCATCAATAACAGACCTTTGACTTTGCAATCGCCCAACGAAATGATTGATTCGACAGCAGGACAGATTGAATCACCAAGCCTGATGACTGGTGTATTCGACAACGAAGCTTGTATGCTGGATGCCTCGGGTAAGCTGTCGATTCGAAAGACATCCTTGGACGAGACTGTGGCGCCTAACTTATTTAAGAAATTGGTGCATGTCAGCCACAAACTGGCTTCAATAATGCCACTGAATGCACAAAGACATTGGACTCGCCATGGCAGGCCATTGGGCCTTCAATTCGATATAATCTTCCTGAAGAAAGCAATAACGCCGGCAATGTCAGCTTGGATATGGGCTCTATGCCCCCAGTGTCCCCAAGCGTTGCAGGTGGTTTGGAGAACCACGTAGACCATTCAACAATGACCGTCAGCCAGCCAGGCTTGGATTCTAGTCAATACTCACCCCTCTCTTGCAATTCTCAAACAAACTCTGCTACAGAAGCTTTCGAGCTACCTGTATCGGTCGCTGATGCTGCTGTCAACAGGAGGCGAGGCGGACGGAGCGGCAGTGTTTCTACATCTTCAGGTTGCTCCGAGTCGTCTCACAAGAGAAACAGACAAAGCAAGTTATTGGCGCTCACTATCAAATCAGTGCAGCAGCCAGTCATACGGCCGGATTGGCTGACTTTCTTGGAAGCCGAACTCCCGCGCTGGGCGCTATGGGGATTGTGGGAAGGAGCTGCAGATGTTACTCCGCCAGCCAAGGGTGGCGGCCACGAGTATCACAGTCTGCAAGTCGCATACTCTGCTGTTTGCTTTCTTGAGAAGCGCGTGGACTATGACTCTATTCGTTGCCGCATCGCCTTGGTGGAGCTACACCGGGAGTACGAAAGAGCGTGCACACATCGACAGGAAATCGAGGAACGACGTCGAATTGGTTGGGGGGTTTCTAGCTCTACTATCGATTATATTCTGAAGAATACGCATAGCAACTGGTCTCTGCTGAGCGAATCGCAGCGAAAAAGTCGTCGTTCTCAGTTTCACGACCGCAAACGGTATGGCAAGAGATGGGCAGTTCTGACGGATGGGCTGGGTACGGGCATTGTACTTCTCAGCTCTACGCATCTTGCAAAAGCAGTGTAAGTATACAAATGAGCAATATGTAACACAGTGGCTAACATATTGAGAGCAGGCACAACACTTCATTTACCTCTGAAATGCTCAATCAGTTTGTCCAGCACACACGAGGCGACGCAACAACCATGCGCATATTGAAAGAGATACGGAAAGTGGCGGATCAGTTATGGCTAGGGCAGCCATGTGGCTCTTATGATGCCAATTTCTTGCTGAATAGGTTGAAAACGGTTAGTGGTGATGATTTCGATGTGATGGAGTAGAGAGATGGCAGATTGTTTCAAAAGTCAAGCGATACGGAGCCTAGTGCGAGGGCAAATATATACAACGGCCAATTAGAGTGCATTCAGTCGCTAAATCGGATACGATATATGCCTTTAAAAATTCAGTGAGCAAACAAGTCTGATTCTACACCACTGCTACGCTTTTCTGGCCATGTCATTGGTGCTTGTTGCAGTCTCTGATTGAGTAATCATATGGCACGGATACAGATGATCGTCCAAGTGCGACATGATTGTTGATCAAGATTTTTGTAGTCATTCTCATTAATAAAGAACTTATCTGATTATCACAATATTATCTTTAATGCAATGGAAAGAAAGGCAAGTAAACGCCATCCCGTTGAATGATAGATGGCAATCCTCCCTCGGACATGTACGTCGTGATAATCATTCCACAATGCGCTAAAAAAGCTTCCCTGAACTTTGTCTATGGGTGACTTTTCCTATTGCGTGAGTTGTTAGAACCACACCCTCAACGAATGGGCGAGCAGTTAACCAATGTAACATGGACATCCACCCCCCTCGGCTCCGGTGAGCTGAGGCATCTCTGCGGAGAGAGAGGCGATGCTACTTGATGAAGATTGCTAACCATATTCTTACATATCAAAGAACTACGCTTGACAAGGTATCTCGTCTATAAACTCCTCTTGCCATTTTGGGACCTTTTACGTCTGCCGTGGGAACCAAGGGGAAAGACCACGGAGCGTGAGGCAGTTTCATTGCACGGAGATGACCGAACAAAAACTTGTCAGTCAGCTTACTGTTACATGCGTATGAAGATCGTACTATCGATATTTCAATGATTTTTTTTATTCTTTTTTTTTTTCAATAAAAAAAAACTTCTCATGTTCAGCGCGGTTGAGCTGCGCCCGGTGTAGGTGGGAGAGGATCGGACTCGGCTCCGCGGGTGCCCGCAAAGTGGCGTCTGCGGATGACAGGAAACTAACCATATCGAGAATGCAGCGCAGGAACCGCTGAAAAGCTTGGCAAAGATGACAAGAATCTAGCTTCTTTTGGATTGGGAATTCCGATTCCGAACCTTTTCCCATCTAAGGGCTCAGGTGAAAGGCAGACAAACAGGAATTACTTGGGGTGTAGGATAGGGACCGGATCCTCTTGCTTCAGTATTGTGTCGTTTTATTTTCATCATCACTCTGCAAGTTTCCATGTGAAGCCATGTTGGAATGATCTCTTTTATTTCGAGCCCAGGAACGATTCACCACCAAGCGTCATTTGCCACTCTATTGCTGGCGAGCTAGCTGTGCAGCTCAGTGCACTCTTGCCGGCCCTGCTCTTTCAGCTCGAGTCAAGCCGTGAGTCGAGCCAAATTACTTCCTGAATCAATGCACAGAGCCTTAGAGTTACGATTCGCTACATCAGAGTCGATCTCGTCAGAGCGATCGTAGCAAGCTGCTGCCAGCCTGTCCGATGTGTTCAGTGTCGACCATCTTGTCTGCCTCGCAAGTCTGGTGTGGCTTCTGTACAGCAACACTGGGCACGAGGTTGGGTAGCAGCTTGTTGTCAAATGCATTGCCAATTTTCTGACTGCAAGACTGGCTATTTTGCAGACTGAGGCAGCTGAACCGGGCGCTTTCTGCATCGTCATAGCCAGCTCGGCTGTTTACAGCAACCAAATGAACCTCAATAATGCCAACTACACTGTAAGTAGCACAACTAAAAAGAAGCGACCGCATATTCATAATGAAAACGAAATAGTCTCTGACAATAGCCCTAGGCCGGCTCCATTTGAAGCCGTATTGGATCCTGGCCCCTCCTCGAGCGCCAATAATTTGTCGACGACATGACATCCGCCGACGTCCTCAAAAGTCTCTGCCATTTGAGCGCAAAAACTTCAGAAAGCTCGTACGCCGCTGGGTCCCAAGACTCGCCCCAGGTAACCAGGCCGACCTGGTGCTCGCTGTCGCTCCCCGACCCCGTAAACAAGTCATTGCACAGCTCGTCTTCGTCATACGTGCCAGTGTTGAGAAGAATGGCGTTGCGAAGTGATGGAATGGGACAAATGTCGATCCAGGGATGATGCGCTATCTGTTTTCGGACTGCCGTGGGCGCAAGACTTGGTGGCAAATCACCAGATGTAGAAGGGGCTGGACCAGAGGCGTTGAAGGGCGAGATCATGTCCTCGCATAGTAGTTCGAGTGTGAACCCAAAGTATGCAGCATTCTTGGCCATGGCCTTGATGATGTTGAATTGCGTCACATTGGTCAAAAGCTGGGCATCGAAAGACGGTTGCGTCGAGTCACGCGTCACAGCATCTTGAAGGCGCTTAATATACTGCGACCGCTCTGGTCCGCTTGACTGGCAAAATAACCATTTCTCGATAGATGGCGGTGAATCCTTTTTATCATGCTTCTCATTCTCGTCGAGCGCTGCCGAGTATATGATCCATTTACGCGTTGGACCTTTCGCCTGTGCTAGAATGGCCAGCCGTTTTCCTGCATGCAAGGGCAAACGTCAGATGCTGGTGCAAGAACCGGCGGGGAGATGTAAAATACTGACGGCGAGCCTGCTGGCTAAGTCGATTTTGTCGTCTTCTGCGCTCCTTTGCGCTGTCAAAAGCCACGTCTTCACTCATGAGCAGCGTCTTGTCCTAAGGATCATGATTTCTGACTTTCCGCGCAGAAGTAGAAAAAAAGTTTTTACACGTCTCATGCAGTCAGCCCTTTTTCGAGACATGCCTTGTGTGTGTGTGTGTGTGGCGGTGCAGGTGCATCGCTTGGCAGGTTCACCACTGCGCTGCGATTGGATAGGCAAACTTGATCTAGAATTCCCGCCACCTTGTTGCGAGATTTGCAGATTTCATTGAATTCACTCAATAAGTGATGCATGTCGACTCGAGTCATATATAGTAATGATTCTCGATTTTTTGCGGCCGTCCACGTATGGCTGGCCACTACATGACAATCATCGGCATAGAGGCACCTTCTATTCGTAGCCAATAGGTACGCCACCATCCCCGAGCGTTCCCAACCAATTCAGAATCTAGGCGAGCTGAGGGCTAGCCCGAGATGCAGGTTGCGCTATTTTTTTCTTTCCCTGAATCATCGGTGTGCGATATCTACTATACGCCGCATATTGATGGGTTAAGGGAGATGGCCTTGACGTGACGTTATGAGAGCGGGAGTGAGGATACTCACCACTGCCTTCCTCCTTCCAGATAGCAGCCTCCACACGCTCATTTACATCAGTGATACTGTATGCGTCTGTATGACCTCAGTGTGGCTGCACCACGCTTGAGACAGCGAAATGCCCAATGGAGCTGGACCTCCCACGTCGGCCACTCTGAGGGGACCTAGAAATATAAAATCAAGGTAATTTCCTCCATGCTGCTCAACCAAGGCTCTCATTCGCAACAGTTTTACACCAACTCAATTCTAACAATCTTACTGGAATTTGTCATCACAATGTCCGACCCAGCGAGTACGTCTACCAAAACATCACCTCCGCGATTTAACCCCTCTCTGACAGCATTGCGCCACAGCTATCAAGTTTGACAGCTTCTCCAAGCTTCCTACTTGGCTCCTTCCCACCAGCTCTCAGGTAATGGCCTACGCCGGAAACTATGACAAGAGCGATTTGGAAGGGATAAGGTTCGACTGGAATTCTTTCAAGCAATCGATCGGCCAGAACGCAAGCGGCGACATCGCCTTTGACAAAGAGAAGGTCGTCACCATTGATCGTCAGGACAGAACCGTCCAGACCATGGTCGATCAGATTGTGTCTTTCCTCGCCGACGCGCTTAGCTACCCCATGAGCCAGCACGATATCAAGGCGCTCAATAAGACCATACAGACGACCTTCTATAACTTGAAGAATAAGTCCTCGTATGGATTCTTGAACTTTAGCTCGACTACTGATCATCACAACTCGTCTTGGACATATAATATCAACTTTGCGTTTCCCAATCCGGATATCCCGAATTACTTCAATTCTTTGATTTCGACTGTCATCTTGGAAGCGGATATAACTGATGTGTCAGAGTGGTGGGGTTTAGAATTCAACACGACAAAGAGCTTCTCCGCCAAGATTCATTCTATTGAACTCGTTGTAAAGAAGGGCTTTGCGAATCCTGATGCGCGACCCAAATAGGAAGTTATTCCGGATGAGTTAGCTCTACAGCTTGCTGCGCTCGCCACAAATCTTTGGGTACTTTATTGCAGGTCGCTGTCTGCCCATCATATTAGGCATCGTTTCGGCATCTCTTTTTGCTTGGCACGTTTTCTCCTGGTTTGTCGGACATTGGCAAAGGCATACTAGCTGTTGGTTAGTCTTGCTTCTGGTCGTTGTATGGAGTTCTCTACTGGAGTTTAAGCTCGGCCGACCAGATAGCGCAGTTCAGTCGTTACTTTAAAATTACAGTGTTACTTTCAAATATTCGCCATTATTTCCATCTTGATTCGGACATTGGGCCAAGAGCGAATAGACATGTTGATTTCGCATAAGTAGGATCCCTCAAAATACAGACATCTATAGAGTTATCGAACGTGGTGGCTGATGTATCAGCCTCTGGATCAAACACGTCGTGCTTCTCTTACTTTGAGACAGGACCTCAGACTTAGCCCGCGCGGCATGGACAGGTTGATCTATATCAACATGATGGTGCATTGGGCCAGGATTGGTGTTGTACTTCCGGCCGTTGTCGCCATGGCAGAGCGATCCGCTGACGGAGTTGCCCAACACACAATATGACATGTCTTGGAATTCCGCGGTCCCATGCCGTAATGCAGATGGCTGATAGGATGCTCAACTTTCTATTGCCTTGAGCGAGGCTCAGAGTTGTGCGGCTTCGCCGCTTCAGTGGAGTTTCCTGCGGGAAGTCATAAATATCCGGCGGTATTCTTCCTCCAGAATCGGTCTTGAATATTTACCAAGTCTTTTCGCATCACAATATGCACTCGGGGCGAGCTGAAATCATGCAGTGCGTGGCTTTGATGTCTCGGCTTGACTCATTCTGACGGCTGAAAACAACTTGCAGAAACTACAAGAGCTGACAATGTTGTGGGTGTGTGTGTCTCAGAAGGAGGTTAACTTTTCGAGGCAAGGTATTTTAGCCACTTTCTAGGAAAGCAAAGAATTATATAAGAAGAGTTGCTCTTCGCCCTTTGCTTTAATACCGACTCTGTACCAAAAAACGAAACAAGACTCAACAACCTTTGCTACTGCGTACCTTACCAAACATCTTGATTGCCTAAAGGCCTTTGGAAAAGAAACTTACAAAAAAGAGGAGCGCAGGGCAAAAAAAAAAAAAAAAAAAAAAATCCGCCGCCATTATTCTTCGTGCATTATACCTTCTTATTTCTCCAAATTTCTGAAATACCTCTCGCATTCAAAATGAGCAAGTTCATTAATGACACCAAGAATTTCGAGCTCGCAGCTCCACGCACTCGGGAAGACATGTCAGCCCAGTTTGACAAAACGGACGACGACAAGGTCTCGGTTGAGCAGGCCTTCCCCATCAGTTCACGAACCGACAGGATGGCGGTCGACAAAAACTTTGACGAAATCTCCAGCGGTGGTGCCGGCGACTTTAGAAAGGACAGCAAGGACAGGCCGCCAGAATCACAATCAGCAACCGACCGGCTCGCCACTTGGTCTCTGAATCCTGACCTAAAGCAGGAGTCGCCTGTCATCAAGATGCACCCAGACGATTTTCTTGGAGGCAGGGACCCCATCCAGGACAGTGACAGACGCACCCGTGTTGATGTGCAAGATTTCGAAGACAATGGCAAATATCGCTGTAAGCAGAGCCCGCTCCCCTTGACGCACCTTTGACATGACAAAGCAGCTGACACTTGTCTACCCTTTACTCCGGTATTACAGCGGTTGTCAAGATCCAAAGTCTTTGGCGTTACAATGGTACGGAAATCTGGACTATGGGAACCGGTTGGCTGATCCGCGACGACCTCGTCGTCACTGCCGGCCATAACGTTTACAGCGATACCTATGGGGGCCAGGCTCTTCGAATCAAGTGCTGGATCGGCTACCGCGGGAGGGACCTTGCCAACGACCCGAGAGTGCAGCACCGCAACGCGATGAACATTGTGACCACCGAGGCTTGGCGCTCGCAGAGCGCTGATCGCAAGCGCCACGACGTGGCCATGATCCAGGTGGACGCGCCGTTCATGGGCAATCTGAGGCTTTTCAACTATATCAACACGCCGAGCCCGCAGATATCAGGCTCCATCGTCCTCGTCGGGTATTCTGGCGACAAGTCTCCGGAGAGAAACGAAGAAGACATTGGCGGCTGGATGTACGAAGGGCGGTGTCCAGCCAGGTATGATCTTGCCGAGTCCAGCCACATGATTGAGCACAAAGTCGACACATACGGAGGTGAGACTCTGATTTCTTTTTTTTTTTCTTTTTTTCCCAAGAAGAGATCCCTTCATTGGATTCATAGAAACAACGCTGGATGACGGTTTGCCGTGAGCAATGCTAATACGGGCACGCTTTTCAACTCATGTACAGGCCAATCGGGAGCACCCATCCTGCTCAGCGACTACAAGGGCATGGTGGCCATTGGCACTCACTGCTACAACGGATCTAATGGCAGTTTCAGCTCTGGCAACCCCATCGGCGGGCAATACGGCAACAACTACGACGAGTTTGTCAAGCGCTTCAGGCCGAGCACAAAGAAGACGATCCCCCTAGGCGACTTCACGCCAAAAGTAGACCCCCCCAAATCGGATTTCGCTTACTATAAAGGCGGAAACCCCACAGACGACAAGGAAGACGACTTCTACCATACCGAATACCTCGTTCTGCACGTCGGCCTCGAAGAACCATGGGAAGTGGGAACGCTGCGTGGACCTATCGGAACGCTGTGTGGACCTATCGGAACGCTTCTGGGCGTCATTACCGGCGGCATCATCGGAGTCCTTGCTAAATCTGTTGTGCTCAAACAACAGGAAGTGTCGTTTAGCGTTCCCAACCCAGCCATGGTGGATGCCTGCTTTCAGCGCGCGCAGCTCGCCGAGGCCGCCCTCCAGTGCACGTTCCGCGTTTACAATGGGCATGGATACCACTCTTGGATGGCTAGCTTGTGGAATACGCACCATCTCAAAAGCATCACCAACTCAAAGTTCCGGGCCCTAGTTACGCCCATCATCAACGACTTTGGCCTCCGACTCGCCGCTGACCATTGGCAGAAGCGCATGGACCCGAACCCGGCAACCAGGCACGTCAAGGCAGGTAATAATAGCGGCGATGACTTGAAGCTGACCAAGACCGAGGCGTATGACCCGAGCAAGAAAGTCTTTGTCGAAGCCTTCTTTGAAGGGCGCACCCGGCGCGTAGACGGTTACGAAAAAGAGAGCGCCGAGACCCTGGCCAGTTGGCTTTCAATGCTGTTTGATGGGGCCGTCAATTCCGCCCATCCCATTGCAAGCGCTGCCACCGAGACGGCCATTGACCATATCGTTAAATTGATCGGGGGCATTCCGAGGGTCAGGTCGATACCCGCAGACGCGCAGGATGCCGATATAGATATACTATTGAAGCGCGCTGTGATAGCTGACGTTGCTCTGCAGGACCTGGAGGGTGAACCAAAGTGGAACCTCGAGCATATGATATTCCTAGAGTCATTCGGTGGTTTAGAGGGGGGCACCATCATGGACGGTATCAAGGTCGTGATACAGCAGGGGGGGCCGGATCTCGTTGATATTGCCCAGAAAGTCGTGGCCAAGCACCTGCCCGGCATCATCAAGCGATTCAAGAACGGAAAAAGGAACCCTCACTACACTGTGAGTGGAGGGTATGACGATGACGATGCGGTGCCGGGGCCGGAAGGAGTAAAGAAGAGCGATGCTGATGGGTATGTTGACGAGAACCCGGATGCGCCACCGATTGAGCGTTTCTCGCCTGCAGAGCGAGATGAGGATACGCCGCCGATTGAGCATTTCTCGCCTGTAGAGCCAAAGTAGGAGTCGCACAGTCGGGTGATAATGGCAGCTACTCTGGTATTTTTCTTTTTGCCATGATAGCTGTGAGGGCGTGGCTTACTGGCTGGGAATTATTCGGTGATGGGTAGTTGGGTACAACAGATTGGACATGATAAGAGCCATTCTCTCTCTATATCGCATCAACTCAGTATTACCAAGCCTTTGAGATTGAAAGTGGCATCAGATCAAGGCCAGTGAAATGAAGGTTGAGACTGATCAAGGGAAGAAGCGCTAAATAAGAAGGGTAGCAGAAATAGGAGTTCACCTGTTGGGACGCAGACGCCCACTCTGTGGCGAATCAAAAAGAGCGAGAGCAACGGAATCACACGGCAGGGCACGAGCTAAAGCAAAAGACCTGATGAATGTGTGTATGAAGGAGAGAAAGAGAAAGAGAGGCTATCTAGAAAGTGTGGCGGCTGATGAGGGGTCCTGGCTGAGTAAGCGAGTCGAGGCGAGGATACCCCTCGTCATCAGCCACCTCCAGAGAGAATCTCTTCTCTTTGCATCATGACATTCATCCAGGTCCTTTACTTTTGTTGATTGCTTGTTTCTTGCCCGGCTCGTGATGCCCTCGCCTCTTTCCTGATTCGGTACACCACTCGGCCTCATAATCAGTAGATTTTTTTTTCTTCTTTCAATCACGCCGCTGGGTCATTCCTATGCCCATTCTAACAAGTTTTCATTTTGACTGCTGATTTCTCCGTGAAGTCACCCGTCTGTCGACTCAACGTACCCGCGTTTCGAGCCGCAGCTGACCGCCATCTCCCTACTGCTCCTGCTTCTCCTCCCCTTCCTTCTTCTCCTCCTCCCCTTCCTTCTTCTCCTCCTCCCCTTCCTTCTTCTCCTCCTCCTCCTTCTCCTGCGCCTCCAAGAACTGCTGAAACTCCTCGGCAGTAATGGACGGCTCGCTGGACTTGCCCTTGCGTCCGTCCTTGCACAGCAGCAGCGCGGGGTCCACGTAGTTCATGTGGTCGCCGATGGAGCACGTGAACCTGGCCACGGGAAACTCCAAGACGTTGCGGGCTCTGCCGCACGTCGGGCCGGCGCACTGCTTCCTGCTGGTGCACTTGGTCGCGGTTGTCTCGTAGCCCTTTGCGGTTCCCAAAAGGCCGTCCTTGTACCAGTACTCGGGGTACGTGTGGGCGTAGAAGCCGAGCTGGAAGAGGGAGCCAAAAGGCACAGACGCGACAAAGTCGTTTCCGTTTGTGATGCGCGCCGAGAAGTTGCTGTCGTTGGTGATGAGGTTGGCGAATTCTTGGTTGCCGACGCGCGGCGAGCCGTACGTGTAGAGGTCACAGGCGATGCCTTGCGTGCGCAGGTAGGGCGCGGCAACGGTCGCGACGGCGCCGCCCAGAGAGTGGCCGGTGATGACGACGCGGAAGGACTCTTGGCCGGGCTTGGCGAGCTCGGCCTTGAGGGTCTGCTCCAGCTCGGCTCTGACGCTGGAAAAGGCCCTCATGAAGCCGTTGTGGATGCTGCAGCCGCCGCATTTGGGGAATAAATTGCTGCGAAACAGTTGGTAAACATTCCAAAGCTGATTAGGCCAAGGGGATGGTAGCTCTTAATAGTTACTTACTTGGCCGCGACCAGATTCTTGATCAAGTCTGACGTAACGTCCACATAGGACAGGGGGTTCGTGCCTTTAAAGGCTACGACAATTTGCTTCTTGCTGGGGTTTGTGGCGACATAGCCCGCAATGGTGCCAAATTCAAGATTGGTAAACTCCTTTACCGTGACTGTTCCTTTGAATCCGTCGCAGATGGACCCTCTGTTGTCCGCGCAGACGGCCGTGTTGATGGTCGTATCGTAAAGCCCTGTGCAGTACGCCGCCTGGGCGTACTGTGAGAATAGCTCAAACTCGGCGGGGGAAGCCTTGTCAGGGGTTGCTACGCGAAGAATTAGTCTCTTGTAATTTTTTTTTTCTAATTTTCTTTCTTTTTGCCATGTGATGCTTATGTTCTAGACGGAGAAAAGCCACTTTGCTGCATCTTTCTGGGGTCATCACTGGAGGGTTTCTCACCTTGGCGGACAGACACTGCTGGAGATGCCAGGGCAGAAGTAGCTCCGGTGAGAAGAAAGAAAGCTGTTGGTTGCATATTGAAGTATGTGGGGATTCCCGAAAGTTGAAATTGAGTGAGTGTAGTAGCTTTCTTAATGAGTGAAGCCTGTGCTGATGAAGATCGTGTTCAACAACAGGAGCGATCGTGTTCATTTATATAACAATAATCCCTGAACTTCAAATGGGGCCACAACTAATCGTGGTCTGGTCTGTTCTTTGGCATACGCACGCTCCTCATAGCCGTCAGTGCATAGACGCAGCGGGATCTGACCGCCTGGGCCATACGTTACCATGCACACAATTGCCTGAATAGAGCCCAAACATTTAATAAGCTGTTTGGAATGCGATCAAAATTAAATCCCGAAGTAAGTAGCGATTAAAGTGCAAGGCACGTCTCAACGACAGGAACACCTGTCGAAAGGGCCATGATGGCGAGTCAGCGCCGGCCGAAGCGCTGTATGCGAATGAATAGAGAGGGTCGCCGCCAAGAGACAATGCGCAACGTTACCAACCAAGAGGGCCTTGGTTAAATAGCACCTTGACAATAACTTGACAATACTGTCAATACACCACGAAATCACCATAGCTATCACCATTATGCTTGGGGGGGGGGGCAAGAGGGTAATGTGGTTATCCTTGTGAGTTGTATTCCACGCCCTGCAACCACCGCAATTGCGGAACTGCCGAGCCAATCGCGGCTCTGCATCAAGAACTGCGCACGTGTAGCGACAACACCGTTCGTCTTTACGCTCGGCGTTGAGGAGGGTCTAAGAATCACGCGACTGACAAACGAGGCCGGCCCGGGACCAGGGTAGTAGACCGGATGTTGTAGCCAATAGATGAGGCCCTGGTCGACCAGAACGGCTTGCGGGGTGGTGGCTGGCGCGAGCTTATGATCAGGTCGGGCAGTCTCACGACTAATACTTGTGAATAGAACAATGACTATTAAAACTCGATAAACATGAAAAGTACTTAATAATTTATTATTATATACATTACTCCGACTATCTTATAAGAGCCTTTAGTCCTTTTATAGTATATAGACTACTAGATATAGGGAAAACCCTAGAATCCCAAGTAAAAACCACGAGACCCCTACCTCTCTTAGCGTCTCTATAGTGTATGGTCTATAGTGTGTGTCAGTATCCTTCTATCTTAGAGAAGTACTAAAAACGCCACTATAGGTGAAAGTCCTCTCATAAACTAAACACTACCGTGGTGTAATAGATCAAGTAATATTTTCTTATCGTTAATCTTATTACTGTTAATATGGTAGATGACGCCCTTACTCACGTAAGGAGGACTGCGCTACCGTAACGTGGTAGAGACCCTGGCTGGAGTTAAACAAACCGCTGTCTCGTAAGGTGCTGGGTCCCACGATAAGGCTGCCTGCGACGGTAACCACTCCGCACCAGGGCTACATATTATTGAGCCTTTTTGTACGCGACCTGTCCCGCAGTTGAGGCTCTACCGATTTCCTTGTGACAATGACAGGGGCACCACGTGAAGCTACACGTGGAGTGGGTACGGGCTCGCGTAACTGATGTATACGTGTTATCAATCGCTAAATTGAAAAGTCAAGATACCGTGTTAATATCATCCGTCGGGGTTATCATCATCTAAAGAGGTCTTTGTTTTTTCCGCGTCTTGTCATCACCATTACATCGTCACTTCTTTTTTTCCAACTCGTAAGACACCTCAACGTCCTCTATTCAATTACTTAAAGTTTTCCCGCTACGGCCACTGACTAGCCTATGACCTACTAAATACATCGTCATTTCTCGCGTCTTGACTTTGTGATTGCAACATCATCCCGCCCCCCCACGTGCGCCCCTCTTCCCTGCTCATAACAGACGGGGAAAAGCAATCTAAACTTGTCAACCTTCCCTTTTCACGACTCAATAAAGTAGACTCCATCGACCTGAAGCTTTTTGACAGCAGAAAAAAAAAAATCCTGCGCTGCCGTCAAGCCCCCAACGACTTGATTGTAGCATCTGGATCGGATAAACCGCGCTCAAGCACCGCCTGCCAATACTGAATCACATTCTCCATTGTCCCAGACTCGTACAAATCTGTAGAAAAGATGGTTTCGACACGTAAGAACCCCGACTCCTGGTAAATGTGCAATTGAAGGTCAAAGACCGCCGCCACGGTTGGCACAATCGCCTCTGTCTCGACTCGCTCCAGCTCAAACTTTTCAAAAGCCAGCTGGGAATGGTCCACCATGATGATTTGAAACAGTGGATGTCGAGACAAATCTCGCTGAATGCCCAGCTTGGAGACAATCAGCTCAAAGGGAGTATCCTGCCTGTGAAAAGCAGCCAGCATTGTCGCCTGCACTTGCCGAACAAAGGCCTCAAAGGTTTCTTGGTCAATTTTGCTTCGGATGCACTGCATATTGACCAAGAGCCCAACCACATCCTTGTCCTGCCAGCGACCGCGATTCGCATTCGGTATGCCAATGGTTGCGTCGGCGACGCCCGTGAGGAAGAAATGGGTCGCCCTAAACGCAGCGAGCAGCACGACAAATGGCGTCACCTCGAGCTTTTTGGAAACTTGCTGCAAGAGGTCGTACAAGCGTCCCTGGATGCGCACGTTTTGCGTCTTGACCTGGCCCGACAGAGCGCCCGGTCGCGCCTTGTCGCAGGGCAGCTCCGCTGGCTGACTGGACTTTAGCTCATTGGCCCAGTAGTCGAGCTCAGGCTGATCATGACGGGAGTATTGTTGTCTCTGCCAGACGGAATAGTCGCGATACTGGACGGGCAAGGGATCAACCGTAGAGAGAGGGTCGTGGCCGCGGTTCGCAGCAGCATAGAACAGTGCAAGCTCCTTCCAGAGAATGTCCATGGACCAGCCATCACAGATTATGTGATGAAGAACGATGGAGAGAACAAAATCGTCCTTGCCAAGCTGATAGATGTGTACTCTCCATCCTGGTTCCGTTTGCAACTCGAATGGCGTCAGCTGATCTTTCTGGAGTGCGTCAGCAAGGACGTCGGCTCCATCGAGCACAATAGGCACGAGCTTCTGTGTATCTTCTGCAAACTCCAAGACTCTCTGCAGATTGACTCCATCTTTTGACAGAAAAGTGGTTCGGAGCGACTCGTGGCGGCGTTCCAGAGCAAGGAGAGCCGTCTGAAGTGATGGCAGCTGCAGCGGCCCACGGAGCCGCCACGCACAAGGAATGTTGTCCCATGTCAAAGTCGAATCATGCTGATGTACAAGCCACAAGCCTTCCTGAGCAAAGGACTGCGCCACTACATTAGAGCCATGAGTTTGCCGGATAGAGTTGGTGTCGCCATTTACGCAGTTGCTCGTGTGGCGGGCAAGGTCTCGCAATCGAGGGTGACGAAAAATGTCCACTACTCTGACCTGCAGGCCGAGCTGCAGGGCTTTGCTGACGACTTTCATAGCTTCAATCGAGTTTCCCCCGAGTTTGAGGAAATTATCGTCGAGTGTGATTGTGTGGGAAGGAATGTCGAGCACGCTCGCCCATACTTTTTGCATCTGGCGCTCTGTTTCTGACATGGGTTGCGAATTTGGCTCTCGTGTAGCTGCATATTCTTTGATTCCATGCTCTGCTTCCACTGGAGAGTCTGTGGTCGTAATAGCGTATTGTGAAAGATTGTGTGGGATAGTTGTCTTGATGTCCGACAATAACTGACGCGGAGTCGCATCGTCAAGTTGATTGAGCACATGATGAAACAGCTCCAGCAACTTTTGTACTGCGTTTGGCTCCATGACCTTTGAGTCGAATGAAGTCAATACTCTGAGCTGATTCGGGGCCACGAAAATTTCAAGGGTCAGAGCACAAGTGTCGGCCCCTTCGTCCAGACTATCTCCCTGACATTTGCCAATCAGCGCCTCTTCAAGCGGAATGCCCTCTTCATGCTGTATGATGAGCTGAGTTTGAAAAAGACTGGCCATTTGCGCGGCGGGAGAGACCTTGGCAATGTTTTGCAGGCCGGTCTGCTCAAAGGCCATCATTTCAATTGCTTGTCGCTGCAAGTGTCCGAGGTAGTCCGAGACTGGCTGGTCGTATGCCAGCTGCACGCGCACTGGGACAGTCGCAAAAGTTGGGGCTATCAAGCTCTCTAGGCCAGCAACTGGTGCGCTTCGCCCGTATACAGTGACACCAAACGCGACATCAGTCGAGTTTGTCAATCGCCCGACAGCAAAAGCCCATGCTGCGCGAATGAGTGTCGATGATGTAACACTCAGACTTTTGTTCTGGAGACGAGGGACGATATACTCGACCGTGCTATTTGGCTCAGGCTGTTGGACGTGCGGCGGCAAAGGAGGAAATGCCGTACTGGCATAGTGATTGAGGGCCTGCCGCCAGTATTCCGATGCTGTCGTATTGGATTGGTCCTTGACGTATCTGAGAAATGTCTGCATCCCAGGGCCACAGTCAATAGATAGCCCCTCGTATGCGCGACTGAGCGCGTCTGCGACGAGTTTCAGTGACCAGCCGTCATAGAGGACATGATGTGCCGTCCATACAAGCCACTTGAAAGTAGCTGATCCGTCTGTGATGAGCGCGTATCGTGTCAGAGGATGACCGAGTTCCATCAGCTCTTCTGAATCAGTTTCGAGGTAGTCTTTCAAGCTGCACGAGGTTTTCCAATCCATATTTTCATCTACAACCACCTGCAGCATGCCTAACTCATGGTGCTGGACGATTCGGGTGCGAAGAATTGGTATCCTACGCACCACTTCCTCCCATGCTGCTTTCAGCTTCTCTAGCGAGACGCTTGCATTTATTTGCAAGACTCCCTGTCTCATGTAGCTTCGAGGACGCTTTAAAGATAAAGACATGATGCCTTCTTGAAGTGGTGTGCATGGATATGCGTCTTGGACCAAGACGGGGTCCAAGTTGCACAATCCAGAAATGTCTTTGACAATGGTCTCTGCATCGCCGCCATCTATGAGTGCAAACGGTCCGATTTCAACTTTTTGCTGAGAATCCCGTTGGTCCACGACCTTTTCGGCCAGTTCATGCAAGATTGGGTGGCCAAGGATATCCGCGACAGTCAGCTCAATACCAACTTTTCGACCTTCTGCCACAACCTGCATCGCATCAATCGAATTCCCGCCTAGATGCAAAAAGTTGTCATTGACCCCAATTCCATCAAGATCGACACCAAGTACATTGGCCCATAGTTGCGCAACCTGTTTCTCTGTATTGGAGGGCGCTCGTGTCGATTGTTCCTTGAGCTGCTCCATTTCCTGTCTATTGGCAAGACTTTTGCGATCAATCTTTCCATTCATCGTAATGGGAAACTCTTTCAGAATTGTAATGCCTTCGGGCATCATAAATGGAGGGAGATTTTGTTCCAAAGTCTTTTGAATCTCGTCTTGCACCATCGTCCCTGCATCTTGAGAGAGTGTCCCTTTCTCGGTTTCAGGGTTTGGGTCACGCACAGTGACAAAGGCAACCATCCGGGCGCCCTGATTATTATGTTGAACAACAACGACGGCTTCGTCAACAGACTCGCATGCGCGCAGTGCATGCTCAACCTCGCCGAGTTCAATCCGCTGTCCTCGAATTTTCACTTGTGAATCTTTGCGCCCAATAAAAGTCAGGCTTCCGTCCTTGTCGAGTCGGACCAAGTCTCCCGTCTTGTAAAGCCGACCACGTCTTCCTGGATGCCGGGGACTGCCCTCGAGCAGCCAAAGCGGGCTCTCAATGAATGCTGCTGCTGTCTTCTCCGGGTCGTCCAAATAGCCCTGTCCAACAATGGGACCCTCGAGAAGCAGCTCTCCAACGCAGCCCGGTGTGAGCAAAACATGGTGGTCATCAGCATCGACAACCCAAGTCAGCAATCCGAGGCCCTTTCCCAAGTGCGTAGCATCCTCGATACTCTTGGGACTGGCATTGATTGTACAATTCGGTGTGCACTCGCATGGTCCATAGAGATTGATAATGTTGACCCTCCCCCACCAACGTGCCACGTCTTTGGGGTGCAGCGTTTCTCCGCCAAAGACAATCGTGTCTATACTAGGGACCTGCTCGGGAGATAGCAGTCGGGCAACAGATGTAGTGAGATCGATGGCGTTTGCCTTGAGAGACGCGATGCTTTCCACCAAGCTGTCTCGCCTCTGTTGTTCGCTGGGGACGCAAACACAGCCTCCCGCAGCGAGGGTCGAGAATACATTGCAGATTGAAACGTCAAATGTATATGAGCAAAAGTCGTAAACTCTAGAGCTCGATGTGCGACGTAAGCTGTCCTGTTGGTAGTGAAGAGCAGATGCGAGGTTTCGATGGGTTATGACGGCGCCTTTTGGCACACCCGTACTACCCGACGTAAAGGCAATGTACATGATATCTGACGGACTGGATGAGCTTGTTGGAGAGCCGGGTTGATTGTACAAGGATTGACTGGCATCTGTATCAAGCGTGACCACATGGGGTGCCAGTCGAGAGCTCAGTTGCCTCTCCATGTCGCCCGACACAATGACACTCGCCTTGACTTGCTTTGACAGGGCTAGCAGACGACCTTCTGGAAGCGACGGGTCAAACAACACAAACGCAGCGCCAGTCTTGAGCACTCCGAGCATCGCGACGGTTACCCACATGGATTTCTCGAAGCACAGAGGCACCACTGTACCACGACAGACACCAAGCCCGGCAAGCTGGCCAGACAGACCCGTAGCTAGGCGGTCAAGTTGGCCGTATGATAGCTCTCCATCCCAGGCACAGACAGCCAGTGCAGCGGGCTGAGATGTCGCGCACTCCTGGATAAGATGATGCACGCAACGCTCAACTGGCGTTGGGACCGCCCGATTCCAATCCCAGATGTGTTCAAAATCCTCGGGTGTCGCAATCATTATTGTAGAGATATTTTTTAGAGGACTCAAGGCCTGAATTTGATGAATAGTAAACGCCAGCTGTCGACACAAGTGTTTCATGATCCATTCAGAGGTTGTTTTGGAGTCGAAAGAAGCCGTAATGTTAGTACGGTCAGTACCAAAGTGGATTGTAAGTACTAGAGCGATATTCTCGCTCCATGTCGGCAACTTCTCGTCGAGATCCTGACAAAAGGAACCCTCTATCAAAGTATTCTTTTCGGGTTGAACACTGATTAGCGTCGAGGGGCCAAGCATGCTTCCGACGTCGCTTCCCGACTTGTTCAAGCCATCCACAACGGCAGACGCGGCTTTGTTTTGCTGATCCTGCACATGGACGAGATAGTCTTGAACAGTCTGGTGGCTATCTGTGTTGATACGGATGTGCTTGGCAAGCACATTTGCATCCGCGTCACCTGCTGGCCTTGTTGCCTGATGTCGCAAATCCGCCACGCCAAACACAACACGGTTCGACATTGTCATGCGGCTCACGACCAAGGCCCAAGCCGCATACAAGGTAGTCGACTCTGTCTGCCCCATGGTCCGATTTTTGACTGGTGGACACTGCTGCTCCAGCACCGCGTTTCGCGTTGGCGGCTTTCCGAGCAAAGGTAGGATAGGAAACGATACATAATCCACATCCTCGTGTTCATCTGAAGGAGCTGGCGCTCGGCTAGAGTGATTCGCTTCTTGCGTGTTATTCACATTATTACCATTGATTAAAGGCTCTGCCTCATCCTGGCTCGTGCCCCTCGAATATGGTGCGGCAATTAGCCCAAGCATCGCTAGACTGTCACGGGCAATGCTGCTGTTTTGGTAGAACGTCATTGTGCTGATATGTACGGCTTGGTAATGTATTCTTGCTCCTTTTTCGTGGCCAGATGTTGGTTCGAGGAGGTTTAGAGCAGTCTTTCAATTGAGGCAGCAAAATACGAGCATAAAGCGTTATGCTGCCTAAGCGTTATGCATTGAGAGTTGTATCTATTACTACCCAGCCTGGAACAGTCATTCGGCATATACCCGTTGCGGTCAACACCTCGGCATATCGTAATAGTCATTTATCAGGTCTTACTTTCCATCATCACGTCTGATACCTGCATATGTCGTGGACAAGACTGTCCGCCGCTTGTGTATCCACACCACCACCATTACCACGCCTATATGATGATGTCAAGCATGCAAGCTCAATAGAATATCAATAGACCGGTAGCCTTGCATCTCAATGACTTCATAGTCTTGATTGATTGTGTAATTTAGATCCTTCCATGGAAGAATAACGCCAGAAAGAAGGGCGGTGGGCTTGTCCACCACGTGCTGCCTCGCCGGGATCGCCATGTCTCGGAAAGTACTGTTGAGCCAAGTTGAGTTTGAGCGTGCGAGCACAAATTTTCCCGAATGGGACATGTCCGAACACGAAAGATGTCTTTCTTTTCTTTTTCTTTTTTTTTTAAAAAATAAAATAAAAAATTCATGGGGTCTACATCTTGTTGGATAGTATATCAAGTCCTGTTGATGAATCCCCCGACAGATTCACCACCTGCCTTATCACGTATCCTATCAAAGAATATATTGGCAATTTTTCTGAGACTTTACAGAGATATAGCTGCAGAAAAGAGAGGCCAAAACATGCTGAAAGTTTCCATCAAGGATGTTATCTCTTACTCGGCCGGCCAAGGGCTGCTGCCATTGGGGGCTTCGGCCGTTTTGGCCGTGGCCATGCTCTTTGCCAGCAGTCTTCTTATCAAGATGCGTTATGCGCGACTGCGCAACATACCGGGCCCAGCGCTATCAAAGATTACGGACTGGCATTTGAGTCTACATGACTTGTCATATGACCGGAATAATGCAATCTTTGACTGGCACCGGCAGTATGGCCCTATCGTCTGCATTGCGCCCAATGAAGTGTCCGTCGCCACGCTGGAAGCTACAAAGGTGATATACGGAACAAGCCACCGATGGGCAAAGAGCGACTACTTTGACTTGTTCATGGGATACAATATGAGATCCGTCTTTGCAACCAAACCGTACGAAGCGCATCGCACAAAGAGAAAGCTCATTTCGGCCTTTTATCAAGCGTCCAACATTTACACAAACCCCAATATCGAAGCCCACGTCCAAGAACGGTGCCGCACTTTTTTGAAGCAAATTCAGCATGGCCAGGCCGTGGATGTATATGCTCTGACTGACCGTTTGGCTTTGACATTATCACAAATCTCGTCTTTGGACCTGATCATGGCTCAACTTCCATTGAGCACGACTGCCAAGAGCGGGACATTCTTCTGGAGCTGAAGCAGCTGCAGTTTTTCAATCTTCTCCGCTCCCGCTTTCCAGTCTTACTTCGATTCGTGCCAGCGCTGCTGAGGCAGTTGAGTTCAAATTTTGGTTACCTATCCGCCGAAGACAAGCTGGCGGCCTGGTGCCAGGCACGCATCTCAACAACCATCAAGGACTCGGGGGCGTCCAAGGCGCACGGCTTGCTGCAGATTCTGCGCGAAAGCCACACCACGGAGCATGGCGTTGAGAAGCCGCTCGATAGGCTCTACATTTCTGCAGAGATTCTCGACAATATCAATGCCGCAGAGGCCACGACGGCGGTCACTGCCACGTACCTCATCTGGAGGCTAACCCAGAACCCATTTTGGCAGGGCAAGATACGACAGGAGCTGGCTACCCTACCCAAACAGGAAGACGGCTCTATATCCTTTGCCGACGTCAATGCGGGAGCTCCGTCTCTGGAAGCCTGCTTGAAAGAAGTCTACCGACTCCACCCGGCCTCGAGCGGTCGAGCCGAGCGGGTCGTGCCTCGAGGAGGCTGTGAGTTATCAGGCGTCTACCTCCCAGAAGGCACCGTCGTCTCGACTTCCGTCGTGGCCTTGCACCGAGACCAAGTCATTTTCCCGGATGCCGACGCCTTTTTGCCGCAAAGATGGCTCGGCGCGGACAAGAAGACGCTGCAGATTCGCGAAGCGCAGCTGATTCCGTTTGGGTACGGGGGCAGGATCTGCTTGGGGAAAGCGCTCGCCACCATGGAGATTAAGCTACTCGTCGCGGCTCTGTATCTCACGTATCAGACTGAACCGAGTGATGTAACTAGCCAGGCATCCATGAGACAGTGCAGTACGCATGATGCAGTTCCTCGCGGGATTGCATGTCTGGTTCGATGCCGCGCAATCGCACAAGATTGAGTAAAAATGGCAATAAAATCACAGGGGGCGGGTTCATTTGCATCAATGTTTTCTTCTTTTTTTTTCTTTTTTTGCCTTTTCTTTTTCTCTTTAGGAACCAAGGTTGTTTGGGTACAGTGTCATCCTCCACATTTCAATGCACATCTCGATAGGAGGCCGCGCCAATATTACACTATTGGGGAGCTAGAAACTCCACGCCAATATTACAGTATTGGGAAGCTACAAACTGATTGACGTCTGCAAAACTCTGCACTCAGTACTGATCGTCCAAGAGAATCAGCATGCTGTAAAATTGCGCAATATGTAGCCTTGATGCCGCAGCCTTGATGCCGCATCAACCCCAGTCTTCGGCAATAAGCGGCAGAAAAGTAAGCAAAGTCAATCTTGGTTCGGTCGGAAGCACTTGTATCACATATCGGCTCTCGATTCCGAGACATGGGTGCCCCCTCCTGTCAGCACAAGGTCAGCCACCCGCTCGCGGGGTAAACCTATCCCTGTTGTTCTCGAAGAAAGTGGCCTGAAAGAGAAGGGCCGAGTGTGGCTGTCCGGCTTTAATTCTTCCACTCCATTTTGGCCGTCCAAGGAAAACTATTGCTTCTAGAATTTGATATTCAATATTGCGGCCTGTAGGTGCGTCGCTCATTGCCACATTATTAGTCAAGTATAAAACGCCCCAGGACCCAGTTGATGTTACGTGTCATACATATGCTATGCAATGGTTGGTGGCTAGCCCACCGTTCTGGCAACTCACAAGGCCTTTAAAGACATTTCTCATGAAAGTGTTTTGATTTGACGGTGAGAGGGTTCAGAAATAGTTGATTCAATCTCCTGTACAGTATGCTGTCATGCCCAATGTTACTGCCACGGTTACTTAAAATCCAACCCAACGCAGCCAAGGTGCTTTTATTCCCACACTGTTTCTAAATCTAGCCACGAATTGCTTCCGATAGCAGCCCTAGGCCAGTGTCTAAATGGTCCCAGGTCGGCCACCCATAGCCCAGTCTGAAATATGTGTCTTGGCCGCCAAACCACGACCCGCGCCCGACGTAGGTGCCGTACTTTGCCAAGAGCCTGCTGTAGAATGCCTCGACCCCGCCGTACGGCTCCTTCTTGAACTTGATGAAGCACATGGCTCCGGCGTCGGGTCTTATCCACTCCACCCACTCGCTCTCCTCGGCCACCCACGCCGCAACGCGATCGCGTCGACGCTGCAAGTCAGCAATGGTTGCCGAGAGAAGCTCGCTGCGACGGCATAGAATCTGCTCGGCGACGAGTTCGTCGAGAACGCTGCCGCTTATGCTGATTTGCTCCTTTGCAGCAAGAAATGTCTCATGGAGCGCTGGGTTCGTGGTTGAGAGCCAGCCCATGCGTATGCCAGGAACGCCGTACGCCTTGGACATGGACGAAACTGTAATGACATTGTTTCTCAGATAGCCACTGCCTGAATTGACTGCTTCATGCTCGCCTCTGTCTGAAGTAGATGAGTATTTCAGGTGTGCATATGTTTCGTCAATCAGCAGATATGCGCCCGCCTCCTGAGCAAGGTCCGCGAGCTTGCGAAGCTCGGCATCTGTGCACATGGTTCCGGTAGGATTATTTGGGGAGCAGATGCTGATAACTTTGGTGATTCCAGGTCGAATGGCAGCAGCAATTTTATCCAAATCCAGAGAGAATTGCGACTCATACTCCAGATCGACAAAGGTAATGTCGCATCCAATGGAGCGAGGTATCTCGAGACTACTGGTGTAATTTGGCCGAGTGACAATGAGATGAGAGTCCGCGCCAAGTAGAGCAGTCAAAATGATGAAAAGCGATGTCGAGGCACCTGCGGTGATGAGGACATCGTCTGGAGTGAGAGATCCATTAGATGCCTCGGTGATGATGGACCGAAGTTTGGGGCTTCCTTTGTGCTCAGTGTACGTGAGAATGGTACTCTGCGGGATGCTGATTTGCAAAGACTCCAAGGTCTGGTCTGAAATGGCGCTCTCGGACAAATTGTACTTGATTGAGACGCCGACTTCTTCGGGCGCTTCCTTCTCAATGGCCATGCGCTGATAATTCATCTTGATGCACTTTTCAAGGCGTATGATCTGGGCCGAAGGAGAAATGTACTGTGGTCTTTGGCTTCCGGTATTCCAGCGATGATGAAGAATCATGGTTGGGCCTCCGCTTACGGCCCAAGAGGTAGGCGAGAGAGTGCAAATACACTATCCCACACTGTACATACTCGGCACATAGTAGAGCGGTAGAGTTGATCCTCCGATGACCGCCTCGCGGCTTATTCATTAGTAAAACCGCATCATAGTACCAATGTCTATCCAGATTCGGCGTTTTGCCAAAGCGACACGACATTTCCCCAGTTGCTGCTGGTGTCCCCGCCAGATCGGCACATCGACCCCAGCCTTGTGCAGTATACGGGTTATGTTGCACCTGGCTTCTGAGATGCATAGCCAAAATAGCGTTAGGTGAGACAATCTCTCAACATCTGTCTCGCCGAGATGACACGAGGTTCACCAACTTCGATGAGTCGGTCTATATTGCGGAGTACTGCCACGCCATACGGAGACCGGGTCGTCACACTCGAGCTCAAGCAAGACATAGTGCTACAGGCCAAATTAGGGTGTGAGAATCTGTGGTAAGAAAAACTAAAATAATTACTTGCTGATGTAGCATTCGTTTTAAGTCTACCGCGAGATTGTCGTCTCGTAAATAGAATGTCGTATAATAATTTCAAGGTGTGTTCAAAACTCTCTCGTGGCTGCCGCTTGCACGGCGATGCATCTTCCTTCATTATCCTGACACGTAGCACATGAGACTGAGACTCGGCCGTGAGACTGGGACTCAGTGTAGAATCCTTGCATTGATACCCTATAACTATAGCTAATAATGACTCGTGTCAACATACGACGCTTAACGTACCCGTGGAAGCGTGAGAAAATGTTGCAGAATCCTTTGCGGCCGTCAATCCTCCTATTTTGTCAGTATGTCTAGTCAACGTGCGCATTCCCACTGAGGTCTATTCGACGGCGAGAGACGATTCTCAGGCTCTGTGGGTGCAGTGAGGATTTGCTCACTTCACCAACGAGGAAATTGCGGCGTGATGAACTATCCGAATGCATAATTACCACTCAAATAAAGTCTATTCGTAGAAAAGAAGTCGGCTGGCTGAAAATCGAGTTGCGTGAGGCTGACAAAAGTGCAAGCTCGGATCAGGTCGTCCGCGCAGGCTCATTCTGCATCATGTCATTCGCAAAGCTGCACTGTTTTGTATATTGCGAAATGAACAAGAGGCCTGAGCATCTGCTTTTGCTCTTAAAGTCTACTGCGCCTGTTTGATGAGCCTCAGATTTGTCAAGTGTTCGCCTTGATCGCGATACAGTCGGAGCCTTTCAACCACTACAGCTTGCCACCAGGATTATCCTTACGAGCATCGTACCAGTGATTTTACTGCAAGACAAGGTATTCTTCCTTGCAAAGAGCACAGAGTATGCCCAGAAATGCGACGCATGCCAATTACAACCACATATGCTGGTTATTACTGGCCGATTTTTGGCACGTCAGTCGTAACTACTTCTTGATTCATCACAATCATGTTCAGGAGCTAATAGAGTGAGCAGCATAATTTGTTCTATAGATTTCGTCAATTTCACGTGCAATGGTACACTATCCTAGGACAGGCATGGGTACATGGTGACCGTAGTCAATGTTGGCATCGTCAGCCTCCAGTCTATCCGTGCAACTGCCAAACAGTCGATCCCAGACCCGCGTCTGCTTGCCATAGTTGAAGCTCTTCTTCCATCCTCTGCGATGGTGCAAATCGTGATCCTCGAGAGCGAGTTCCATACTCATCAGCCCGAGGATGCCAGAAACAGGCGACGGAACAATGCCATGAACGCGCAGGCCACAATGGCCCCAGACCTCGGCCCATGTGAGGTACTCAAAGCACATCCACCACTCATAGAACCCGAGGCGCAATCCAAGAGACCAAAAGGTCAAATACGTGAGGAACGGGACGATGAAGATTTCAATAATCTCCTGCTCATCGTCCGCGAAGCCAGAGTGTACGGCAGTCGGATGTTTCGCAAGATGGTGAGTTCGATGATACTTCCAAAGGCCAGGCAGTTCGTGGCAGGCGCGGTGATACGCGTAGAAGAAAAAATCGAGAATAATGCCATACAGGCTGAGCTTGAGCAAGAACGGCGCGTAAGCGCTCGTATCTTGAATCGCCGCCAGAGGTGGAACCTCGGGGTTATAGGTCAGAAAGACAGCCATGACCATGCGGAATCCAGTCGTCTTTTCCAGCTCGCCAAGGATTTTCCATGTTCCGGTGTTGGGGATACCGTCGCGGGGCACCTCGCCGTCGAGCACGCCGTGTTTGTAGATGAGCCCCCGCAAAAGGTTGACTTCCCGTATGGCGATGAGTTTGTACGACGTGTAGTAGAAGATTATGGCGGCGATTTTGCCCATGGGCCAACCGGTCAGCGAGACCCAGGCCTGGTGGATGAGGAGCGGCAGAGCGGCGTGGATGAGAATATAACGATGTTGTGACCAAGCAGGCATGAATGGTATCTTGTCCGTCTTTTCAAACTTGGGCGGCGCTTGGTCCGGGAGGATGGGATACAGATTGAAACGGTCGACGAGACGCTGGGCGCTGTTCCATGTCTTTGGATCGGCCTTGGGCCAGTCCGAGACCATGGAGTGTTGGTTGTGTTCCTGAGCTCTTCCCATGTTGACCGATCAGTATTTTCGCTGGGATTAAATTCGGCTTGGACGCTGGAACAGGGTCAAGATTTGGTGATTGTCGTTGGATACATGTTGTTATAATAAGCCCCTCCGTTGCCACACTACGCTTGCTAGCCGAGGGCGGCCCAACATGTTGCCCCGACGTTGCGCTCGGACGGCGTGATGACTAGACATGACCGCAATGTGGGCTAAACCCCCCCGGATGCTGCGTAGTAAGGCGATCTGACGACTTTAAACGTAGCGCGAACCAGCTTTTGGTTTCAAAAGCCATCTTTTCAGCATGTGAATCCACGGACTCGGCCCTGCAAGAATTTTTCCGTACCCCTCTTGCTGATGCACATGGTCGTTGCGGGGTAAACTCTAAATTGAAACGGGGTAGTAGCGCGGATAGGCCGGGAATGAGTCCATAACCGCACTGTAGCAGCATAGTAGTCGTAGGGGAGAGTTCCGGCAAGGCCGATTTCCCGTCAAAGCTCCGGAAGAGGGGGTCGCGATGCAAGCAAGAAACAACTCCGACTCGAGCTGCCTTGATGAGACCAGCAATAGATCGCGGCGTAGGCAGATGGCTAGTTGGGCTGCCTTGACCATCACTTGGAGGCCGGGCTCGTCTGAGGCGTGGAGCAGTTGCGTTTGTTGCCTTTTCACAACGTGACTGCAAGCCGAGTAGTTGGCTTTGCTGACATAATCTCAGAATCTTGCCAATTCGAACAAGCCAGTCCTCGCAACACTTCCGGTGACCCCGATCAATGTCTACAAAGTTTACATGCGCAACCGACGACGACGAGTTGACAGCCGCTGCTCGCTTGGCCGCGCGCTTGATAGCCCACACCGTGTACGATGCAGTCACTAGATCCGTGTGGATAGCCTGCATATCATTGGCAAGCATTGGATACGGCTCTGCTTTCCGATGATCGCCAGGGGGAATGCACAGAAATGACTCTGAATTCTCTGAGCAGGCAAACCATCGGTGTCAAATTCTGCGTGTTGTTTGAGTCAATAAATTGGTGTGAATCAGGGGCCAGCGTAGACGTTGCGCCACTGCCAGCTGAGACGCGGCTATGGCCCTATCGAGGTACCGATGAGCAGCGACGGAGGCACCTTCTCGAAAAAATCTCAACACATCATGTTGCTACCCGAACGGGGCAATCTCGGAAGAGCGCCTGACTGCCACATCAAAATCAGGTGGCACATCCTGTCTCAACGTAAGCAGACTGACAAGACATATTTCATGAGCCTCAACTGAAGAAAAAAACACAGGTCGTCACCCTCCCTGATTTTGGTGTTCTCGGATCAAGGGTTCTGTGTTGCACAATGGAGCATCCAAAATTCGGTGCTGATGGAGACGGTCTCCTCGTTATTCATGTGGCTCTTTACCGCATGGCCACGAGATCCTTTGCCGAAGCCTACAGGATACTCGGCTACAAGACACACCACGGCACTGAAGACCTCCTAGGCAATCCGTGGGTCGGCATTGAGCAGGCCGTGGAAGCTACATGGCCTGATGTCCCTCACGCGCGACCACGGCCGCGTTTTACCCGCCAAGACTGGGACGCCCTATGAGGGGACGAATACGACATCGTGACGGACTTGGCCTGCCCTTTTGCCGACCAGCTCATTGCGGCGTATCCCAAGGCGAAAATCGTCGTGGTGCAGAGAGACTTTGAGAGTTGGTGGGCCAGCTATCAGGCCGGCGTGCTGGATCACATATTTCCGCGTCGACAGTGGCTCACGGTGTGGCTCATTCGCAACGTGCTGCGGTCGCGCGCGGCCGATGCCATGATCAAGGTCAACTACGGCCTCTTTAATGCGACAAACATGGCCGGCATCAAGGACAATGCGCGCAAGACCTATGACGAGTATTATCGCAACATTCGAGAGAGGATACCGGCGGAGCGGCGGCTAGAATACACAATGGGCGATGGATGGGAGCCGCTGTGTGCGTTTTTGGGCGAGAAAGTGCCAGATGTACCCTTTCCACGTCTGAATGACAGCGCGTACCGTAAGCGGAGTCAACAGGCTGGCGAGATGGTGGTTTTTCTGACATCGGCGAAGAGGTTGGCATGGCTCGCTCTGGCGATAGGTGCGGTTAGTATGGCGTTTTGGCATATGAGCATCTGATTGACCATTGATGGCTTCTGCATGATTGTCGTGACCTTGATTTCAACAATTGATGCGACCCTTATCGGGTGAGCGGGATTCAAGCGCACAAGAGTGTATACATATTTGTACAGACTTTGCCGAATCGCTGGCCGGCGGCGTGCATGGAGCCACGGTCCTAACAAACGAGTAGTGACTGTTGAAACAATGGCTGAAACATGGTATAATACGTGGCACTTTGTAACATTGGGCAAGGCCAGTATCGAAGCCAGCAACGCGCGACGGGCAGAAGGTATTCAGGTGAGCAGTTGCTATCGCGGAAAACTAACCCGTCAATAATTGTTAACCTTAAAAAAAAAGACTGGCGCTAATCAGAATGGCGTTTGACTTCCGGCAGGGGTAGGAGTCCGCGCAAGTCTGACATAATAAATATTTACCTAGTAATTGCGGTTCAGGCCACTGCGTCAGGGGCGTCAGGGGAGGGTCGGTTAACGAAAGAAGACTGATGGCTGTATCGAAGAGAAAAAGGAATGGAACACTTGCTGTCACGTCGTTTCAAGGCTCAAAGACATGTCGAATAATTGATGCCATAATTTGATGTGACTGGATGGGTGTCTCGAGTGGAGGGAGGATTGCAACAGGTGAGACTAGCGTGGCAATCTAAATGCTTTCCATGAATAATGACGTTGAAACGATAAGATGAGCATGACGGTGCAGTGTTTGGACAAGAGTCAGTATGATGGTGTCTACTGGTATGAATTCGGTGAGGATGTTCGCAAGCAAGTTTTGGATATATGTGCAAAGAAACGGGTATGGAATCGGCAATTGGCTCCAGGTAGGTACCGAGTATCATTGCAAAATCCCGAGAGTACGTATAGATGGACAAAAAAGTGATGGGTTGCGATCTGGGATTTCTTCTCTCAAGGTGCTTGGATCTTATTACTAGCATCTTCAGAAAATAGGAAAATAAAAGGTCAGACAGGGGCAAAAGGGAGCTAATGCTGGCGTCGTCGAGTGATTACCTAGTTGAGTCAAGGCTGATGGATGAAAGCGGAGCATGCCGGCTGAGAGCTGAGAGGAGGAAAGTACTGATATGGGCAATAATATGCTGTACAAAGTCGGGATGCGGGGTGCATGGGGAGAGTCAATATCGAAAAGGGGGCATCCGAGATGAGTGCGGCCTGACAGACAGGAGAAGATGGTGGTAAAAGAAAGAAAAATTAAGGCAGGAGAGACAAAGAGACTATGTTGTGCAGAAAGTAAGCCCTATGATGATGAGGCTGAATGGGAGTGTATGAGTGACAATGGAGTGCTAGTACTTGTTAGTGATGGCACTGATGGATGGCACCATCGTACTTCGTATGGCAATTTATGGGGTCGGTGTTTTGGAAGAGGACGGTTGGACGGGCAAAGGACTCTGCCGAAAGTTTCAAGGTCCTTTTGTTGGATTGGTGGTGACTGACTTGTGTGTTAAAAAACTTGGTGACGCAAACAGTGTCTCCACAGGGATGACCGTGGCTGCAGAGAGCCCGCGACGACTAATCAAGTCACCAATGTCGCTGTGATCTTCTCCTCGTCATGCATATACCATCAGGTTCGAGAACAGACAGAATTACGTCAACTTGTCTGCAATTTTCAAGAGTCAAAGAATTTGCAGCATTGACGGCGGAGAAAACAGAATCCACAAGATTATTGCTACTTTGGTGTGGCTCCCACTTATTACTTCCCCACCTATTAATATGTGGCGCCGTGGCCCCCTCTCAGGCCAGTCCAGAAGAGGAATCGAGTCACGCAGCCTGCAATAAGCATGTCAGTGTCAGTAATTAGTTAGGGGCTGGTGAGAAAGAGGAGAGAAGAGAAGAAGAATTGAAAAGACTGAGTTGATTTGGGTTTGAAGCTGTCTCTTTATATCAGAGCTGTCTTCAAGCCGTGAGACAGAATAGCCAGGTACCGACAGCCGTTGTCATAAATACAGTCCGTCGGTCGGGCCGCGGGTTGCAGCCATCTTTACCAGTAAAAAAAGACGTTCCGTAATACCTTCGTATTATTACTTGTTTGGCCCACTCAGAAGACCCCTTTGTGCGCGGCCCCGCCCTTGCCCCCCAGCAAAGCTAGGCAATTGGTGCTTTTGGCTGGATATTTTGCCCGTCACGCGACACTGACTGACTAGTTGGTTTGGTTGCCTGTGCCTCCAAAAAAAAAAACGTGCCGGAAGCGGCACGTTGCAGCCTCTGTACAAAAGTGCAGTGCAGATGCTCCGAGCGCGGACCTGACTTCAAATTGATCCCATCATGCTGTGCAGCCTTTGAGCATCATTCCGAGCCCCCTAATGGTAGACTACCTGTATCACTCCATAACATCCTCCCTCCTCTTGCCCTTGATCAAAGACCTTCAATTTTATGGAGTCTGTAGTCACTTTAGCGCCTCGTTGCCATCCTGTAGTGCTGCTCTTCCAGCCTTGTTACATATTAAGACTCAGCCACGCCACGGCGTTCCCCCATCTCTGATCCCCATTGTCCACTCTCTCTTACGCCCCTCTCTGCTCCTGCCATCGCGACGGCCACACACTCTTTTTTTTTTAATTCCTTCTCTCCTGCTTCAACAGCAGTCTGGCTGGACATTTTTGTTGTTATCTTCCTCTTCCTTTTTTTACTTGACTTTTTTCTTGCTTGTTTGCCGATTGCGAGTTCGTCTTCTGTCAAATTTTTGCGCCGGCGACCCAGAGCCCCATTTCGACAGCTCGGGGAGCAAACGCGCTCTGCCCTTGTCCCATATCTGCTGTCGACAACCTCATCTTTCCGTCATGGACCGCTTGCGTCATCTCATTGGCACCGTTGCCGCCCGATTCGCCAACCGTCGCTATGTTTTCGCTCTCGCTGCCGTCAGCGTCGTCGCCGCCAAGGCTGTCCACATTGACGCCCATCTCGATGCCCTCACGCCCTCCGACATGCTGCAATGGGGTCCGTCCTTCTTTTTTCAGGACAGCATCTTGCTCATAATGATTCGCGCAATGCTCTTTGCCCAAGGCCCCTGGGCCGCTCTCATCGGCACTATCCTCGCCTCCATCCTAGTCCTCGTCTGCCTTGCCCTCGCATCCATCAACATCTCCTTCTTCGCCGTCGCCGGCAACGAGCTGCATTGGCGGAATGTTGCTCTCGCCGGTGATTCCTCCTCCTGGAGCACTCTACTTACCGGTCTCTTCTCCCTCAGCGTCACCCTGACCGTCATACTCCTCGCAAGCTGGCTCTTGCAAGATGTCTGCTACATTGTCGCAACCGTTGCCCTCGATATGATCAAATTTCCCTTTACTTTTGTCTACTCGTTGATCGCTAGCAATCGCCGCCGTCCCTCCGCCGGCCATTACTCCAACGTGCCTCAGAACGACGCCGAAAACGCCCTCGAGCACCGCTATACCGATGACGAGTTAGACTCATCATCCGAGCTCAAGATGGCCCAGCCTCCCCGACGCCGCAATACTTTCATTGGTCTAGCCTTTAATCTTTGTGTCGGTCTCGGTCTCCTCGCCCAGCTCGTTTCCTACGCCACTCGTCCCGACCAGACATCCGTCACCTTCATGTCATGGACCTTGCCACTTGTCCCCTTTATGGACTTTGCTCACGCCGCGCCAAACCTCTCAAACCTGCTCACCTATCACGGTCAAGGCTTCAACTTTGACAACCTAACAGCTCTGGCCGCGCCCGTCCCTTTCCCTTGGTTGCCCAAAGACGTCAAGCTCCCCGGATTTGAAGACTGGCATGACCACAGGGAACACTACAACGCCGACAAAGACCCCATCAAAATTTCCAACCTCCAGGATCCTCTTCTCGAGCCTCTCCACGCCCATATCAAGGACGTCTCTATTCGCAATATCATGCTCATCAAGCTTGAGAGCACACGCAAGGATGTCTTTCCCATCAAAAAGGGTGGTCTCATCTGGAATAAGTTTGAACAATCTTTTGGAAACGGCACCCTACCCAAAGCAGCCCAGGAGCGTCTTGCTACCCTAACTCCCAACGCCAACTACATCACCGGCGACTATGACGATGGTTTCGATCACGCCGAGCGACCACGACGCGGCGGCATCAACGCTAATAATTGCCACACCACTGGTACCTACACGCTCAAGAGTTTGCCTGGTACCCTCTGCGGCATTACTCCTCTGGTCGCCGATATGAACCAAGAGTACTACAGCCACGTCTACCAACCTTGCCTCGCTCATATCTTTGACGCTTTCAATGCGATTGATCACTCGTCCGACCGCCAAAAAGATGGATTCAAGCCCTACAAGTGGAACTCCCTATACATGCAGTCCGTAACACATACCTTTGACAAGCAGGACAAGCTCATGCCTGTCATGGGCTACAGCGATGAGCGCTTTGTCGACTCTGAATATCTGCGCTCCGACAAGGCCAAATTTGGCAAGTCAGAGATTGAAGATATCAACTACTATGGCATGCCCGAAAACGCCATTGCAGACTACGTCAGGGATGCCTTTACCTCGGCCAAGAAGAACAATGAGCGCGTCTTCCTGACGCACCTGACGTCGACTACCCACCACCCCTTTGCGCTGCCCAAAGGTGAACCGTATGTCAGCCTCAGCGAGGACTCGGGTCTACAGGACCTCTCAGGATACGCCAACGCCGCCGGCTTTGTCGACCGCTGGCTAGGCCAGATCTTTGATATTCTCGAAGAAACTGGCGCTGCCAACGAGACTCTCATCGTATATGTCGGCGACCACGGGCTATCGATTGCCGAGAATGCTGCCGTCACGCCTTATTACCAGGCCAACGTGGGCAACTTTCACGTCCCGCTCGTCCTCTCACACCCTAGCATGCCGCCTATCGATGTCAACGACGTTGTCAACTCCAACATGATCCTCCCCACGATTCTCGACCTTCTCATCGAAAGTGGCTCGCTCGGCGAGTCGGACACCAAGGCTGCGCAGGACCTGGTGAAAAATTACGAAGGCCAGTCGTTGATTCGTCCCTTGCGCAGCCACGGTCAGCCCGCCGATGTGGGCGGCTGGCAGTTTACCGTCATGAACCCAGGCCGCGCAACGCTTTCGGTCCGCGATGCCCGTCACCCAGACTGGCGCGTTGTCATCCCTATTGTGTCTGACATTGAGTGGCGCTTCACGAATACCAAGGATGACGAGCACGAAGACCAGCCGATTCTCGATTTTGGCTATCCTGAATTCCTGAAAAAGGTGGAGGCGGCCTTTGGTGAGGAAGTCTCCAAGTGGGTGGAGGAAGCGACTTTTGTGTCCCGTTGGTGGGTGGACGATAACGCTCGGCGCTGGCGCTACCAGCCGTCTTGATTATATACGCACACTTGATCAAACACGCAAAAAAGCGACCCTTTTCATGTTGAACATAGCATCTGTACTTTATTTCGGCAAGGCGTTTGACGGTATGCAGTTACTTTGGATGGTTTGGCTACCACGAACTTTTCGTTCTTCTTTTCGCTCCTTTTTTTTTTCTTCAACATTGTTTGCGTACAAGTTGGTGGCCAATCCAGGAAGAAGAATGGGCGTTTTCTTTTCCGAGTTTGGGGTTTTCTTTTCTTACAAATACTCATATAGACTTGGCTATGAACATGGGTCAATTTACTTAATCATCATGTCGACATTTGGCTTGGCGATGTTGTGATCTGTATTCCCTCTGTACATGTCATCTGTACATGTCATCTGTGATGATTCCAAACCCTTGGCGGGGAGCCTGGCTGGCGATTGAGTGGTGCGTTTTGGCGGGTAATCGACTACAGGGTACGCGTCTTGAACGACGGCGTTGCGAAGGGCGCGCTTTTTCTTGTCATTATTGTCAGGCCTGGACAATGCGGTAGTATATTCGTGACAGCCTCAAAGCTGCGTGTCAGTATATTGTCATTGCCCAAGCTGCTTACCATGGCGCCACGTGGGGAATACTCGACGGGGACTGACAGGATGCCATGTCATTGACGCTTTTGCTGCTAAAAGCAAATTTTGGCAGTAGCACGACTGCAATTCTGCAATGTATGCTGCGACCCGTGTAGTTGCGCAAATCGAATCGTCTCGTGCCCCGGGTATGAATACAACGCGCTGCTCAGCGCATACATCAAGAAAGCGTCCTGGCAGGTCTCTCTACAACTATTGAGAATGAAATCAATCTCTCTTACGAGTTGCAATGAGCACGCAATATTCAAAGTGTTATGGACACTGACATACAAGTGTCCAGAGCTTTGCTCTTACGACGACGCTGTCCGGCAACCAGTACGGAGATCCCGGGCCGCGTCCGTGATTCACCCATATGTGTACACAGCTGCCTCTCATGATGCGAGTAATATAGCAATCATACAAGACGAGTGTCTATAGTCCAATGTCGAATACGCCTTTGGAAGAGAATATATTGCCACTTTGTAAGTAAAAGTCGCACACACAATTCGTCATGTTTACGATTATAAAGCACGGTAGGGGGCCGACGGGTAATTATGGAGAGCGGCGCTGGCCACCGGATTCGGGATTCGAGTTTCGGGGGGCTGTTTGGCGCAGACTATGCACCACTTGGGGGGGGGGGGGGGGGGGTGAGGAGAAGGGATGAAGAAATGGCAAGATCTGTTGTACGAGGCGTCATTATGAGCAATACCTTGAATTACGTATTACGTATTACGCGATTTATGACCATTGTTTAATGGTTTGGCAATTAGCCGGATAGAAATAAGCTTAAAGCGGAAACACACCCAAGGATGGACAGAGGAGGCCCCGGAAAGGCTTTACTATTTCTGGTGCTAAATGTTACCATGTAGGGATAAAATGACATGTTTCGTATATTTTCGCATGTTAATATTGTAGACAAGGGCTTAAATGAATCATGCAAGAATAATTTTTTTTTTACAAATGCCACCGTTAAAGAGACCGTAGCGTCAAGTGTGAGGAGTTGGCCTTGCAATTTCTGCGAGCACGCCATCGCTCACCTTTCCACACTTGCCCACCCAGGTCCCCGCTGAGAAACTGCTGGTTGGCCCAGTCTCTCTCCGCATCGGTCGCGGCCGAAGCGTCCGTCCTGTTTGTCGTCGTCTGTCGTCGTTCAAAAACAGGCACTGATAACTAGGTAAAAAAGTAGTTCAGCCCCAGCCGGCTTGGCTTGGGCTTGGGGAGGCGATCCTTTTTTCTTTTAATCTAGAACCTCGCGTGCCTTTCTTGCCGTCTCTCTTTTTTCTTTCTATTATCTCGTCTTGTGGCCGATTTTTACACATTCTTTCTCTGTCAGGCTGCGTACACCACAAACTCATCATCACCCGGCCGCTCACCTCCGGCACCCGCCTCCACCATCATCGTCACCACCACCACCACCACCACTCAACTCTTTCCCCCCCTCCGGGGTTTGCAAAAACAAGGTGTCGCCAACACAAAGCGATGAAGTCCTTTACCACTACCGGGGCCGACTCGCCGCCGGCTGAAAAGGACGACAGCGGCAAACATGGTCCCGACGCCGACATTGAGCGTCTCGCCCACGAGGGCGGCGGCTCCTCCATCGCCGAGGGCCACGTCCAGCAAGACAGGCTGAGGCGCGCCCTGTCTGCGCGGCAGGTCCAGATGATTGCCATTGGCGGCACCATTGGCACGGGCCTGTTTCTCGGCACCGGAAAGTCGCTGGCTACGGGCGGGCCGGCGTCGATGCTCATCTGCTACGCCATTGTCGGCGCCATCGTCTTTGTCACGATGCTGTCGCTGGGCGAAATGTCGGCGTTTATACCCGTCGCGGGTAGTTTTTGCACATTTGCGAGGTAAGACTCAAGAAATATAAAAAGAAAAGGAAAAAAAAATAGAAAAAAAAATAAGAAAGGTTTCTTCTTCTTCTTTTCTTTTCTTCTTCTTCTTCTTTTTTCTTTTATAAATCATTCACTCACTCACATCACACTCACAGCCGCTTCGTCGACGATGCTTTCGGTTTCGCCCTCACCTGGAACTACTGGTTCAACGACGCCGTCTCCACCGCGTCCGACCTCGTCGCCCTGCAGCTGCTGCTCGACTACTGGCACACCAACTTCCCCGGCGTCGCCTTTAGCCTCATCTTTTGGGTCGTCCTCATCGCCGCCAACATCATCACCGTCCGCGCCTACGGCGAGCTCGAGTACTGGCTGTCGCTGCTCAAAATCATCACCATCATCGCCTTTATATTCGTCGGCATCGCCGTCAACGCCGGCGGCAACACGGCGCATCACTACATTGGCGGCGAAAACTGGCATCTCCCCGGCGCGCCCTTTGTGGGCGGCATCGGCGGCTTCGCGTCCGTGTTTGTCACGGCGAGCTTTGCGTATGGCGGCACAGAGTCCATTGCCATTACGGCGGGCGAGACCAAGAACCCGAGCAAGAACATGCCGCGCGTCGTGAAAAATGTGTTTTGGCGCATCCTGCTCTTTTACATTCTCTCGATTCTGCTCATCGGCCTCAACGTGCCGTACACCAGCGACGGCCTCGAGAACAAGGACTCGCGCACCTCGCCGTTTACCCTCGTGTTCCAGATGGCGGGCGCGCAGGTCGCGGGCGGCATCATCAACGGCGTCGTCATCACGAGCGTCTTGTCGGCCGGCAACCACGCCCTGTTCGCGGGGTCGCGCCTGCTGTACACCCTGGCGATGCAGCGCCACGCGCCCCGCGTCTTTGCCCGTCTGAACAAGGGCCAGGTGCCCTGGGTCTCGGTGCTGGCGACCAGTTTGGTCGCTGGCTTGTGCTTTGGGTCTAGCTTTATCGGAGCCGGCCAGCTCTGGGCCTGGCTGCAAAAGTAAGTCAAAAAAACTCGGATAAAACGAAACCAAATCATGTCATTATGTGAACCCCTGGACTAATTTTCTTTTTTTTTTGGCAGTATTGTCGGTGTGTCGAACCAGCTCAGCTGGATCTCGATTGGCATCGCCTCGATCCGTTTCCGCAGCGGCCTCGAGGCTCAAGGCAAAACCCACCTCTTGCCTTTTAAAAACTGGACGTATCCGTGGGGGCCCTGGTGCTCCGTGATTCTCAACAGTTTTCTCGTGCTGGTGCAGGGCTGGAGCTCCTTTAAAGGTGGCTTCCACGCCGTCGACTTTGTCAGTCTATACGTGGAGCTGCCCGTCATGCTCCTCATGTTTTTGGCGTGGAAGTTTTTGAAGCGCACCAAGTTCGTCAAGGCCGAGGAAATGGACCTGGAAACGGACGTTTACAGTCCCGAACTGGACGAGGAGGACGACGAGTATTCTGGGCCCGCGTGGCGGTCGAGATCGAAAAAGGTGCTTAATTGGCTGTTTTAGCGTCTTTTGTTTAGCATGAGCATTGCATAGCATGAATATTTACATGAATTTTACTAAACTTCCTTTTCAAACCCTAAAGTAAGCAAAAGTTGAAGAAATCAAGGATTCAGCAAGTGTACGTGTATGAAATTGGTATATTCTTTTTTTTATTTTTTAAACAAGATCAGAGGTAGACTAGACACTGAGCTCAGTGGTAGCTGCGCCCTTGATATACTCGCGATACGGAGCCAATGCCTTGTCCACAGCGCCACCAGGACCGCAGTACTTGTCAACAATCTCAGCGCTGCGACCGGTATATAACTCAGCCTTGAGCATGCCATCGAGCTCGCCCCAGATGGGCTGAAAAAAGTCGGAGCTCTTGATACGCTCAACGAGATCGTTGGGCTTGCCCTCGTTCTTGACCACCGCGCTGGCCTGGTGCGAGAGGACACGAATCTGCTCGTGCGCCTCTTGACGCGACACCCCCGTGGCACAAAGGCGCATGATGATGGTCTCGGTAATCATAAACGGCAGCTCGGCCTGAATGTGCGCGGCGATGCGCTGGGGATACACAATGAGCCCGTCGGTAATGTTGTCGAGCCCGATGAGGATGGCATCGGCTAGCAGAAACGTCTCGGGAATGTCGATGCGGCGGACGGCGGAATCGTCGAGCGTGCGCTCCATCCACTGGTCGGCGTGCGTGGCCTGGAAGCTGGCCGGCTTGCTGAGGAGCTCGCGCGACAGCGAGTACACGCGCTCGGAGCGCATCGGGTTGCGCTTGTACGCCATGGCCGAGGACCCAATCTGCGAGCTCTCAAACGGCTCTTCAATCTCCTTCCAGTGCGCCAGGTGACGAATGTCGCCGGTGATTTTCTGCGCAGACGAGCCCAGACCCGCAACGGCATTGGCAACGAGAAGGTCGACCTTGCGCGTGTACGTCTGCGTGGACACGTCGTAGCAGCTGGAGAAGCCAAACTTCTTGCAGAGCAGCTTGTTGAGCTCGTCGCACTTGGTCGAGTCGCCGTGGAAGACCTCGAGGAAGGACGCTTGCGTGCCGGTGGTGCCCTGGGCGCCGCGGAACTTGAGCTCGTCGCGGGCCTGCTCGATGCTGTGCAGGTCGAGCATCAGGTCCTGCGCCCACTGGGCGGCGCGCTTGCCGACGGTGATGAGCTGCGCAGCCTGCAGATGAGTGTAGGCGAGGGTTGGTTGATCTAGCAAAAAAAAATGTTGGCTGAGAATTCGGCGCGGACTTGTAAAATTGTATACTTACCCTTCCATTTGAGGGCAAAGGCGGCCAGGTTGGAAATGACCTTGGCGAGCTTCTTTGTGAGGAGGTCGAGCGCATCCTTCATGAGGATGAGCTCTGCGTTGTCAGTCACGTAGCAACTAGTAGCACCTATGTTGTGCATTAGCGGCATGCTTGAGAGTAGATGCAAGTCAGCATACCATAGTGAATGATGCCGGCCGCCGCCGGAGCCGCGATACCGAAAGCGTGGACATGCTATGATTTGTTAGTGCCACACGACTCGTGGACATAATCGCGTTAAACGCCATCTTACAGCCATGACATCCTATGACTCGTTAGTATAGCACATGGAACAAGCTAACGTTGGTAGTGAATTATAGAGATGGAGGGAAACAAAACCAAAGGGCTAGATTTACATGTCTTCGGATCTTTTCTTCCACGCGGGCCACTTCAAAGTCTTGGTCCGTGACGGTCAGATTGGCTTTCATCTGCTCGAGGGCCTCGGGGGTAATGGTGTCGATGCCGAGCTCCTTTTCGCTTTCGGCAAGGCCTAGCCAGAGCTTTCGCCATGTCGAGTGGCGAGATCGCTGGCTAAACAGCTGCGACATGGCGGGGCTGCAGTATCGCCCTGTGAGGGAGGTTTGGTAGCTGTCGTACGGCGAAGCCATATTGGGACTGCTCAATCGGAGAGGGATGTTGTGTGCTTGTTCTATCGAGGATGGTGGTTCGAGACGAATTGACGAGGTCGAGGTTGGCAAAATGCTGGGACTCAATGAGGTTTATGTGACTTTGTTTTTTTCCGGCTTTCTCGGTGGCGTGAGACGAGATCGAAAACTGCTGTGGTTGAATGAGGTTTATTTTTTTTTTCTTTTAGCTTGGTGGGTGAAGTGCACAGAAAGGTTCTGCAGATGTGGAGCTACAAGCAAACGTCTTGAGAATACCGCTACAGGTACGCAAAATGGAAAGGACTGGCCTGTATGCGCTGATGAAAGTCTCCGGGATACAATTACTACAAGTTATTGAAATTATGTATGCTTTGAATTTTGGCGAACGTATCGCAGAGAAGCCAATTGAATTGCTCTTTTGGTTGCCTCATCGCGGGGTACTTTCACATGGCGGGTGTCTTGGGTGATAGTTAGTCATCAGGCCACTTTTGGTCCAGGATAGCAGAATGAGTCGATCCGCTAAGCACATCTCTTCAAAAAGCTTGACCACTTGATTCATGTATATCGTCTGATTCTATTCTCCATTAGCGGGTCCATGCTCCAGGAACCAAGAATTATGTAAACATCTCTTGTTTACAGCCTCAGTAGAATACTACTCAGTACGGAGTACTCCATAATTATTGAGTACAGCTAGACATGTCAATCCCGCATGGATGCAATCCCGCCGTTATTACTGGTAGTGGGGCCAAAATCGATCATTCTATTTCTTTCATGTCATTTTCTCTAAACTCCTTTATACCCCGCTACTCCACTTGACCCTTCATAAAACATATCCTCCGATATTCTACACTCTAAGTCTAAAATATGCATCTTATGTACATCAACCCCATTCTCCTATCTACCAACTTTTTGTTTCTGCCGCAACGGCGGCATGAACTCAAGGGACGGCCTTGAATCCAGCATCGACGGGGTAAGAGGGGAACCCCCACGAGACGCTGCGATTCAGCAGCTCGTACTCGAGACCGTGCGGGCCTGCATTGAGATAGAGAAACTTGGTAAAAGGCACGGTAGCGTGGTAGCTAAAGGGCGTGCCGGCGGGGATAAAGGCAACATCGCCCTGCAGGAGATATGTCTTCTTGTAGCCCTCGACAGACAGCACGAGCTGGCCGTCGTCCATCTGAATACCAAGGTGGTGGGGCAGGGTAACGTGCTCCTCGGTCTCGTTGTCGCGCTTCGGGGACATGATGATGGTGCCCATGGTAAAGTTGTGGTTGTGCGAGTTGTCCACCGTCGAAATGGGCTGAATGACCTTGTAGCCCTTGTCCGTGTTGAGGAACTTGGGGCCGTAGTTGTTTGCGACAAAGTACGGCTTCGTATTGTCCGTCGGCAGCTCGTTGGTGCCGTTGTGCCAGTTTAGGCCCTCGGAGCTCGCCGTGCCGTTGACAAAGTCGCGGCGCGGAATGTACTGCTGCTCGGGCACGGCGTACAGATCCAGCGGCTCAAACAGCGCGTGCAGCTCCGGCGTCATGGGCCCGTACGGCTGCTCGTCGACGGGGTCCGGCACGTACGGCGCGTGCACGCCCGACGCAAACTGGCCGCCCGACACGTCGTCAAACAGCTTCTCGAAGCCCGCCGGGTGAAAGGCGTGCGTCAGCTGCGAGTCCGGGTCGATGAGCTGGAAAGTGTGGATGACGCCCGGCGGGACGTTGCCGTAGTCGCCAAAGCTGGCGACGCGGGCCTCTTCCTCGCCGCTGGTGGTGTTTTCCTTGGTCCAGAGCTCGACACGGCCGCGGGAGCAGTAAAAGTGCTCATGGTACGTCTTGTGTACGTGAGGGCGCGCGTTCAGCCAGGTGGTTACCTTGCCGTTGTGCTGCACCAGGGTGAAGGCGCCGCCGGAAGAGTTGGAGGTGATAGAAAAGGTAATGGTTTGCGTCTTGGTGAGCATGACGGCCTTGCCGTGGAAACGCGGCAGCACATAGGGACGCACAAAGTCCGGCGCCGTGTCCACGGTAAGCGTGTTATTGCCGCTGCCGCTGCCGCTGCCGCTGCTCTTGCACTCGGTGCCGGACACAAGTGAGGCTAGTGCAGCCAATGCTGCTCCGGAAAACTTCATGATGGCGACAATTGAACAAGCACAAGACAGTAAGAAGCGGTTGATGAGTGATTAGTAGAAAGAAGACGGCCGTAGAGCTTCATTTTATACCCATCTCCTGAATTGATTCGGCGAATTCAGCGAATCTTTTGCCACTTGATTCGTACAACGGGGAGCCGTTCCGATTCAATGTATCCGTGACTGCGACTCCATGGCCATCCCGCATGGTGGATATATTATCCAGAGCAACTACTCGTACTATGCGTAATGTATGGGTGATGGACTGATTGTTTCCACTAGCAATGCGACTGAATAAGGCAGTTGGCTCTCCACTGATTCATGTAAACATCGCGCCTGTCGCCTTGTCGGCCATCCCTCGACAGCGAAATTGTGGCTATAATTGCTGCCATCTGCATAGTAACAGGTACTAAAAAATGTCTTGGCATCAAGGCTGGCGCGGCCCTGTGGATAGTCGGACGTCAAAGAGCCCTGTCCGACCCCTTGAATTAAAAGCAAGTACTGCCAACGTTTTGAGTTATAGCCATACGTATAATCCGTTCTAGTATATACCAAACTAAACTAAATACAGTGGCTATACTCCGTACTATTTACACCGCATCTGAGCTCGGACCAGCTGCTTATTCTTATTTTCCCGGCGCACCAACTAGGCAGAAAAACCTGCGGCCCACTTGCTTCTCGAGCGAATTGAGAACCAGGTTCCAGACATTCTGGTCGTAGGCCTCGCCAATGTGTCCGACTGGGTCAAACGGGCAGTAGTCCTGAACGTAAATGTTCTTGACGCCGGGTTCCCGAACAAACGCCGTGTCTGTAGGGGTGACGAGCTCGTCAAACTCGGAGGTGATGACGGTGACCTTGTTGCCGGCTTGCACAATCGGCTCTCCGTCGTTGAGCTTGGCGATGCTAGGCCCGTCGACCGAAATCTCGTTGCATGCTGCGCAGCCCAGCTTCTCCAGCACTGTGCCAACGTCTTTGCGCGCGTTCTTGCCAAACAGCTGCACCAGCGTCCACAAGTGCGCAAAGGTCGTGCCGTGCGTCGGCGGCGCAATCGCGACAATGTTCTCGACGAGCGCGGCGATGCCCTCGCGGAACTTGGGCACATAGAGCGCCTGGAAGCCGCCTTCCGAGTGGCCGACCAGGTCAACCTTGCTGGCGTTTGTCTTGGCGTGCACCTCGCTGATCAGGGCGGCAATCTCGCGCGAGGACTCGTCAATGGGCCTGAGGCCGCCGACAAACGGGAAGCCGTCGTAGGCGCCGTAGGTGAGGGAAAAGGTGCAAAAGTTTTTGGTCTGCAGCCACAGCTCGAGGAGGTAAATGTCCTCGTACCACGTAGCGCCAAGGCCGTGCAGGAGAATGACAGGGTTGGGGTGTTCGGCGCTGGGCTGACACGAAAAGTCGTTGTGCTTGGCGACACGGTTCCTGATGAGAGCCGGTACGGACGCTGCAGGGCTGGCGGAGACGACTGCAATGAGTCCGCCGACAACTGCGGCGACGTTGAAAATCATCTTGGAATAATATTAAGGGGGGAGTCAGACTATTCACAACGAGCTGCAGAAAGACGTCTGCGAAACGCAGAGACTCGGTCGACTCCTTATATAATAAGTGTTCAGCTTGTGTCTCACTGTAATTCAAGATGGCGTATCCGTACTCCGTACTATTGCCAGCCGAGACGTTTAGCCTGAATGTATCCCAAGATGCCCCAAGGTCATCCACTTCCAATCAACGCTCCGGTCAGCTCGCCAAAAGTTGGAGACTTTGTTTCTCCAATCACACCTGAAGAGTACATGGCCTCTATGCTCACACAGGTTCTCGATGTCCTCGCTCCTGCAGCGCGCTGTTGCAGCACTAGTACAGAAATGCAGAAGCTTGCGAGTTTTCTGCCTCTACGCTTTGTCTCGGCCGATGATCTTTTTCCTCTGCGCGCATTTGCAGCACTAGTAGAGCAACATAAAAGGTTGCTCAGCTGATGATTTCCCCCTTCAGCTCGCCGTTGCAGCACTAGTAGAGTCGTAGAAGCTTGCGAGTTTTTGAACCTGTGCCTCGGCTGATAATTTGGTTGAAAATACAAAGCTGAGTTTAAATGTCGATAGAGTGATGATCCGTTTTTTTTTTTTTTGTGTGCAAGGACATTAAATTCATTCGTCGAATTGTTTTGCAGTTCGCTCACAGGTTTACGGCCCCACCCGGATCCCGAGATGAAAAAAAGTCGCCGTCTGGCGAATGCACCTCCCAATACATAATGAGGCTTGCCTTTGATCAAACAAGTCGCCTAAAAAAGAAAAAGAAAATGGCAGCATGACAAAAGTAAGCAGTAAAGGGTTGTAGTGGTGTGAGCTGATACTGCCAGCTTTGCTAGGTCCAAACCTTGGGTTGCCAAGCCGCAGACAGCAACATCGATACATCAACTTAATCACCACAATTTCGACAGTTGCGGGAAAATAAACCAGGGCACAAGCCACGTACCCTTGATTGCCGACCTCCGCCTAATCGAATCACAGCGGTCACAAAGTATTGAATAATTCGTGGGCCAATAGAGCCTCCGCTAAGAGTCAAAGCGTCTTGATCTCGTGTCTTTTCATTACTTGCTGAAGCGATATTCATACACACAGATAATTCCAAAACGTCATCCAAATCTCCACCATGATTGGACTTTGTTCGCACTACATCTCTCTTCTCTTGGCTACTCACACGCCAAAGTGCTATACATGTTGGTGTGGCCCTTGAGATACTCCTCCATGGTAGTAGTAGTAGCGCCGCCACTCTCCGTCTCTGGCTGCTGCTGCGATCCGCGGCGCAGTATATCCTCAATCGCCCACGAGACTCGCTCCGCGCCGACCATGGCGCCGCCAATGTTCGCCGCGCCCGGACCGAGGCGCAGCGCCGCCAGCCTGCCCACCATGAACAGCGGCACGTCGTCGCTCCACGCCAAGTCGTCGTTGAGGCAGGGGAACCCGCCAAAGCCCTGCACGGGATGCTTGCGCAGAATCGTCTGCATATACGGCAGCGACGTAAAGTCTGTCTGGATGCCGGTGGCAAAGTACATGAAATCCATGGGCGGCAGCTCCACGGGCGGGTTTGTTACTATATGCCACTTGCCGCCGTCTTCACCCTGGTTTTGCTCGAAACGCGCATCGACAATGGTTGTGCTGGTGATGAGATTGACCTTGCCGGCAGCGACGTGCTTTTTGATAATCTTGTGGTAGATGGGGGTGAGACTGCCGCCGCCGCGCGCCGTCTTGATAATGTCCAGGCGCTCCTCGTCCGAGTCGGCCAGCCAGAAGCGGGCTTGTTCGGTGTTTTTGTACTTGCCCATCCATTCCAGACCGAGGTCAAACAGCTTCACGCGGCACGGGCCCCGCATAATGTGCCAGACTTTGGTGACGCCGCGGCGGATGGCGACGTCTGTCAGCTGGGCAGACGTCAGGCCGCCGCCAACGACGACGACGTGAGTCTGCTTCATGGCCTTGATGCGGCTTTTCAGATACGGGTCTGGAAACTCTTTCACCTGCATGCTGTGGCAGACTTGCTGCGGGGGCTGGCCGTTTATGCTGGTCATGGATGGAATAGACGGTACCTGAGGAACGTTGGCAGCCCCGACCGCCATGACGACAGTTCGCGCGTAGTGAGTCCCCTTGTCTGTCTGCACGGTGAATAGCTTCTCCGTCTCGTCGGGGAAAGCTTCCACATAGCCAAAGTCCAAGTCCTGGACAGCCTCTTTCTGTAGTACGCCGGCCTCGAGATCGTAGCGCTGCGTTACCGATTCACAGTGATCTTTAAACACCCCTCGAGACGGCGTAAAGTAGTCGTTCTTGTCTCGCACATTGATGGCGACACGGGCTGCTTGCCTGATGTGTGTGTGTTAGCAAATATGTCGGCACGTTTGCGAGGCGTCTACATACTTGCCACCACAGTGACGGCTAGCTGCTTTCTTGTGGCCATGCTTGCTGACTTCTTTTCCGACACAGTTTCGAATCTCGACCAATTCGTCCGCGCGGTTGTTTTCGTATGTATAAGCGAGGAGTGAGTCGCGGTCAAAGGGATCGGCGTGCCAGAGCATCGGGCTTCGAAGATGCGAAATCTCGTACGTGTGGAAAAGGTAGTGCCAACGTGCCAGCCACTGGTCAGAGGTGGAATCCAGCACCATCATGTTGTATCCAGCTCCCGTTCTGGATCGGCGAGTCTTGATTTTGCCGCTCTTTGTTTGCTTCAGAGAGACTCTGTTGCCGTGTTTCCCAATCCATCGAAACCGGCGGTGCTCCTCGTCGGTAAAGAGTGCCGACGGCGTCTGCTCGCGAAGTCTGGCCGCCATAGCGAGGCCACATACACCGCCTCCGATAATGATAACATCATAGATGACTTGTTCAGTCATTTTCAGAGCAAATCCGGGCCGCGTAGGCTAGCTCGATTCGAAGAGGTCCAGTGGTTTCAATCTTCGACAAGAGCGAATGGTGAAAGATCTCATGCGTCTGCAAGCTGCTTTTCTAATACAAGGTTCCATCTGACAACCCTGATGGCCCTTTTCATTGATGAGACTGATTTCTATTTGCGTCGTCATAATGCGCGGCCCGTCAACGGCCACCCTGATGGCGCAGACCATCCGGGTGCTCGGGACACGCGATCCGGCCGCCGCTAGGCTTCATGAAAGGAACACAAAACGTCAATTGGTCGTTTTATGAGTTTGTTTCTTAACGTAGAGGAAATTCACTCGTTCTTATGAGAATGGGTGTGACAATTGGTCGGTTGAGTGGTGAAGTGTCCTCGAACTCAATCAGACGCACATATCAGCTTGAATCAATGCCTAAGCGACCAAGGCGCGACGGTTGATATATGCAGTAGTCGCAACTGAGATTGGCGCGACTTTCTTTTCTTGTCGAAAATCTCGAAAATCTTTCATTGCTGGATATTGAGCAAGATGATGCCCAATGCCCTGCCAAACGTTGCTGGCCGCTGGTGCGACCACGATTACAGCACCTGTACTTGTTGAATACTCGCGGAGAATGTGGGTTCAAGGGCCGTCTTAATCGCCGCGCACACCAATATACTGTAACCCCATGATGCTGTATTTGCTCAGCAACACATAACTAGGCTATTTAGCTTGTTCTATCATGAATCCGGAGAAGAATTGCGTTACAGCGGCGGGCTCATTCAGCGGCCCAATATAAGAGACGTGTTGGTCCGGGCGCAACACCACAATGCAGCCTTGCTCAGAAATGCTACATTCCTTGTAGATATCGCCGTGTTCCTCATGATACGAGCTGTCGTCGACAAAAATCTTGTCATAGTCGTATCCGTCGGTTTCGGAAAACCGTCTAAAGATGCAAGGAAAGTCAAAAATGGTGACGGCGGTGCGCTTGGCCTTGTGCACGGCGAAAATGTCAAACACGGCGTCAATCGGACCGTCGGCAGGCGTGAAGCGAGAAATGAATGAATGGGCGGCATCAAAGTCTGTAGCGACGGCGTCGAGCTGCGCGGCCTGCGCGGGGCTCTGCACGTTGCCGGGAAAGACGAGCACGCGCCACCGGCCGTTGCTCGGAAGCAGTTCGTGGAGATGCCACGGTCGGGCGTCGGCCTGGCTGAGAACCTTGAAGCTGGGGATGCGCATGCCGACAGTGATCCCGGGCGCGAGTTCCTCCTTGGATACAAGGCGGACGCTTTCAGCACCGGCGGAGACGTCTGTTCCATCTCCCTGAGTCGCCGCGTCGCCGGCCTTGGCAACGATGGTGCTGGCACCATAGTTGACCTTGGTTCCGCTGACGAATACATTGTTGTCCTCGAGTGTACTCTTAAAATCGGACATTTTGATGCCTTCGGTATCGGTTTCGTCTCTGGCGGGACGACCAGAAAAGAGGCGAGAGAATTTGTGGTCGAACGCTATCAAGTCTTGCGCCACCTTTCTCCGTTCAGACTGATACGTCTTGAGGATTGATCGGCTCGCCTGGCCTTTGACTACACTGGCAACCTTCCACCCGAGATTAAATGCTATGACAAAGTTAGATTCCACAGTACAACTAAAACGTCATCGTGTACTTACTATCCTGCATGCTCACATTCATACCCTGACCGGCTTTGGGGCTGCAAACAAACTTAGCTACCGAGTCAACTCGCTAAATCCGCCCAACTTACCTGTGAGTATGCACCGCATCACCGGCGAGAAAGACTCGTTCATGTACCGAAAACTGCGTTCCGACCCGCTGGCCAATCTGATACGCCGTCCACCAGTCTATCGTCTTGTACGAAATCGTGTATGGCGCCATAATCTTTTGCGCCTCGGCGAGTATGGACGCGGGGCTGATGCTGGACCGATCAGCGCGACTGCCCGCCTCGTCGCCCGTCTTTGCCGTCTTGGTCAGCTGCACGTATACGCGCACGAGCTTGTTCTCGCGCGGGATAATCATGATGCTGCCCGAGCTGGCAGAGTGAATGGCGCAGCGCATGCGAATGTCGGGGAAATCGGTAATGGGCACAATGTCGAGCACGCCCCAGATGTAATCTGTCGATTCGCCTTCGAGAGCCAGGCCAATCTGCTTGCGTGTCCAAGAGTGCGCGCCGTCGGAACCGAGTACATATTTGGCACGCACAATCTCCTCCATGTTGGCCTTTGCGTTGAGCTTGGACGCGGCCAGGAGGTCCTCCGTATCGTCCTTTGCCAGATTACTCCTGTACAAGCCGTCCTTTGTCGCCGAGGCCACCTGTGCGGGCGTGGCCTCTTGCTCGGTCAGATGCCGCAGCGCAACCGTAATCGGATAGGCTTCCGGGTCGTCGACGGCCGCTTCGTCAATGTCGAGGCTTGTCGGCATGACGGCGCGCTCGACGCGGATATCGCTGCACGCCTCAATCTCGTCGAGGAAGAAGCGCTCGATGCGCCCTTGCTGCAGGACCGACTGCTGGAAGCGACTCAGCCCGGGCACGGTGTCGGCCATGCGGTCGCTGCGGCGCAAAACACCGGCCTCGTCGGGGTTCCACATGCAAAACTCGAGCACGTGGTTGGACTCGCGCCACGCGCGGTGGCCAAAGCCCAACGAGTCCATAATCTCGAGTGTGCGGCACTGGAGGCCGTCGGCCTGGCCGTTGAAAACCTTTGTGCTGCGCTTGTCGACGATGCGTGTGCTGATGCCGCACTTGGCCATCCAGGCAGCCATCATCAGACCAGCAGGACCGGCACCAATGATGAGCACATCAACGCAACTCTCTTTGACGGGTGCCATGTCTGCAATGTCAGGGGCAACGAATCAGGAGTTGAACTAAATTGAGAATGAACAACCATCTTTGCGGAGAACATATCGGGTCTATATATCAGCCCCAGCGGCGACAGGGCCGGGACCTTGGCGCGTGTTGGGGAATGGGCATTTTTAAACATCAGTCAGAACTTATCAAGGCAAAGCGTACAATGGCCATTTGTTCAATAGCCGTATGGGGCGTCCGGGTAATCTAGATCAGTCATGCCTTATTAATCTGTCTACACTTACGGATACACGCTATTTATGTAGCTTACCCCGCAATCGGTGCAACCGGATCTCGCAAGCCGTAGGGCCGCTGAATATTCCCACCGACTGGTGCAGCTTATGCTTTTTGTCAATGACCACGCACATTTTTAAGAGTATTTTTCAAGTCTCTTCCTGTGCGCTCTCTCTAATATTTATAATTTTACTACCGGAGCTTGTTTAGTTGTTATGCTGGGCTTTGTCTGGTTTAGCATCGGTTGTCGGCAGGCTCGGCTCGCTGACTTAGCCAGGACCCCTTATTAGCCGCCACACTTTCTAGATAGCCTCCCTTTCTCTTTCTCTCCTCTATATAAATATTTATTAGGCCTTTACTTTAGCTTATACCCTACTATATAATTCCATTATTCTCACTCTATTTAATTTATTATATAATAGTAATTAACGTAGTTAATAAGTAAGTAGCGTAGATAAGCAAGTAACGTACCTATACTAGAGAATACCGTCTATTAACCTTATACTATAATTATTTAATAACCTTAAATAGAAAATACTTCTAATAAAGGTAATATAATTCTTATCTTATTTATTAT